CGACCGCCCAACGTACACGCGCGACTCCTAAGCAAATAGCCTTTCCTCTTTTCTTACTATCTTATGTCTCTATCTAACTTTTACCCCACCGTTCCAGAATGCCATTGCCTATTACACAACCCTTCTCTTGTCATGAATCATCGCCTGCCACCTGGATGACGCCTCGCCGCCACCAAGTCAGCCGACATGATACATTCGCGCTTCCAAACGAGTTCCAATGGGTCGTGGCGCTGTCGCGGGGCTACACGATGTCTCACGCGACGGCAACTTCAATAATGGTCCAGCAGGTGGGGTTCCGCCTTGTCTCGATAATACTTCGGGTGGAACGTGCGCCCGCTCATACTTGCTGTAGATGGACATCGCATTAGCTGGATCCACGACTCTTGCTATGCCGTATATCTGTACGTCTCCTCTATCCATAAGCCACTACTGTTGAACGACGAAAAGTCGATCAGGAACCCTCCCGCCCTCTTTACGCGCCATTATAATTTGCTTGACACATTTTCCCGGAACTGTCTAACTCGTAATACTCGTTGGGCACAGAGTGATGCGTTGTACGTGTCTTTCTCGTATCATTCTATCTTGGATATGGGATAGTAGAGCAGTTTGAAATACCCACTGCCTATCTAGAGGGTGGACGAACGGGAATGCGTAGGTTGTGTGTCACCCCGCCTGTGGTAAAAAATGACAGCAACAAAAGAAAAGGTTTTCGATGTGACTGGACTCTTGCCCTCGACTCCCCCCCCACCCCCCTACCCGCCATCATCTGTCTACCCCCCGGTCACCGTTTCCACCGGCTAAACCCCAACTTTGAAAATGAAGGGTACTCCGAAAGCAACAGGCTGCTAAGCAACGGCTAGATCGGGGGCACCGCCGCACTCGGGGCGGGCGAAGAACCGCTGGATGGCAGATGGTACGATTAAGCGGCAGCGACGACGGTGGCGGGATTTGGTGGCGGGGTGACAGATGCAGGAGGGGGTGGCACCACGCACGGGGCGTGAATACACGGTCCCCATAGACGATCGCGATAGCTTACCTCGGTGAACTTGTTCGCGGATAAAGTGGTGCCTCGTGTGTGGTGATCATGATTGAAGCGGGGCAACCCAGGCATCGCATCTAGAAACCCGTGGAAGTTGAAATGACACATAGGTTTTCGCGGGGTTACTTGAGGTAGGTTATCCCGCTCTGCTGGGACTAAATGCACACAACCAGCGCAACCGTCCGCCCGCTGCTCTGTTTTCCAGTCGAACGGTGCAGTCTGACTGGGGTTATTCAAAAATGATTCCCATATTGTTCGTCACCTACCGTGATGCGTTGCACGTTGTCTCCCATGCGCACGTCAGCCGGGACGACATGCCATCGTCCACCTCCTCGGCAAGTTCTATCTTCTCAACGCTTCTGAAGACGTGCGCGGATGCATTTTTTTTATTACCAATTCGTTCACCGTATTTCCCGTGCGCAGATGCATTTTTTTTTTATCGTTCGGCCTTGCGCAAACATTATCCTGTGTTGAACTTGTGTGTTCACAGCTAACGCGCCAACCTAACCCCGAAGACTAACCGCACAATCGTTCCCCCATACAATTGGACTTTTGTCCGAGTGATCTCCTCGAGAAACTTGACTTTCGCATCGGTAGCTGCTAAGCTTGCTAAGTATAGCAAGGCACAGGGGGGCGCACCCGGCCGTTCATGTAGCGTAGACAAGTAAGGCATGCGAAGGATGGGTGCACCCCTCATATTAATTGCTTAACCCGCAGACTACCTCGGTTGTTGCTGCGTTTTAATCTCCCGCAGGTCGGTCGAAACGCAACAGGAGTCACACAGCCAGGGGGGCGGTCGCTGGTCGTATGGAGGGGATACTAGCACCCGTGCCTTGAAGAGGGCGTACGCTGGACAGCGAGGGTTTTGCAAGAGGTCAGCGTGCGTATGTTCGGTTTCTCGTAGGCATGTGTATTGGAGCCGATTTCCACGGTGGCTAGGAACGAAGGGCACACATGGCAGTGACCGTGCTTTGAACGAAAATGCCTCTGTGAGGTTTCAGGCGACAGTACTGAAAGCATCATGGGAAAATTCTAATTCCCTCCTCGCCTTCCCGATCCGTGCAACAAGGTGACCATTTTTTTTCTATTTGTGTTTTTTGGGCGTAACCATAATCGTGGTCGAGGATAACCGTGTTGTGCGGGGTCGAGATCGCGTACTCCGAGCCAAGGGGACGCTCGTACCACTTTGTGTCAAAGCACCCTCGAGGCAGTTACACTGTGGTTGTCTCTTTAAGTGAAAGCACCGGAAAATACATCAAGCCTTTCGCAGCTGTCACCCAGCGATAGGAAGTAAGCACAAGATTCCGAACGCTTTGGCACGATGAAAATGTCGCCGAACATCTCATGGAGCTTTGCGCTTGATGAAGTGAGAGCCTGCTCGGTGGAAAGAACCTGGCGTGAGCCGTCCCGACTTTCCGAATATGCGAGGTCAACTGGTTTAACGACCACGGCATGCACGACCATGAGTACGCCTCCCCCCCTACCCGCCTGTCGGGCAATACATCTCTCATCCCTCTCTATATCTCATCCTCTGTAATTGTGGTTGTTTTGACGGCGTCCCTCTCTTTCCCCCGTATCTTAACGCAGGTTTTTGTCGCTTTATTTTTCCGTCGCTAGACTATTTCCCTCGCGTTGTGGCGTGTGCCGCGGTCGGCGCCTGGCTATGAAGGTGAGAGTCAACAATGACGGTGCAACACCCACGCTTTTGTTGGTGTCCTTTCCTTCGGTATATTGTGAGCAAGCTCTCGGCAGGTGTGGCTCCGAGATAAACCACAGCGCAGGAGCTGTATGTACCGTCGTTTTCTGGAGCTGTAGCGGGGGTGTTGCAAGAGCGCCTTGACCTCTGTGTGTATGGGCAAGGTTGCGACACCAGATAATGATTCATACTCTTAGCACTTTAGATCTGCTGGTCCCTAACCCGTCTTGCTCCTGCTACTGAAAAATGTAGTTGGGGAGGTCGCCAGGGACGCCCGCGGTTGGCAGTGTTGAGAAATACATGGACATTATCCTTCGCCTTTCACATTCTCGTGTGATCACAGCGTTATGTCTGTCCAACAGGGTAGGGGCGTCATTTCTCCTTTGCGGCGAGTGGACTTGCCTCAGACATATATGAGACTTCCCCGCCCAAGACGTTTACTGCTGCCTTGTAGCTGCTGACTTGATGTTGCGTGTTGGCCTGCATCCGCGCATGGACGGGAGAAGTTTGCGCCTGTCGTCGCAAGGAGCCTAAAGTGATGTCCGAGTCGGTATTATTTGTTTGGTACTGTTCCTAACCCTTTTGCCGTTGTAGCCAACTACCTGGGGGTGTTATATGTGGGGAGTATGTCTGGGCTCTCTTCGTTGAGCTTGCGCAGGAAACCTAACTGCGGCAAAGTTGAAAAACGCAGATAACCATTATTTTAACCGGCGCCGGGGGTTGGTTCTTGTCCGAAGCATGAAGCCCCCTAACCAACGTGAGCGGTATGCCTTATCATGTGTTTCTTGTCCTTATTTTGACGTTGTATCAAGGGGTAGTTTGTGTGCTTGTATAGGTTCCCGCCGGTAGTCCCCGACCCAGGCGTTTGCCTGCGACATGAACAACAGTAATATTTGATATCTGGGTTTTGGGCTATCTCGACGGTCTATGTGCCACGCAGGTCGTTATGCGGTGCGGTCGACGTGAACCTAGCCCAGGCCGTTATGCGGTTCGCCTCTTTGGTGAAGGCGGAGTTGTTCTCAACCAGTCCTCAGGCAAGATACGCTCGATTTAGGTCGTAGCGTTTGTCAAGAAACCTTTGCGTAACGTTTGTCAAGAAACCTATTGGTTGGTTTCGTATCAGCTTGGTCGCGTAAGCGTGTGCGATCTTCTCAGGTCGGATAGAGTTCACTCTGAATGATACGACATTCGGAGATGGAATACGTGGCATGTTGACCAAGATATGTCTGTAAATTTGTATTTGGCACGCACTACGATCTCGTAGACCCCAAGCTATAGCGCTTTCATCCGACTTCGGGATTTTGCTCGACTTGACTGTGTCGCGATCACGTGACGAACGACGAGAGTTTGCGAACGCCAGATTGTCTCTTCAATTTGTACCTGCGCTGTTGCATACCACGCGGTGTAACACGTGCGCCCTCATGATTGGGCTGTTTGTGTTGTTCCCGCCTGAGGATAGTCTGTCTTCTGTGTTTTCCGTGTTTCTCCAACTTGTTTTAGTGGCATTGGCGCACAAATGGATACACAAGCGGCTACCTGCAACACTACATCTCAAGTGGAGCACGTCGGGCGATGGTGTTTATTCCGGCCCGAAAGTTTATAGTTGATGGATATTTTACAATTTATTTGCCCTGACAGATCGAAGGATGCGGCTATGTATATTGCACAACACAACACGACGAACCAAGACACACACAACCACCTACTCCGCATAGGATAGCCTCTCTAACTAATCATCCCCACATGGAAAGCAGCATGATGACATGATTCCTCTAACTTACCCAACCTACACCGCCCCACATCAGGCCCATATCAACCTATAGTTCGCAATCGTAAGTCCTTTTGCCCTCTGTCCGCTGTGCTTTCATGTGACAAACTGCGTGGATTATGGGAGTGTATTTCCTGAGCTCGGTCCTGCCAGTTTGCTGTCAACAGAAAATTCCCAAACCACATTGCCGACATCAACCCTATCGCATATGCCTGAAACCCACAACCGATACCTCACTCAGCCCCCCCCCCTCCTTTACACCCTATGCTACGTGTTTCGTACGCGCCAGGAGCCCAGTACTCGCAGGAGGCCATTTCACCCCGCCGAAATCATCTGGCGTACAGGACCGCGAAGACGACGACGACGAAGACGACAGCGGCAGCAGAGTACGACAAGAAGGTGACGGGTTCGAAGAAAGTGCAGAAGGCTCCATCACGATCCTCACGGCTGCTTACAAGAAGGCAGGCGTTGTGGTCCTTTATCCTTTAAAACAGGAGCTGGCGATGGTGCTGTATCGGCAGGTAAGCGGAGCACAGGACCGATGTGGTTTCATCGTGTGCTAAAGGGATACTAAAGCGTTTGTGCATATAGAAAATAGTGCATACCCTGGCCGTGACATGTCCGTTATTCTTTATTTTTGCGTGTCTTGTGTTTGGGGAGAGGTGTTTCGATATCCTTTTGTGGAAAGACGTGCTGGGCGTTGACGTGTGGCTATAATTTTTCGGTCGGAGGGTTGGTTCGCCTCTCACGCTCCCGTCGTGCCTCTCCCCGTGCATGGGTATCCCTCGTTTGCCTCACGGCTCACTCTCTCCTCACCGTTGCTACCAATTGCCCGCCCCCCTCCGGCATTTAGGCCGCGAACACCGTGGAAAGGTGGATGGGCATTCGAGCGCGGACCCATATGAGATGCGCAGTTCTGGCCACTGCCGCTTTCGTGAAGGCGAACACGTGGATACGGGACTACCACCGGCCGTCCGCCCATGTCCGTCAAAAATATCCAAAGTGAGCGAACATGGCAGTCGTGGGAGCGTCATTTTAATTGTTGCTGTAAGTGTTAGAATGTAAACATTATTTTACGAGCCCCCCCGGTAGCCGTGTCAGCTGTACCCGCTTGACTGCAAAGTCCCTGCGCGCTCGTAGATTGACCGTCCTCTGCATTTCACTGAAAACATATGTGTTGAGGACGTTGCCTAGGGCTCCATCGTTGATTTCCTAACCCTAAGTGAGAACCGCCAGTTGGCGTGGTGTGTGTCTCCCAAGAACGTCACCGTAAAACCTGGTAACGCAGTTTCCACTTCAGCCGCATGTATGGCGGACGAGGCTTCGCCTCTTCCGGTTCGCTTCAGATATTTCCTCATCGTAGCACGTGCCCGCCTGTTGTGGGTGTGGCGTACGGTCATGACCTCCTTGTATTGGCCACAATCATGCACTTGCTCAGGGATTTGGCCGTGACATGTTTCGCCGATACACGGGCAGCGTCTCGGAATTTGGGTACAGCCTGTTGTTGTCTCAATAGCGGTGCCCTGAATAACGGGATGCCCTGAATAACGGCATCGATATCGCTTGGCACAAATGCATCCTTCAATAGCGGTGTTATCCCGCTAGTGAGGGAGCTGCGGAGTCCCCCCGCCTTACTGACAAGATGAAGAGGACGCCGATTCCGACGAGGAAGAGCTGAACGAGACGGGCGAGGTTGAGAGTTTAGAGGGTAGGAAGTTGATGGCGCCGCCGCCGTACTAGGATCTGTCGGAATTGTTCGGCCCACTAGATAACGCAGTACGCCCAGTCGTCTGGAAATGACGAGCCAGAGTATCTTCTTCGCAAGGCTAACATGTCGTTTCTCGCAGCCCAGGCATGATTATTTTGTTTCTTCAATCATAGGCTCTTCGGGAAAGCACATCAGCATCAGTAGGAGTGCCTGCTTTTTTTTTCAATGTAGCTCCAAGTGAACATGTTTTGTGTACACTTTGTTACTCTATTTGCACCTGTGGTTTATTGATTCAACGTTGTGCTATTTAAGAAAGAAAGAGCACAACGGAAAGCAACAACCTTGCTACTGACGTCGGATAACAGAGTCCAGGCACCATCAGTGTGGTTGATTCTGCAGGAAGGGATCAAATCCCATTACATCTGTACGGTTCGTTGCGTTCCTACTATTCCGCTACCGGGGGCTTGGTATCCTAGAGGACAGCAGTGCTGCACGATGGTGGTGGTATTTGACGTAGCTATGCGTACAATGAGTTGATGTCTGGGTCTTCTTTTTTTTTTCATGCCGTTGTCTTTGCCAGATCAACTTTTTGACGCGTGCATTTCGAACTGTTGTTTGCAATGCAGTTGAGTCCCTTATTGATTGGCGTTTGGTCTAGCAATGCGAGATTATTGCACAGGCCATAATGCGACTAAATTTCCCCATATTCCTACCCCCCGCCGTGTCTTTCGCTATACCATACACCATGAACCGGATGGTGCAAGCGGCAATCATGGCGGTTCGTAATGAGCCTGTTCCCCAAGGCGAGACCGTGGAGCTCTGCTTCGAGGAGATGCTTCAGCAGTCGAGTGCCAGATGAACTGTGTGCTACAGGACAAGGGCAAGAGCGTCTATGAGCAATCTTCGAGGTTTTTCGTGGCCACGTGAGTAACTGTTTCATGTGTGCTTGTGCCGCGTGCGACAAGCCGTTCTTGTGGGCTAAAAGGTTCTACTGTTTGACTCTGACGGGTTGGTGCTTGGTCCTGTTTTTTTTCATCTGTCGTTCGGGCGGGGGGGTTCCATGCACTACGAGTAGCAATCTTACGTCCTACATCGGTGTTTGCGCCCTCGCACAACAACTGAGTAGGATCTGGGAGATCGTGTATCGGTTCCAGTTCGGCCCCGGCAGGATTGCCAGCAAACTTCTGGACAGTGTGTCTGCCCCCCTTCAGCTTCAGCATAGTGGATTACTTCAAAATTCCAGCTCTTTATGTTTTTGTAGCTCAAGGTGTTTCCGTCTCGGCCATATCCCTGCTTTATTGAGCCGAGGTTTTGGTAAGTGCGGGAACGTGTCCACTTATTTGTCAGGCCGCCTTGCAGTTTCGCTTTTCGAGACTCCCCACTCCGGCCCGCCTACGTTGTTTGTTTGCCTCGCTCTAAAGTCGGAACCCTCCCTGATCAACCCACCTAACCCCCCGCCCCCCTTCATAGCTGTCGGGGTTGAGTGACACCTGCTTGGTAATGACGTCGTAAAAGACGACGATACCATCGTGAGCTCAACCAATAAGGTTGCCGTTTTTTGTTTGCCCTTCGTTGTTTTTTTTTGTTTTGCATCAAGTACGATGATGGTCGAGTAGATAATATTGTGCGTGGAACAAAACCCCACTAGTGGCGCAAAGGAGATGATCACAAAACGTCGCATTTATTAACCTCAAGCACCCAACGTGCACCTATTCGCAATGCTTGCAACGAACTGTCTCTAGAATAGCAAACACCACCCTGGGAATTATGTCCTTCGCATCTGTCACCCTTGTGCCAGAAAGTAAGTAAAAGTTGCCAAACATCCTTTGCGGTCTGCAGCGAACCGTACATACGACCCGATATCTCACAGCGCTTCGCGCTTGGGTCTTGCGAGCCTGGTCCGGTGAGAACCCGGTTCGCTCATTCCCGGATTCTAACGGATGCAAGGTAACTTCATCTGACGACTACGGCATGCACGGTTACGAGTACCATCTCCTGAGGAATACTCCGGCCTAGTGGCAGCGAAACGCCGCATGTCGACATATTTTTCCATGAGCATTATTTCACCAACAAGAATTCCTCCCCGACCGGAACTCAGACCGAATACCAAACGTACATGGCTACTACCTAGAGATTCACAATCGTTTTGCGACTATGTGTAATGGTGATTATCCGAGTGCCTTCGTCCTGCCTGTGAGAGAACAGCACAAGTATTCGAACATCGAATGTATCAGCTCGTGGTAGCTATCACTTCGTCGTGAACATATTTGAACTAGTGTGGGCAATTTCGCGCGCGTTCGCAAGCAGCGAAGCCAATATGGTGCGCGCGAAGTCTCCCATTCCCCCACGTCACTCCGTTAAATAAACTAATTCTTTTGGTGCCAGTTGTGTTCCGTGCTGGCTCACTCGCCAAACCCCCTTCTCCAAACCTGCGGTACACCCAGGTCCCACCAACGGTCCGGGCTTCGACGATGACGGTGTCAAAAATAGAGAACAAGGTGGCGATGGGTTTGGCGGCGATGGCTCGGGCGGCGACCTAAGCACCAGCCTGGTATGGTCGAGGCGTTCGAGCAGGGTGGGGGCGACGAGAATGTCGTGCTTGTTGGGGAGCGCACCTACATAGAAATGACGGATGAAGGGGGGGGCAGCTCTTAGTGGTGTTCGTGGTGCTGATTAATCATGCGGAATTGCACGTATGCCAGCGCGAGAAAAAATGACGAAATGAAGGTTGCCTTCGTGCAGCCCGTGGATGATTTTTTTTTTCGTCGCAGCTTTTTGGTTACGTTTCTAGATGTGTTTTCGGCAAGGCCGTGTACTAATATTACTACAGCACACACAATTGCAGCTCGTTTTTACAGTTGGCTGGGATCGTCTTTCAGATAGGCAATGTCATGAATGCTGGCGTTGTAAACGTTCGGCAAAGTAGCACAACAGGGCCGTGCTGATGTAGTATTTCGTGTTTATTGGCAAATTCTCTCACGCACGCCCGTAGCCAGTCGTGTTTCTTAATCGTTGTCACTATGTTTCGGCAGTTTCCCGTGGTGGGGGACTTAGCCAAGTGTAGAGATTTCTTTTTCTTTACGGCAGCTCTCTCGAGGTGGACCACAATATAGGCAGCCGTTTTCTTCGTCGTTGTCATGATTTCGTCTTCCTTTCTGTTCGTCTTCCTTTCTGTTGCGGGGCTGTTACGTGATTTGGAAAAAAGTTTAGGAAACTTGACCTGCTTCAATATCGATGGTTGTGGTCAGCTACCTGGTGTGTGTAGTTTCTAAGGTATCAACTCGAATGTTTGCAACGCGCATAGTGTACAACCCTGCTTGCTTGGGGCGTTCTTGACTAGGGCAAAGTGGAGGTTAACGATTTTAATAATCCCCCAGAGGGATTCCACCCCTACTTTCCTCTAACGTGTAAGGGACCAATGAATATCCTCTAGAGCTTTGGCCGACGAATATAGTCACGGTTAATCGGCCTGAATTACCTCTCTAGTTACCCCGCCAATATCCTCGAGAGCTTTGGCTAACAATACCCTCCAGGTTCGCTGTCCAAACCAGTATTGCCTTTATTATAGAACCATTTCGGGGATTGCAGTTGTTCCAATCCTCGGGAGAATATTTACCCTATCCATTTGCCTGCTTGTGGGGTTTTGTTTCTGGTTCGCCGCGCAGACGTGACGCGGCGCGGCAAATAGTTCTGGCCGTCCATCTGGGTTCCCTGGATCGGGGGATTGCTGCCGCTCTTGCAGCAGAGGAAACTCACAGTTCACAAACGAGACATGCCGCGGGTCGGGTCCCGTAGGTTCTATTGCAACATATAGTCTGATAACCGGACGCAGCGCCAATACTCACCAATGAAGGTACCAGGTAGAGAGAGATCGGGACGGTTTTTAATGTGCAGATAAGAACAACTCGCCGGAACATGACAGGCAAGCCGTCCAGACTCTCCGCAAGGTAACAGTCATCACTCTAGTCAAGGAATACATTCCGGGGCCTGCTGGCAAGGTCCGGCAGCCCGAAGACCGAGGCTGCGCCTTTGGCCTAGTCTAGATGAGAGGGTTAGTGTTCGCCCACACTACGGTTGGTGTGTAAGACGGTTGCGCGAACCCATCCCGGGGGGTGGATGTCGGGACTTGCGTTTTTTGGCGGGACTGTCAACCCACGATTTCACGGTGACGTCACGCACTCTCAGGCCTCTTGAAGCTGAAAAACTATGTATAGTTTATATATTTTTCCTACGCACATGTTTTATAGGAGATTTGGACCACTCGGTCATCACGGCATGAGCAAAGTAAAGATCCCGTTCTTAGATATGCTTTTTTGGAATTGTGCTCCGGCGTCCGAATTGTGTAGAATTGCGAACCCTCCATCCATCCGGTAGATCGTCCCGTTCTCACTCACCACGACGGACGATACAGAATCTTTGGCAACGCGCCGTGTCGCCATGCCCTTGTTTGCGCTCCTGCTGCTGCAACTTACCGCGTGGTGGACTATGTTGTCAGTTCGTGACGTCGCCGCCGGCCGGTTGTCGGGCGAACACCGGACACAAGCCACACTTTTTGCGACGCCCTCGCCTGCCAACGTTGGTGCAACGTCCCCGCCGACACCACTGGGTCGCCTAGACATCAACACCCCACCACAACCCGCCGACCCCCAGCAGGCGGCAAAGAGAAGGTGAGCACAGTAGACAGCAGGGAGGGTTCTCTAACGGCGTTGTTGTTGGTGGTGCACACGCATAAGAACGGACGGGAGAGACGTGCTCCTTCGAGCACCCGTTGTTCGTAGTTTTGAACTGAATGAATGGTCGCGCCCCAGGCGAGCTTTTAATCGCAATCAAGCAAGAAAGTAAGCGGAGTACGCCTGTCTGTGTGCCACGTTCGAGCACCGCACGTGGTCTCATACCCAGGATCGGTCATGTCAGTGCGAACGCAAATAAATATGCATGTGCATGAACATGTGCAGACATGGCCATTGATTCTCGTTGCAAATTTTAAGACCAACCGTCATATTTTCGTGCGTGCTGAACGAAGGTTACGCCAACAATCGATGTGCTGCGTGCAAGCAGTCCCATTCATAGATGGCCCTAATGCGAAAGGTTGCACAACTCACAGCTACTGATGATAGTCAATACCAAAGGGGCGTGGTGACTGCGTGCGAAGATACGACGCAGCCGCATCTGGAAGGGCGGTTTTTTAGCAAACGGTCACTTCTTCGTTGGATCAACGGCCAGTTTTTATTCGTGCTTCACGGCCAACTTTCCACGATTGCGTTTGGGAAATATCAACTACTACTCGGCCGTTTACAACACCCAGACGTCTTTGTCTATTGGACCCCGTACTACACACGCAGACTCACACACGGCCGGCCGGGCGTTTTGGTTGAAATTTATTTGGAAAGCAGTCTCTCGCCAGCTGAGAGGATTGATTTCACTGACGAGACCACGAATGAAAGTTTGCAACGCCAAAGCACTTGTTGTGGTGTCGTAACAATGCACTGCTGCTCAATTACGTGCCAACGGCTAATTTCCGAAGACCTGGCATGTAATATCATCAGCATGAGGTCGGCTCATTTCCTTCACAGGTAGGGGGACCGACCGAAAAGCCGTCAGGAATGTATGGTAAAGCGTTGTTAAAACTTTTATATGCTGTCATTGCCGGCGGTTTTATCTTGCTTGTTCAATTCTCCCTCATGCTCGCATGAAAATTAAAAGGTATTTTTCAATTACAAATTATAACGGTTGTTCTGGTGTACACAACAAAAGGTGTACAGTGGGGGTCCCTCTATAGTGCGTGTTATGTAGTGTGGGTGCCCGGATTAGTGCGGGTACAATATTGACTGGCCCAATTGGAATACTTGAAGTAGCTTGGCACCTACCCGCACTATAGAGGGCACCCCATTGCACCCCCTTTTGGGGCAGTATACCTGTGACCATGGAGAAAGGCATCCGCGTCAGTTGGACCAAAAACGACATTGGAATGTATTGAGCGGAGACGGGAACGTTTTTTTTTGTGTGTGAGAAGACGACGACAACAACAACAACGGGCACCATCAGTAGTGAAGACGATGGTTTTTATGTCGTAGAATGCTGTGGGACATGGCATGCTGCTGTAAAATAGCGTACCCACCCGTAGATGACCCAAGATGTCACAGCCCTAGGCCGTTCTATAAATTCTCTGAATCTCCATAGCGTTAAAAGCAGCAGTGGCAGTGCTAACAGCAGTAGTCTTGTCGTTGTCTCGTCGAGCACATTGGTCTCTTCGTCGTGCCCAAAACGAGCTTGTAAAGCCGATTTGGTGGGTGTGAGGTGCCATCTTGTGTAACCCGCGGGGCCCCCAGTGGGAGGACGCCAATCAATGCTGGCGAACATCGGAACCCGACGTACGCAGTCCGCGAAGGTAGCAACCTCATGTTTATATCTGTTGGGTATCAAACCTGCTGTCATTCATCGTAACCTGGGGGGTAACCGAAAACATACCAACTTCTGCACCCGTCGCACGACATCGTCGTAAGCCGAAGTCCGCAGTCTACCAAACTTGCGAATGGTGACAGAAATGAATAGTCCGGGAGGTTTGAAGTTGCAAGGGCAATGTATATACATCAGATCAATGGAGTTCGTATCGGGTCCACCCCCCCCTCGAGTTGCTAGGTCTATCAACTCAATGGAATTGGTATCAGGTCCACCTTCATGGGCGAGTTGCTAGGGCTATCAACTCAATTAAGTTTGTTTCGGGCCCACCCCCCCTCTGGAGTTGCTAGGTCTATCAAGTCAATGGGGTTGGTATCAAGTCCACCTTTATGGGCGAGTTGCCAGGGCTATCAAGCCAATGAAGTTTGTTTCAGGTCCACCCCCCCTTCTCGATAGCAGCTGACCGTTGGACTAAATATATACGCAATCAACGTTGACTGCACGGGAACAAATCCCGACAGGTCACTCTACAAAGCACGATTAGTTATTTTTCCGGCAACGTCTGACGAGGGGTCACGCCCAGAAGATCCCTGCTCAAATACCAGTGCTCAACCGGGTGGCGATGAGTCGAGAGTAAATATTTTTGTCGATGAAAGATCACCATCGGACTAGACGTTGTACTGCGCATCTAGTCCGAGCTTGTATCCAATACCCCCCCTGAGTTGCTAGGGCGATCAAGCCCCAGTGACGTTTGTATGGGATGTTAATAATATTAATCCAATGCTGATCCATGTCAAAACAGTTTTCATGTACATATACTAGCCCCACTCCTGACATATTCGACTTGGTTGTTGGGAGAACCGTCTTCCACACACGCTTCATCGAACTACTCTATCTAATGCATGTTGCAAATAAATGCGATTTTCGCCTTCATGTTCGTTTTGCCATTCGAACAGGAAGAACACCGAATCCACAAGAAAGTGCCGGTTTGTGAAAGCCATCAAGGAAAACATCGACTCAAGTGCAAGGAGCCATGCGGATACGTTTGGGATGTCCTTCGAACAAGCACAAAAAGACGCCTACAAGGGCGTCATGACCCACGAGATATGCCGACAAGTTGTTCACGACGAGTGCAAGGCAAAAAAGAACGAACACCACGCCGTCGTGCAGGCCGTGCGCGACGTGTGGTCAATCGTGAGCGGGTCGAGCGTCGTTGCAAGTGCGGGAGGGTATTCGCTACGGAGAACAATGGTGGGCATCATCGGCTCTCCCCGTGTTAGCTTCGAGGCCGCCAAGTCCTTCCTAGGAGGAACCCTCAAAGAGAAGACGTACAAGAAGGCCAGGGAACGACGAGAGGAGGCGCTAAAGAACAACGATTTCGGCAAAATGTAAGTCTACTTCAAACATTATCCGGGCATCCACTTTTTTTGTGATCGTAGGCAAGTTCGTGTATGTTTCCACTATTGAATAATCCCATTCACCATGTGTACATTGGCCACGCAGCTTGCGTCGGTTAACCGTGATAAACCTTAGATACGCCCTCGTCATTGCTTTTTTAGTTTGTATTTTTATTTATTGTGGAAGGATGCATAGCCACGGTGGTTTTTCTACGATTAAGGTGCACAGACGAAGTACATAAGCAATGTCCATTCTTTAGAAAAGGGTTGTATTTGGCCTCGCTTTCTCGATACGATTGCTATCTGCTTTTGCAGATGTCGCGCGCAGGGCGGGCAAACGAAAACAAAGATCGGACAACCTGGAGGACCTTTACCCGTTCGCGATGGCCAGGGTTAGGGAAAGCATCGAGGAGCGCACACAGCCGTCACCGTGCGAAACGAAGACGAAGCACGACCGCGCGAAGGGGAACCATATCCGGTCGGACGCAGATAACTCCCTCGTTTGTGTGCGCCCCGAGCTGTGCCAAACACACGGAATTTCCTACATGATGGGGACCCAACTACAGCTCTACAACTCTTGCATGGAAGATCTCCAGGCAGCGGTAAGTGCGAAGAAGAGGAAGCTTTTATGCGTTGGTACCAACTACACGATCCGGTATGCCTTGGCAGCAATCAGCGTCAATCTTTCTTACCTTCCACGCTGTTTGCGCTGCTTTTGGGTGGAGCCTACTCCTGAGAACGAGTCTTACTTATCCGTTCATCCGCTGAAGCTATCGTGACCAATGAATAGATACACCATTGTAAATCCTTGCTACATCAAGGGCGTCGTGCTTTGCCAATGTCAATATAGACTATCTCGCCATCTCGAATGCCAAAGACATTTAACAAGAGGTCCCATCACCCACCCGCGTGTGCCGTACTTTATGGACAGTTCGAACAGGGCCATGTCGAAGTGGGGTCGATCTCCAAGAAGTCATTCGAGGACATCATACCCTTCTACGTAGTGGAACAGTCACCTCGCTCCTGCCTTTGTGTGCATTGTTACAAGGCGAAGCTAGCCACGGTTTCCCTTGTCAAGATGTGGCCGACGCTCCACCACGGCGAAACAACGGGAGCTGCCTGCTCGTGCACTTGCGACCTGTGCTCCTCGGCAGGGGGCTGTAAGGAATTCCTGCCGTATTCCTCGCCCAAGGAGGTCTCCAGCATGGGCAAGTTAAGCGACAAACTCATGTGCGACAAAATCTTCCTTTACACAGCTACCGGCAACGGAAAGGCCATCAGTGCACACTCATCGGTTTGCGTATCGGGGAATTGCCCGCGGTGCAAGGAAAGGCAGGACCGTTTCTTTGGTTGCCCTCGGAATAGAGGGGGTATCGACCGGGACTTGGGGCCCGCTTCTACCTCTTCCTCGACCATCCATCCTGCAGGACGAACGTCGGGTGGGACCGTCGAGTGGAGTATGTTCGACACGGTAGATGAAGCGGGGCGTGCAGTGGGGCCTAGCCGTAGGAGAGGGGCAAATGCGGGCGGCGACGGAGAGAGCGACGACGACTCAGGGGGCGCGGGCAGACCAAGACCGAAGAAGGTGAAAACAAGTGTGTCAGCGGCACTATCTTAGGCCAGACATTTGGAATAATACTGTGGCATGAGTTAACCTGGAACGCTGGGCGGCACGACGCACCGATCCGTTAGTCCAGATCGGCCGTTCGTCCCGATCGGGCGTTGCTATAGATCGGCGCTTTGAATCTTTCTACAGATCGGTGCAGAGGCATACACCACGTTCGAGTTGATAGCGTTAGCAAGTACACCAATCGTTGAATGTGTTGCCAACAAATATTCCCATGCGCTAACGGCCACGCCAATGATATTGTTTTCGGGACTAAGTTTGCGCAACGTCAACTCACCAACGCTGTTGATTCTTCATTGTGGCCCGACTCGTACACATTCCGTGTGTGTCTCGTTACCTGTTCCCCCCTATCGAGCAGGGGGTTGTTGTCAAGAGAGGCACGGTCGACGAGTTCTTTGAAGAGGTCCGGGAGATTCAGGGTGTCTACAGAAAGCATCGAAGACAATTCCACCACCAGAGAAGTACATTCAACGAGACTCTAGCAACGTTGGAAGAGGGCCAGGTCGTGTTCGTCGTGGACTTCCAGGAACAGCTACAACTGAGCGAGCAGGACGAAGTTCAGTCCCAACACTGGCAGCACGAGAGTGTGACCATTTTCCCCGCCCCTATCTACTTCAAGATGAGAGGGCGAGTTTGGTGCTACTCTTTCCAGGTCCTCACCGATGACAGGACCCAAGACAACGTGTGGGTGCAGTACGTCATGAATCAGTTGCTAAGTGTCCATGTCCCTGGCCTGTTGCGGAAAGTCGGGGCCGCCCCGATGACCAAAGCCATAATCTTCACGGACAACTGTGCCAAGCAGTTCAAGTGTAGATTTCACTTTGGCTGGGTTGCCCAAAGCGGTGTGATGATTCGCGACTCCGACGGGAATGCCACCGACATGCGTCTTGTTGTTGAGCACCACTACTTCGGCTCGTGTCATGGGAAGAGCAATTCGGACTCAGAGGGAGCTATAACGAAGTTGGCAGAGAGAACGAACGTCATGAACGGGTCGTGGGTCGTCCGAAACCCGGAACATCTTTGCGAGCTGCTGGCGAAGGAATTCTCCTTCTTGCTGCAGGAGGCTTCTCCAGACGAGGCTGATCGCTTCTACGAAGACAAGAGCCACAGCCGAGGAGGGCAGCAGCTTCTGGTGACAAAGGTGTGCGACCATCAACTGCCCCCAACCGGGAAAGATAGACCCATTCCCGATGATAGGTCGACCTTGGTTGTTCAGATATCGTTGGTCTTTTCATGAATAGCCTGTAAATACGTTGGAGTCGCAACCTGAGACCGAAACGCCACGACATCTTTCATCAACATGCGTCCTGTCTTCTACCCACCCATGGCGAAACTAACCATTTTGAGCCTCGACCATATCACCTAATGTTTGCTACATGGCCAAACGCTGGTGTCCTGTTTTCATTGTGATCGTAGGTGGTGGAAGGGGACGACGGTGCTGAGAGCAGGAAGACGTTCCTCCTCACAAAGAAGAAGAACACGCTTCTTGGAAGAAAGTACCTCTTCGTTCGACAAGGCGATATTCCCGAGGCCTTCCGCGCCGCGGCCCGATCTGAGGCCAACGCAATTCCCGTCTCCGGCTGTCAAAGCATCAGCAAGACGACAGCAACAGACACTCCGGGTGTCCTGGCAACCTACACGCTTTCATGCCGGTGTGTACCCTGGTTGGCGGGAGGGGGGGGGGGTGGAAGAGGGAGGAAGAACAACGTTTGAGAGCCGTCATTTTTATCGGTCAGATGATGAGCAAAAACGGAGCAAAAACGAAACAACCAACTTCCAGCCTAGAGTATTATGTTTCCAGAGTATTACTCTCCTGTTTCATGCTACACCTTTCGAGGGGGCATGGCAATGGCCTAGTTCGATGCATGCAGTGCCTGCTCGGTCCGAGGTACTCACGACTGCTTATTCAATTTCAATATTAGGTGTTTTTCGTCGACTCTATAGCGCTATAGGGTCGGGGACTAACTCTCCATCGCTCTCATCAATATTCTCGTAACCCAAGTTTACGATCAGCAGAACGTGTACGCATATGCGTCATGCTATATACGGAGTATTTTGTATACTTAGGCCACTCCTGATAACACTGGCGTATTTCTAACTTGGCCATACTGCACAGGTGTGGTTCGTGCAGGAAGAAGGAGCCGGAGAATTGTCGACTCTTCCGTAAGGGCATCACGGAGGCACCCGCTGAGTGGTCGCGGAGGACGAGAGGCGATGACGAGCTCAGCTCCAAAGACGAGCAGATGGAAGTCATGTTTAGCGCAATGCAGGCTTCCCTCGTATATGGCTCTGTAGCTCTTCTGAGAGTCAACCCTTGTGAATATTTCGGCCAGGACGTGGTTCCTGTGATCATCGGGCGAAAGGCTCCTAGCGATTTTTCTGCAAGATCGTCGAGGGATGGCATGTTCGTCAGTAAGGACACCATGGTATGGATATATGACATCGTTCAAGTACCAGGGAGGGAACGGGAGTATGATGTGCCCGATGTATTGAACGGGGGGGAAACCAGGGCGGTACCCCTGCGATGTATTGCAGGGCTTGGGCAGAGCGTGAAAGGGTATATGGAACGGGTACCCGGAGCTAGTTCATCACCTTCGACCACGCGCTATTGCATGCGTATCAGCGTGGAAGGCCCGCTCAAAACTGAGATACGATTGACTTGAGAGAAAATATCCACCGAAGCTGCAGATGAGACCATGCAGAGTTCGATTTTAGCACCTTCACACGCCGAGTTGCAGAAGACGAACCGTTGAATCGCACCTCCACGTGCGAAAATGTAAGCAAAACATTGGCGACAGTCATCTTTCGTTTCTCGAGCACGGGGCAAAGGGCGCCGGAGATAGCCAAGTGAGGTGCACCATATTTTGCCCATCTCCGCCGCACTGTAAACGTAATATTTCGTTGGCCATTTTCTCATTACTGCGTTCCTCTTTGCCCCCCCCGTAGGCGTTAGTCGACGGCCGTCGCTAGTTGGCGGCAAGGGTAGTTTTAGCGATGGTTTTGCTGGTGACGGGGCGCCGCCGGCAAAGGGGATGGTCTTAGACCGTGAAGCAGCCGGTACCTTGAAGGAGACGGAGGATGAGCCGCTTTGGTCGTTGCCGGTGAGAGAGAGAGGGACTACAAGTGCACGTGCGAAGAGGCTCAACGGGCGCTTGCTCGCTGAACATTCATGAAGTGTACGACCTCCTGCTGCCCCCAACTTTGCACATGGCATTCATCACGTCTTGACGCATTTGTTGTCGCTCGCTCTAGTCCAAGGCGAGTCCAAGGCTTAGACCTGCCTTTGCCCTCCCAGTGCACCTAAAGTACTTCCGGCAAGTGCTGCAAGTCCTTTGTGACAGCGGTCCTCGATTTCAGGCGGATACCATTGTTTCCGAAAAGAACCAACGAAGTTTTGTGCTTCCAAATGCGAGATCGGTGGGTGCCCGTGTTGACTGACTGCTCGGCTGTTCCTCCAAACGTTGTCTTGAGCAGCAGCAAGAAGACACGGTATGGCGGGATCGAAGGCTCCGCAGGACCGGTGTTTCGGATGATGCTGCAGCAAGCTCGCGCAGACAGCTGCAGCCGACCTCTGGTAAGCTCGTTCCGTGGATCTTGTCATCTTCGTAGTTTCGATCTCGGGTATCACCAATGAGTCTGAAACAATCAATCTGATCTATGTGATCCCGAACGGGAAGTCTTTAAAAGAGAACCTCTCAAGAGGGTAAAAATTCTGGGAACGAACGATGGTGAAAAAACAGCCTGATGATTGCCTCGTACTTTGTGGCTGCAATTTGCACACGATTTCTGCCACTCGGTATATACTGACACGGTTGTCTCAGGGCATGATTGGATTTCGACATCGAGGCCACCATTTTTTTTTTTTTCTTGTCAGTAGCGTTGATCGTATCCTCTGCCGGACGTGTGACAGGCACGCCCTCATACATCCGTGTGCGTGATGATTGTGTTTTGATAAACACTGGAACACACCAAGGTACATTAGCGCACATGCGTGAATTTGTCGTTGTTATTGGCAAAACAGGCTTGGTCAAGAGGCCTTCACTTCTCACGGCGATAGTCGCTTACGGCAGAGATCCGGAAATAGCCCACTGTATATGGTTGTTTGTTCATTGTTGCGAAGAATTTGGGTACGTACTATCTAGCGCCGCCTCGTGTTTGTCGTACTACCCCCCCCCCTTGAAGTCGCTCTGTCTCGAAAGGGACGCGTGGTCAATGGTCAAATGACTACGGCAAGCAACAAATGAGTACGCCCCCCCCCCCTTGAAGTCGATGCGCGCAACGAACCTTCCATAAAACCCTTTCGCAATCTGGTGCAAGATGCGACAAACCTGACCTTTCATGTTTCCCACCCGCTGTGTGTGAATGACACTCTTTGTCCAGGGTTCTGCTCGATTTCAACGCGGGCTTGTGAAGATTGCTCGGAATGGTCTTGCGGAAGTGATTACGTGCCGAAACCCGCCGAAGCTGACTATCCGTGCCCCCTAGGCTGCACCGACACGTTCTGTTGCAATGGTAAGAAGTCGCTTCGCCTGAAAAAAGCACCGTCGTATTAATAGTTTTACTTTGCTTGCCCCCCACTCTCTGTGTGCCTATGATACATCTGATTGGGCCTCGGTACTCTACGGTTGTGCGTGGTGGCGACATTGATCGCGTTCGGCATAGCATACGATCAAGCGACAGAAAACTGATGCTGCTCAGGTTTTAGCAGCGCTAGGCGCTCCCCTCGTGAACATCGTTCAGCTTACTGCCGCACGGGTATATGGCCCAAGCCTGTTCGGCATGGTGCTTGCTGCAAAGTGCCTTCGTATCTTGCCGCGCATCCGTCGCTGCGTTCTTTCGTGCTAACATACATGCGACTCGGCGATTGTGCCATTCTTCACGGCCATCCGCTATCCGCCATCGACATCACTGCGACATCGACCCCCATGCAGCTCGCGCGCTGACGTGCGATTCTTACGTGGACGCTTTCGGGAGTACCCTTTGCGACGAGGGGTACGTGCCGATTGATGGTGGGGACACCATCGAGTGCGAAACGACGTGTGACTCCGCGACGTGCTGCCAAGCAAGTGAGTGACCTTGCGCCGCATTGCGTCGCATTGCTTTGCGTTGCTCCCAACTCGTACGCAAGCAGCGTGACATTGCCGTTGCTGCCCTAAGCTTGTGTTGTGTTTGAAAGCTCGTTTCGTAAACGTGCTCATGTGTACGGCCGTTCGACGTGTCTTGGTTTGAGAGCTTGGTCGGTAGTCATCGTGCAGAAGCGGCTGTCTAACAGACGCTGGACACTCAGCTATGACATACTCCTGGCCTTGACCGTGTTGATATCTATGATCGTTTCTGGAGTAGATTGTAGTGGTTGACAAGCGGCAATGGTCACAGCGTGCACACATATACTAACGCGTCTACCGATGCAAATATCGACGGAGCTCAACACGATTTCTGAAAACACACCTTTGCCCTATCGCGGCGCGGGCGAACGCGAACCACGGAATGCTGTATTTCAACGTTCACGCCCGTCCTTTGGCGATCTCCTGTTTTGCATGTCTCGTGGATTGCCATTTTTGGCAGCCGACACCCCTGCGCCGACGTCTCGGCCGGTCGTGTCAACACCTGCTCCAACTACGGCCTCACCTGCGCCACGTGAGGAGGAAATGTTTACGTTGTGCAGGACACTCACGGGTTCTGGCGTGTCCTAAGCTTCGATGGTAGCCGGTGGTATACGTACTGCGATTCAACGACTATGCCATTCTTCACGTCAAACATTGTTTTTCTGCCATCCGCTGTCCGCCATCGACATCACTACTGTACGACGTTGGTCTACATGAAGCTGGCACGCTAACGTGCGAGTCGTACGTGAGGACTTTTGGGGGCAGCTTTTGCGATGAGGGGTCAGAGCCGATATCTGGTGGCGACACCATCGAGTGCGGCACGACCTGTAACCCCGAGACGTGCTGCCAAGGAAGTGAGTGGTGTTGCTTCGTGCTTCGTTTTGTTCCCAACTCGTACGCGAACAGCGTGGTACTGCCGTTGCTGCCCTGGTCTCCAGCTGTGTTTGCCAAACCGTTTCACAAGCGTGCACATTTATGTACGGCTTTCGGCGAATCTTGTTTTCAGGGCTTCGTCAGCACCTCGTCCACGTTGCAAGTCCTCGGTTGGTCGCCGGTACGTTCATACCTCCAACTACACGTCAACAGAGGAATGACTTGTCGATTATGCTTACACTCGCTCTCCGCCATCTTTATTTCTTAGGTGTTGTCCTCGTTGAAGTTGGCACGGTGACGTGTGCCTCGTACGTGGATGCCTCCGGGGGCACTCTTTGCGACGAGGGGTACGTGCCGATCACTGGTGGCAACACCATCGCGTGCGACACGGCGTGTGACGTCGCGACGTGCTGCCAAGCAAGTGAGTGGCGTTGCTTGGCGTTGGTCCAATCCCAACCCCAGCTTACGAACAACATGGCAATGCTGATACTGCTCTGAGCTGTAAGAGTCGTATATGAACAATCAGTTCGTAAGCATGCCATGAAACAACACGCACCGAAACGGACTCAAAGCCCGTCCGCTCGTCCAAACTCCTCCCTACAGGGCCTACTGCGGACCCAACGCCTTCACCGACGACGGCCTCGCCTACACCAGGTGAAGGGTGATTATACTATTCTTAGGTATGGAAGGGTGGATCAACGCCTACACGGGGGTGCCGTCATTAACGCCGACTCCTCCAGAAGAGTGCCATATCCGACTCGTGAAATGTGTTCGGGAGTGTTGATTCCATCCTTTGCCCCAACTCTTTCGCGACAGGGCCTACTGCGGACCCAACGACTTCGCCGACGACGGCCTCGCCTACACCAGGTGAAGAATGAAATACTCGATTGGTGTAAGATTGTATCACAGGCTCTAGGGTAAACCCGCAGTTATCTGCACGATTGCGGAGAGCAGACTGTGCAACAACCAATACGCGATCCATTCGCAGTTCGACAATTGTGCTGCCATACTAGTGGAGGTGTGGTAGGCATGTTTGTGACTCATTCCCGTCGAAATGAGGCGGACATTTGTTGCATGTCTAGCGCTTTGGGTGTTGCCGATGGATTCATGCACCAACCCCCAATCGAACAGACTGCTAAACCCGGCCCACTCCCCAATGCCCATCGCAACAGGGCCTACTACGAACCCAACGCCTTCGCCGACGACCGGTTCGCCTGCACCAGGTGATTTGCAAACGATTTGTGTTACAGCGTAGTTGGTGCACATCTGTATCACAGCCTATGCGGGGACCCTGGAAACCATGTGTGTTCACACCACGAGTATGGTGTGCCAATTGAACCAACAGGACCCGTGCTCACTCCGACAGCACCGCACGACTTCGATCGGAGGCGTCGTTCAAATTCTCGCGTTGAGCATTCACGTATTGAGCAATCACCCATCTGGGTATGCACATCTCTTTTGTCCGTTTGGCAACGCCTGGGCGCGTGGTCGATGATTCAATATTTTTCAAACTCGCACTACCCGACGACAAACTAGCTGTTGACGCTTGCATGCGCTCTCCGCCATTGACATCGCCTCGCTCTTTCTCCCATATAGCTGGCGTGCTGACGTGCGACTCGTACGTGGAGCCCATCGGTTGGGGCCCTCTTTGCCAAGAGGGGTCAGAGCGCATACCTGGCGGCGACACCATCGAGTGCGGCACGACGTGTGACGCCGCGACGTGCTGCCAAGCAAGTGAGTGGTCTTGCTCGACAATGCTTTGCGCTGCTCCCAACTCGTACGCGAACAGCGTGGCATTGCCATTGCTGCCCGAAATCTGCGGTTGTGTTCGCCAAAGCGTTTCACAAGCGTATACATGTGTACGGCCTTTCGGCGCATCTTGTTTTCAGCGCTTCGTCGGCACCTCGTCCACGTTGCAAGTCCTCGGTTGGTCGCCGTTGGGTTCATACCTCCAAGTACACGTCAACAGAGGACGTACTTGTTGTTGATACTTCCATCCGCTCCCCACCATCGACATCACTTCGATGTTGTCCTCCTTGTGTAGTTGGCACGGTGACGTGTGCCTCGTACGTGGATGCCTCCGGGGGCACTCTTTGCGACGAGGGGTACGTGCCGATCACTGGTGGTAACACCATCGCGTGCGACACGGCGTGTGACGTCGCGACGTGCTGCCGAGCAAGTGAGTGACGTTGCTTGGCGTTGGTCCAATCCCAACCCCAGCACGCAAACAACATGGCAATGCTGATACTGCTCTGAGCTGTAAGAGTCGTATATGAACAATCAGTTCGTAAGCATGCACGCGTGTGCGGCCGTGCGGGGTGTCTTCGCTTGAGAGCTTGGTTGGCAGTTCACGATGAGGGTGCGGCCATCTGACAGTAGCTGGACGCTCAGACATCACTTTCTGTCGGTGTTGAACACGTTGATATGTCCTCTGTGGTTGGAGGCGTGGATTGTTGTGCTTGTCTATCTCGGGGAATGGCTACGGATTCGGCATGCATGGCTATTTGGGCGCCTCTACCGATACCGGCATTGACGGCAACCACGACTTTGGCTGAGAAACAACGTCGCGCGATCGCGGTATGGGCAAACGTCGAATCGCCTGACGGTGTGTTGAAAAGTTAGCACCCGCTCTCTGGTAATCGTACACGCTTCGTTGTGCGTGTCTCGTGCATGGCCGTTGTTGGCAGCCGATACCCCTACGCCGACGGCCGTGTCAACACCTGCTCCAACTACGGCGTCGCCAACGCCAGGTGAGGAGCAACTGTTTCTTTTTGAGTACGCGCGCATGTATCAATCAGTGGCGTCGCATTCTTCATATACGGAGGTAGGGTACGTACGCAGTTGAACCTGTCGTGCTCCCTACCTGTGAAGCCACGGCGCGGGATTCCGATACGTTCATACTTGCCACGGCCTGGATTTCCTCCCGCTCTCAAAACGTTTTCGCGACAGGGCCTACGACGGACCCAACGCCTTCGCCGGCGACGGCCCCGCCTACACCAGGTGTGCACGCGTGTATGAAAAGTTCTTCAGGAGAGTGTCGAATCACCACCGATTACTTCACAAGAGTGCTTATCAGTATTGTGCCGTATAGTGCTCGGTTTGACTAGACTTGACCTTCAGATAGGCGGGACTGCTCCTGTTCATGGTGGTGGCATGTTCACGTTTGGGCAAGGTGAACAAGAAAACTTCTGTGTCGCGCTATGTGAGGTTACCGCTGTGTTCATCCACCCACAGCCACTGGAACACACGCAACTCTCGCCCATTCCCCACACGTGTCCTCAACAGGGCCTACGACGGACCCAACGTCTTCGCCGACAACGGCCTCGCCCATACGAGGTGAAGAGTGTGCGTTTGAGTTTTGATCGGTGCAACCGAATAGAACAGCCTGAACGCGACCTGTACGAGACCCTGAAAGCGATCAGTGGTGACACCACCAGAATGTCGGGCTATTGCACCAATAGGATCCGTGCTCACTCCGAGAGCACTGCACGATTTCGATCGGAGGCATGTTTCGCCTTCACTTTTCCATATTCAGAAATCTCACGTTGGCAAGCCCTTGGAACTTCCAAACAGACGGTAACGGACGAATGACGCGCCGTTAGCTCTTCTTGTTGCTCTCCGCCATTGACCTCCCTCCGATGTTGGGCCCCGTGCAGTTGGCACGGTGACGTGCGATTCGTACGTGAACTTTGCCGGGCGTCCCCTTTGCGACGAGGGGTACGTGCCGATTGCTGGTGGCGACACGATCGAGTGCGACACGGTGTGTGACGTCGCGACTTGCTGCCAAGCATGTGAGTGGCGTTGCTTGGTGTTCGTCCCAACCACAACCACGTCCACAAACAGCCTAATGTTACCGTTGCTGCTCAAGTCTGCAGTCGTATTTGAACAACCGGGTCACAAGCATGCACGCGCGTGTGTATCCGTGCGGCGTGTTTTGGTTAGTAAGCATGTTCGGCAGTTAATGATGCAGGAACATCCATCTGACAGAGGCTGGACGCCGAGCCATGGCGTTCCGCCGGCCTCGAGCATGTTGATGGCTATATGATCGTCGCTGGTGTGGATTGTTGTGCTTGCTTGTCTGGGAAACGGCCACACATTCGGCATGGATGGCTTGCTGACGCGGGTATTCTACCAGCATGACGGACCCCAACACGTCCTCCGAACACAACACTTGCCCGATCGCGGTGTTGGCTAACGCCGAGTCTCCAAACACTGCATTCGAACCTTCACGCCCACTCCCTAGCAATCGTTCATGCCTATTCGCGCGTCTCGTGCGTCGCCGTGATTGGCAGCCGATACCCCCGCGCCGACGTCTCGGCCGGCCGTGTCAACACCTGCTCCAACCACGGCCTCCCCTACGCCAGGTGAGGAGCGATTGAGTGTTTTTCAGTATGCGCGTAAGTACCAATCACAGGCGCTTTCACGGGAAGCTCAAACGCCGTCAAAGCTAATACAGTGCACGATGGCGGAAACACGATCCATGCTCACTCCGAATTCACCGCACCATTTGGTGGCGTAGCATGTTTGGTATACAGGGGTGAGACACGTACACGGTTGAACCCATCATGCTCCCTACCTGTGAAGTCACGACGCAGGGTTCCAATGCGCACGTACCTGTGAAAGCCTTTCAATACCGCCCGCTCCCCACAACGATTTCGCGACAGGGCCTACGACCGACCCAACGCCTTCTCCGACGACGGCCTCGCCTACACCAGGTGAAGAATGAAGTACTCGGTTGGTGTGCGAATGTATGACAGGCTCTAGGGCACACGTTCCATCGTCGTCATGGGTGCTGAGAGCAGAGTATGGCATGGCATGAACGCGATCCGTGTTCATTTCGACGAAGTTGTCAGTCCGAATAGTGGGCTTGTGTTAGACAGGTTTGTGACATATGCACGTCAAATCGAGGCGACCGTTTGGTGCGCGTCAAGCCCTTGAGGGTTGCCGATGTATTGATGTGCCTACACCGACTGCAACCGACTGTACTGCCGGTCCCCCGCCCCATGCTCATCGCATCAGGGCCCACTGCGGACCCAACGCCTTCGCCGACGACCGCGTCGCCTACACCAGGTGAAGAGCGCACTTGTCTGTTTTGTTTGGGGGTGCGAACGTATCGCACGCATTAGGTGGAGCCCGAGCCCGAAGTCGTAAGCATCGATGCCTGTCGAAGAGCGTGCGATGAGACAAACGCGATCCATGCCTACTTGGAACGTATTATGCCGTTCGTAAGGTAGAGTCGGTTCGTTTGGATGTTTGTGACCATAGTACGTCAAGCTAAGGTGAACATCAATTGTGCCAAGCGATTGCAGGATGCCGATGTATTTGTTCGGCCACAAGCACCGGAACATACTGTAAGCCCCGCCCGCTCGTCCAAACTCGTCGCTACAGGGCCTACGACGGACCCAACGCCTTCGCCGACGACGGCCTCGCCTACACCAGGTGAAGGGTGAAATACTCGATTGGTGTACGATTGTATCACAGGTTCTAGGGGAAACACGCAGTTATCTGCACGATTGCGGAGAGCAGACTGTGCAACAACCAATACGCGCTCCATGCGCAGTTCGACAATTGTGCTTCCATACTAGTGGAGGTGTGGTAGGCATGTTTGTGACTCATTCCCGTCGAAATGAGGCGGGAATTTGCTGCATGTCAAGCGCTTTGGGTGTTGCCGATGGATTTATGCACCAAACCCCAATCGAACAGACTGCTAAACCCGGCCCACTCCCCAATGCGCATCGCAACAGGGCCTACTACAGACCCAACGCCTTCGCCGACGACCGGTTCGCCTGCACCAGGTGTGCGAACGAATGGTGTTACAGCGTAGTTGGTGCACATCTGTATCACAGCCTATGCGGGGACCCTGGAAACCATGTCTGTTCACACCACAAGTATGGTGTGCCAATTGAACCAACAGGACCCGTGCTCACTCCGACAGCACTGCACGACTTCGATCGGAGGCGTCGTTCAAATTCTCGCGTTGAGCATTCACGTATTGAGCAATCACCCATCTGGGTATGCCCATCTCTTTTGTCCGTTTGGCAACGCCTGGGCGCGTGGTCGATGATTCAATATTTTTCAAACTCGCACTACCCGATGAATAACTAGCTGTTGATTCTTGCATGCGCTCTCCGCCATCGACATCGCCTCGCTCTTTCTCCCATATAGCTGGCGTGCTGACGTGCGACTCGTACGTGGAGCCCATCGGTTGGGGCCCTCTTTGCCAAGAGGGGTCAGAGCGCATACCTGGCGGCGATACCATCGAGTGCGGCACGACGTGTGACGCCGCGACGTGCTGCCAAGCAAGTGAGTGGTCTTGCTCGACATTGCTTTGCGCTGCTCCCAACTCGTACGCGAACAGCGTGGCATTGCCATTGCTGCCCGAAATCTGCGGTTGTGTTCGCCAAAGCGTTTCACAAGCGTATACATGTGTACGGCCTTTCGGCGCATCTTGTTTTCAGCGCTTCGTCGGCACCTCGTCCACGTTGCAAGTCCTCGGTTGGTCGCCGTTGGGTTCATACCTCCAAGTACACGTCAACAGAGGACTTACTTGTTGTTGATACTTCCATCCGCTCCCCACCATCGACATCACTTCGATGTTGTCCTCCGTGTGTAGTTGGCACGGTGACGTGTGCCTCGTACGTGGATGCCTCCGGGGGCACTCTTTGCGACGAGGGGTACGTGCCGATCGCTGGTGGTAACACCATCGCGTGCGACACGGCGTGTGACGTCGCGACGTGCTGCCAAGCAAGTGAGTGACGTTGCTTGGCGTTGGTCCAATCCGAACCCCAGCACGCAAACAACATGGCAATGCTGATACTGCTATGAGCTGTAAGAGTCGTGTATGAACAATGGATTCACAAACATGCACGCGTGTGCGGCCGTGCGGGGTGTCTTCGCTTGAGAGCTTGGTTGACAGTTCACGATGAGGGTGCGGCCATCTGACAGTAGCTGGACGCTCAGACATCACTTTCTGTCGGTGTTGAACACGTTGATATGTCCTCTGTGGTTGGAGGTGTGGATTGTTGTGCTTGTCTATCTCGGGGAATGACGACGGATTCGGCATGGATGAATGTTTGACGCGTCTACCGATACCGACACCGACGGCGACCACGACTTTGGCTGAGAAACAACGTCGCGTGATCGTGGTATATTTATGGGCAAACGTCGAACCGCCTGACGCTGTGTTCTAACGTTAGCACCTGCTTTCTGGCAATCGTACACGCTTCGTTGTGCGTGTCTCGTGCATCCGTGGTTGGCAGCCGATACCCCTGCGCCGACGGCCGTGTCAACACCTGCTCCAACTACGGCCCCCCCTACGCCAGGTGAGGAGCAACTGTTTCTTTTTGAGTACGCGCGCATGTATCAATCACATCCTTCGGGGGAAGCTCCAACGCCGTCGACGCTGGTCTAGTGTACGAAGGGAAAACACGATCCGGGCTCACTCCGAATTCACCGCACCATTTGGTGGCGTCGCGTTCTTCACATACGGAGGTAGGGTACGTACGCAATTGAACCCATCATGCTCCCTACCTGTGAAGCCACGGTGCGGGATTCCGATACGTTCATACTGGTGAAGGGCTTTCATTTCCTCCCGCTCTCAAAAATGTTTTCGCGACAGGGCCTACGACGGACCCAACGCCTTCTCCGACGACGGCCCCGCCTACACCAGGTACGTGTATGTATGAAACGTTCTACACGAGAGTGTCGAAGTAATCAGCACCGATTACTTTAGAAGAGGGTGCTTGTCAGTATCGTGCCGTGTAGTGTTCGGTTTGACGAGACTGCTCCTGTTCATGGTGTTGGCATGTTCACGTTTGGGCAAGGTGAACAAGAAAACTTCCGTGTCGCGCTATGTGAGGTTACCGCTGTGTTCATCCACCCACAGCCACTAGCACGCACGTAAGACCCGCCCATTCCCCACACGTGTCCTCAACAGGGCCTACGACGGACCCAACGTCTTCGCCGACAACGGCCTCGCCCATACGAGGTGAAGAGTGTGCGTTTGAGTTTTGATCGGTGCAACCGAATAGAACAGCCTGAACGCGACCTGTACGAGACCCTGAAAGCTATCAGTGGTGACACCACCAGAATGTCGGGCTATTGCACCAATAGGATCCGTGCTCACTCCGAGAGCACTGCACGATTTCGATCGGAGGCATGTTTCGCCTTCATTTTTCCATATTCAGAAATCCCACGTTGGCAAGCCCTTGGAACTTCCAAACAGACGGTAACGGACGAATGACGCGCCGTTAGCTCTTCTTGTTGCTCTCCGCCATTGACCTCCCTCCGATGTTGGGCCCCGTGCAGTTGGCACGGTGACGTGCGATTCGTACGTGAACCTTGCCGGGCGTCCCCTTTGCGACGAGGGGTACGTGCCGATTGCTGGTGGCGACACGATCGAGTGCGACACGGTGTGTGACGTCGCGACTTGCTGCCAAGCATGTGAGTGGCGTTGCTTGGTGTTCGTCCCAACCACAACCACGCCCACAAACAGCCTAATGTTGCTATTGCTGCTCAAGTCTGCAGTCGTATTTGAACAACCGGGTCACAAGCATGCACGCGCGTGTGTATCCGTGCGGCGTGTTTTGGTTAGTAAGCATGTTCGGCAGTTGATGATGCAGGAACATCCATCTGACAGAGGCTGGACGCCGAGCCATGGCGTTCCGCCGGCCTCGAGCATGTTGATGGCTATATGATCGTCGCTGGTGTGGATTGTTGTGCTTGCTTGTCTGGGAAACGGCCACACATTCGGCATGGATGGCTTGCTGACGCGGGTATTCTACCAGCATGACGGACCCCAACACGTCCTCCGAACACAACACTTGCCCGATCGCTGTGTTGGCTAACGCCGAGTCTCCAAACACTGCATTCGAACCTTCACGCCCACTCCCTAGCAATCGTTCATGCCTATTCGCGCGTCTCTTGCGTCGCCGTGATTGGCAGCCGATACCCCCGCGCCGACGTCTCGGCCGGCCGTGTCAACACCTGCTTCAACCACGGCCTCCCCTACGCCAGGTGAGGAGCGATTGAGTGTTTTTCAGTATGCGCGTAAGTACCAATCACAGGCGCTTTCACGGGAAGCTCAAACGCCGTCAAAGCTAATACAGTGCACGATGGCGGAAACACGATCCATGCTCACTCCGAATTCACCGCACCATTTGGTGGCGTAGCATGTTTGGTATACAGGGGTGAGACACGTACACGGTTGAACCCATCATGCTCCCTACCTGTGAAGTCACGACGCAGGGTTCCAATACGCACGTACCTGTGAAGGCCTTTCAATACCGCCCGCTCCCCACAACGATTTCGCGACAGGGCCTACGACCGACCCAACGCCTTCTCCGACGACGGCCTCGCCTACACCAGGTGAAGAATGAAGTACTCGGTTGGTGTGCGAATGTATGACAGGCTCTAGGGCACGCGTTCCATCGTCGTCATGGGTGCTGAGAGCAGAGTATGGCATGGCATGAACGCGATCCGTGTTCATTTCGACGAAGTTGTCAGTCCGAATAGTGGGCTTGTGTTAGACAGGTTTGTGACATATGCACGTCAAATCGAGGCGACCGTTTGGTGCGCGTCAAGCCCTTGAGGGTTGCCGATGTATTGATGTGCCTACACCGACTGCAACCGACTGTACTGCCGGTCCCCCGCCCCATGCTCATCGCATCAGGGCCCACTGCGGACCCAACGCCTTCGCCGACGACCGCGTCGCCTACACCAGGTGAAGAGCGCACTTGTCTGTTTTGTTTGGGGGTGCGAACGTATCGCACGCATTAGGTGGAGCCCGAGCCTGAAGTCGTAAGCATCGATGCCTGTCGAAGAGTGTGCGATGAGACAAACGCGATCCATGCCTACTTGGAACGTATTATGCCGTTCGTAAGGTAGAGTCGGTTCGTTTGGATGTTTGTGACCATAGTACGTCAAGCTAAGGTGAACATCAATTGTGCCAAGCGATTGCAGGATGCCGATGTATTTGTTCGGCCACAAGCACCGGAACATACTGTAAGCCCCGCCCGCTCGACCAAACTCGTCGCTACAGGGCCTACGACGGACCCAACGCCTTCGCCGACGACGGCCCCGCCTACACCAGGTGAAGGGTGAAATACTCGATTGGTGTACGATTGTATCACAGGTTCTAGGGGAAACACGCAGTTATCTGCACGATTGCGGAGAGCAGACTGTGCAACAACCAATACGCGATCCATGCGCAGTTCGACAATTGTGCTGCCATACTAGTGGAGGTGTGGTAGGCATGTTTGTGACCCATTCCCGTCGAAATGAGGCGGGCATTTGCTGCATGTCTAGCGCTTTGGGTGTTGCCGATGGATTTATGCACCAAACCCCAATCGAACAGACTGCTAAACCCGGCCCACTCCCCAATGCGCATCGCAACAGGGCCTACTACAGACCCAACGCCTTCGCCGACGACCGGTTCGCCTGCACCAGGTGTGCGAACGATTGGTGTTGCAGTGTAGTTGGTGCACATCTGTATCACAGCCTATGCGGGGACCCTGGAAGCCATGAGTGGTCACACCACAAGTATGGTGTGCCAATTGAACCAACAGGACCCGTGCTCACTCCGACAGCACTGCACGACTTCGATCGGAGGCGTCGTTCATCATCACACGTTGAGCATTCACGTATTGAGCAATCACCCATCTGGGTATGCCCATCTCTTTTATCCGTTTGGCAACGCCTTGGCGCGTGGTCGATGATTCAATATTTTTCAAACTCGCACTACCCGATGAATAACTAGCTGTTGATTCTTGCATGCGCTCTCCGCCATCGACATCGCCTCGCTCTTTCTCCCATATAGCTGGCGTGCTGACGTGCGACTCGTACGTGGAGCCCATCGGTTGGGGCCCTCTTTGCCAAGAGGGGTCAGAGCGCATACCTGGCGGCGACACCATCGAGTGCGGCACGACGTGTGACGCCGCGACGTGCTGCCAAGCAAGTGAGTGGTCTTGCTCGACATTGCTTTGCGCTGCTCCCAACTCGTACGCGAACAGCGTGGCATTGCCATTGCTGCCCGAAATCTGCGGTTGTGTTCGCCAAAGCGTTTCACAAGCGTATACATGTGTACGGCCATTCGGCGCATCTTGTTTTCAGCGCTTCGTCGGCACCTCGTCCACGTTGCAAGTCCTCGGTTGGTCGCCGTTGGGTTCATACCTCCAAGTACACGTCAACAGAGGACTTACTTGTTGTTGATACTTCCATCCGGTCCCCGCCGTCGACATCACTTCGGTGTTGTCCTCCGTGTGTAGTTGGCACGGTGACGTGTGCCTCGTACGTGGATGCCTCCGGGGGCACTCTTTGCGACGAGGGGTACATGCCGATCACTGGTGGTAACACCATCGCGTGCGACACGGCGTGTGACGTCGCGACGTGCTGCCAAGCAAGTGAGTGGCGTTGCTTGGCGTCGGTCCCAATCACAATCCCAGCATGCAACAACAAGATGGCGGTGCTGTTATCAACATGGCAATGCTGATATGCACTCGTGTATGAACAATCGATTCATAAGCATGCACGCGTGTACGGCCGTGCGTCGTTTCTTCGCTTGAGAGCTTGGTTGGCAGTTCGCGATGTAGGCACGGCCATCTGGCAGTAGCTGGACGCTCAGGCATTACTTTGTCGGCCTTGAAGGTGTGGAGATTCCTATTGTTGATGGTGTAGATTCTGTGCTTGTATATCTCGAGGAATGGCCACGCATTCTGCATGCGTGGCTAATGTGCCGCGTCTACCGATACCGACACCGACGGTGTTCACCACTTTGGCTGAGAAACAACGTCGCCCGATCGCGGTATGGGCAAACGTCGAATCATCTGATAATGTGTTCCAACGTTCGTGCATGCTGCAATCGTACACGTCTTTTGTGCACGTCCCGTGCATCGCCGTTGGTGGCAGCCGATACCCCTGCGCCGACGGCCGTGTCAACCCCATCTCCAGCTACGGCCTCGTCTACGCCAGGTGAAGAGCAACTGTGTCTTTTTGAGTACGTGCGTACGAATCAATCAATTCCTCCTCGGGAAGATCAAACGCCTTTAATGCTGGTCTAGTGTACGAAGACAAAACGCGATCCGTGCTCACTTCGAATTCACTGCGCCATTGGTGGCGTCGCAATATGGAACCGGAGAGGTTGGGCAGGAACACGTGAAACCCAGTGGAACTCATCGTTAACCATACCTGTGAAGCCACGGCGCCGGATTCCGATACGTTCATACTGGTGGATGCCTTTGGTGGAGACCTTTGATTTCCTCCCGCTCCCGACAACGATTTCGCGACAGGGCCTACGACCGACCCCACGCCTTCTCCGACGACGGCCTCGCCTACACCAGGTGAAGAATGAAGTACTCGGTTGGTGGACGAATGTATCACAGGCTCTAGGGCACACGGTTCGATCAGGGTCATGGGTGCAGAGACCAGAGCGTGCAATGACTGAACGCGATCCGTGTTCATTTCGACGAGGTCATGTAGTCTAAATAGTGGGCTTGTGGTAGGCATGTTTGTGACAGTGCACGTCAAATGGAGGAGACCGTTTGGTGCGCATCAAGTCCTCGAGGGTTGCCGATGTATTCGCGTGCCCGCACCCAATGCAACGGACTGTACTGCTCGCCACCTCCCCCATGCTCATCACAACAGGGCCTACTGTGCATCCAACACCTTCGCCGACGACCGCCTCGCCTACACCAGGTGAAGAACGCACATTTCTGTTTTGGTTGGGGGTGCGAACGTATCACACGCTCTAGGAGGAGCCCTAACCCGGAGTCATAAGTATCGATGCCTCTAGCAGAGTGTGCGATGAGACAAACGCGATCCATGCCTATTAGAGAGAGATTATGCCGTTCGATAGGTGGAGCTGATAGGTGGAGCTGTTCGTTGGGATGTTTGTGACCATAGCAAGTCAAGCTGAGGTGAACATCATAACCGCAAATACTACACATTACCGATGTATTCTTTTCGGCCACACCCATCGGAACAGACTGTGAGCCCCGCCCGCTCGTCCAAACTCGTCGCCACAGGGCCTACTACGGACCCGACGCCTTCACCAACGACGGCCCCGCCTACACCAGGTGAAGAGCGAATATATATGTTCTTGGGTGCCCAAGGGTGTATCAACGCCACCACGGGAGTGCTGAAGAGATCAGCACCGACTCCTCCAGAAGAGTGTGCCATATCCGACTCGTGCAATGTGTTCGGGAGTGTTGATTCCATCTTCTCCCCAAACTATTTCGCGACAGGGCCTACGACGGACCCGACGCCTTCGCCGACGACGGCCCCGCCTACACCAGGTGAAGAGCACAGAAATATGTTTTGATAGTACACGCGCGTGTATCACAGGCCTTAGGGCAAACCCGCAGTTATCGGCACGGATTCTGAGAGCAAACTTCGCAACGGCATGATCGCGATCCGTGCTCATTGCGACAACTGTGCTGTCCGACTAAGTGGAAGTGTGGCTCTTGTGACCATTCCCCACCAAATTGAGGCCAACATTTCTTGCATGTCAAGCATTGAGGGTTGCCGATTGATCCATGCGCCCACGCGCAATCCAACAGACTGTGAACCCCTGCCCGCCCTCCCATATCCCCGCAATAGGACCTACTACAGACCCAACACCTTCGCCGACAACCGGTTCGCCTCCACCAGGTGAAGTGCGAACGATTGTCTATTTCGGTTGATGCACACGAGGATATTCGTACAGCCTAAGCGAGACGTTCGAGATCATGAAGAAAGCCATCAGTGGCGACACCACCAGTATGGGATTCGATATAACCACCAGGATCCATGCTCTCTCCGACAGCGCTGCAGATTTTCGATCGGGAAAAAGGGTTGGTCGTCTTCACACGTTGGGCATTCACATGTTAGACACGAACGTCTGGAGGTTCAATACCGTCGTCCGTTTCGCAAAAGTCATGGCAGGTTGTCGGTGATGTTTCTGTTCCAAACTACCCAAAACAAAGAATAGAGTTTCCTGTTGTGTTTCCATGCGCTCTCCGCCAATCATAACGCTTCGATGTCGCTCCCCGTGTAGCTGGCACACAGACGTGCGACTCGTTCGTGGACGCCTCCGGGGGCCCTCGATGCCGCGAGGGGTACGTGCCGATTGCTGGTGGCGACACTATTGAGTGCGACACGGCGTGTGACACGGCGACGTGCTGCCAAGCAAGTGAGTGGCGTTGGCTCGCGTTGGCCCCAACCACACCTCCCTACACGAATACCCTGGCGCTGTTACGGCCCTATCGTGTTTGAACAACCGTTTCACAAGAATGCACATATAAGTGAACGGCCGTGCGGCGCGTCTTGGGATTGTGACATTGGTCGGCATTATTCAACGTTGGGGCGTCCATTTGACAGAGGCTGGAGACTCAGTCATCACTTTCTCCCGGCCTTGAGCGTGTTCATGTCGTTGGTGGTGTCGATTGTTGTGCTTGTTTTATCTCCGAAAGGCCACACATTTGGCATACATGGCTATGCTGACGCTTCTACTAAAACCAACAATGACGGACCCCAACACGTTCTCCAAAACAAAACCAGTTCCTTATCGCATTGTGGGGCAGAACGTCGAACCGTCAAATTTTCTGTTTCAGCTTTCATGCCCGCTCTCTGGCAATCGTACACGCGTTTTATGTGCATCTCGTGCATAACCGGGGCTGGCAGCCGATACTCCTGCGCCGACGGCCGTGTCAACACCTGCTCCAACTACGGCCTCGCCAACGCCAGGTGAAGAGCAAGTGTTCATGTTGTGGATGCGAGGTGGATACACCTCCCTGTATGACAGCCTACACGGGAAGCTCACGCACCATCAACTCCGGCGTGCCGAGACGATTGTGCGATGGGGAAAACAAGATCCGTGCTTATGCCAGATGCACTGCGCATTTGGAGGCGTGTCGCCATGTTGATTCGCATAGGTTGAGCACGTACACATGAATCATGTTTAAGCCTAGCTCTCTACCTGTGAAGACACGTCGCAAGGTCCGGATACGTTCATGAGTGTATATGTGCTGCCCTTTCCCCGACCAATTCGCGACAGGGCCTACGACGGACCCCACGCCTTCGCCGAGGACGGCCCCGCCTACGCCAGGTGAAGACTTAAGCAGTTGGTTTCGATTGTACGAACGAGTACCACAGCCTCTCGGGCAAAGCCGCAGTCATCGGCACAGCTGCTGAGAGGATAGTGTGCAGCGACATATACTCTGTCCGTGCTCATTTCGAATAATGTGCTCGCCGACTAATAATGGGGGCGTGGTAGGAGTGTTTGCGACCAATGCGCGTCAAATGGAGGTGTTTGTTTCTGGCGTGTCAAGCGCTTGAGGGTTGTCCATGTATTTATTCGCCCACACCCTAGGCAACAGACTGTGAACCCCCGCCCGCCCCCCCATATCCTCGTAATAGGACGTACTACGGACCCAACGCCTTCGCCGACGACCGGTTCGCCTACGCCAGGTGAAGTGCGGACGATTGTTGACTTCGCTTGGTTGATTGATGTATGAACGTATCATAGCCTCAAATAGAAAACCTTAGTCATTAGCATCGATGATGTCTCGAGAAGAATGTGCGATGAGCCAAACATGATCCACGCTTTTTTGGAGGAGAATGTGCCGTCAGATATTGCAGGGTTGTTTGTTTGTATGTTCATGACCATTGCAAGTTCAGCCAAGGTGAACATATTTTCAGCCAAGCCATTGCAGCATGCCGGTGTATGCATGCGCCGACACCAACTGAATTTGACTGAAACCCCCGCCCATTCACAAACTGTTTCCTCTATAGGGCCTACTACGAACCCAACGCCTTCGCCGACGACCGCCTCTCCTACACCAGGTGAAGAGCGTACATTTCTGTTTTGGTTGGTGAACGCAGATAGCACAGCCTGAACGAGACCTACGACACCCTGAAAGCCATGAGTGGTGATACCACGAACTTCGTGTTCACTAGAACCCGTAGGATTCGTCATCGCTCTCAGAGCACAGCACGACTTCGACCGGAGGCGATTTTCGTTGTTATCGTTTCGCTTCCAGAACCCACTGCATGATTTGGTGGCGTCGCATTGTTCATTTACAAAGGATAGGCAGGTGCACGTGAAACACAGTCGAACCCATCACGTTACCTACCGGTGGAGCCTCGGCGCTGGGTTGCGATACCTTCTTGGTTGAAAAGGCCGTTCAATTCCGCCCGTTCTCCAAACTATTTCGCGGCAGGTCCTACGACGGACCCCACGCCTTCGCCGACGACGGCCCCGCCTACACCAGGTGAAGACTTACGCTCTCGGTTTCGATTGGACGCACGAGTAGCACAGTCTCTCGGGTAAAGCCGCAGTGATCGGCACGGCTGCTGAGAGCATAGTGTGCAGCGACAAATACGCAGTCCGTGCTCATTGCGACAACTGTGCTGTCCGACTAAGTGGAAGTGTGGCAGGCATGTTTGTGACAATTCCCCACCAAATTGAGGCCAACATTTCTTGCATGTCAAGAACTTTGAGTGTTGCTGATGGATTCATGCGCCCACATGCAATCCAACAGACTGTGAACCCCCGCCCCCCCCCCCATATCCCCGCAATAGCACCTACTACAGACCCAACACCTTCGCCGACAACCGGTTCGCCAGCACCAGGTGAAGTGCGAACGATTGTTTAGTTCGGTTGAAGAACACGAGGATATTCATACAGCCTGAACGAGACGTTCGAGACCATGAAGAAAGCCATCAGTGGCGACACCACCAGTATGGGGTTCGATATAACCACCAGGATCCATGCTCTCTCCGACAGCGCTGCGGATGTTTGGTCCGGAAATAGGGTTGGTCGTCGTCACACGTTGGGCATTCATACGTTAGACAAGAACGTCTGAAGGTTCAAGTCCGTCGTCCGTTTTGCGAAGCCATGGCAGCTTGTCGGTGATGTTTCTGTTCCAAGCAACCCAAAACAAAGACCAGTTTCTTGTTGTGTTTACATACGCTCTCCGCCAATCATAACGCTTCGATGTCGCTCCCCGTGTAGCTGGCACGCTGACGTGCGACTCGTTCGTGGACGCCTCCGGGGGGCCTCGATGCCGCGAGGGGTACGTGCCGATTGCTGGTGGCGACACTATTGAGTGCGACACGGCGTGTGACACGGCGACGTGCTGCCAAGCAAGTGAGTGGCGTTGGCTCGCGTTGGCCCCAACCACACCTCCCTACGCAACCAAGCTGGCGCCGTTACGGCGCTAATCTGCTGTCGTCGTGTTTGAACAACCGTTTCACAAGCATGACATACCAGCACGGCCGTGCGGCGCGTCTTGTGATTGTCACGATGATGGGCAATTTACGATGCAGAAACGGCCATCCGACAGAGGCTTGATGCAGAGACATCACTTTCTCCCGACCTTGAGCATGTTGTTAGTATTGTGCGATTAATGTGTAGGTTTATTGTTTTTCTTTCGAATTGCCTTGATCAATATTTTCTGTGGCCTACGGAGGGAGACTTCCCCCGTACCACACGTCCCGCACGGCTCAAAGCCTCCGCGGTATCCTAACGTGTCTCTGCTACTAAACACAAATCTCCCTCCGAATACCTCCAGACGGGACGAAACTGTTGTACAGTAGCAGTCTCGGACGATTGAGCCTCCCAATGGTACGCTACCATTCAGAAAACACCCAATTCGAAGTCGTGCGATAACTGCTTCGGGAGACAACAGTATAACCCGTCGGGTGGTCCGATGTGGTACAATACACTTATTATATTATCAGCTATGTGAAATTTGACCGCGAAACGGAATGGCACAGCTCAGCCGTTGGGCTTCGTGCCGCCCCGCCCGCCTAAAAGACCCCAAACCGGAGGACTCAGAGAGGTCCTCCACCAAGAAGCACACCGGCGAGCGCTACCTCGGAGAGACCCCAGTCTGTCTCTCGGTGGTGGCGTGCAGTACCGGTTGGGGATGACCAACTGTGGGGCACTACTGTAGGAAGCGCTGAGTGTCGTTTGCCTTGCCCTTCTTGATCGCCACAGGCCCGCGCATATGTTGGTTTCATGGACTTGCTTGATTCCCTCTTGTATCTTTTGAGGCATTCGCGAAATGATCCGCCTGGTGCCTGGAATGTCTCACTACAGGGAGAAACATGACGAAAAACACGAGAAAAAAAAGAAAAGGGAGAAGAAAATGACGGGGATACGCTATCGTGCATCCGGGCGACCAAATTTCGTGGGCATTCGGACATAGCCTGGACAGGTAGCCATGGGGTCAGGCGACGTGTGCGAGGCATGGTATCGTTTTTTTTGTTTTTTTTGTTCTGGTGTGGGAGTTCGTGGTGCCACATCGAATTCCTTGGGGCGGTTCAGCTTACGGCGCGGCTCATGATAAACAAACAATGGGACCGAACAGCACATGGCTTCATCACGGGAAAGAATACGATGGCTTGACCGCGATCGTCTCTGTTGGTATTACTGAGCGCTCACTTGATTAGCGCGCATGTAGTTCGAACTCGACGCGAAGCCACGACATGATTGCTAGCTATCGTCCAAATTTCGATGTAGCTAGCTGCTGCCCTTCTGCCGCGTGACTCCAAAGCGGGCTGCATGGTACATATTGTGTCTTTCTCACAACGTGGCCTTTGGGTTCAGTGGACAAGCGTCTATCAAACTCTTGCCGCAGGAGCAGCGAGGCAGCAGAATGAGAACTCCGTGAGACCTTTCTCTTTTGGGACCCCAGAAAACCGAACCAAGACATCCGAACCAACGCGCCTCCAGGGCGGCACAACAAGAACCCAAATACACACGTAGATCTGGGAGATGTTCCGAATTCTTCCGTGCACAATAAACTACAGTTTGTTCTTCGACAACAAACTTTCATTTGTTACACTTTACTATCGCGGGAATCGAGGGAATCGCCGCAGGGCGGTGTGTACGGATTCGCCCATTCGTCTACCGATGCCAACGCCGACAGACCCCAACACGTTCTCTGAAAAAAAAGTGCGTGATCGCGGTGTGGGCAAACGCCGAATCGCCCTATACAGCAGTACTACTGTACTTAAATGGTAACGCCTCGTAACATTCACGCCTGCTCACTGGCAATCCTTCACACCTTTTCGCGCGTCTCGTGCGTCGCCGTGGTTGGCAGCCGATACCCCTGCCCCTACGGCCGTGTCAACACCTGCTCCAACTACGGCCTCGCCTACACCAGGCGAGGACCAAAAAATTATGTTGTGGTAAAGCGTGCCCGTATCACAGCCTGCACGGGATTGGTAAGCGCCGTTGATGCTGACGTCCCGACGAAGAGGGGTGCGATGGGGAAACAAGATCTGTGCTCATTTCGATTTCACTTCGCCATTTGGTGGGGTCGCTTTGTCCATTTTCAGAGGTTGAGTACGAACGCATGAGTTGAACCCCTCATATTCCCTACCTGCGAAGCCACGTCGCATGGTTTCGAAACGTTCATGATTGTATCACTCGTACGCACACAGGCACGGAATTGTTGATCCCGTCCTATGCCCAAACTTGTTCGCAACAGGGCCTACGATGGACCCCACGCCTTCGCCAACGACGGCCTGGCCTACACCAGGTAAAGAGCGAAGTACTCGGTTTCGATTGTGCACGCGAGTATCACAGCCTCTAGAGCAAACCCGCAGTCATTGGCACGGAGGGTCAGAGCAGAGTGCGCAACGACATTAACGTTATTCGTGCTCATGGCCACGATTGTGTCGTCCGAGTAGTTGAGCTTTGGTGGGCATGTTTATGACCAATGTGCGGCAAATTGAGGTGATCCCATCTTGTGTGTCAAGCCCATGAGAGTCGCCGATGGATTCATTCGCCCACACCCTCCGCAATAGACTGTGAACCCCCGCCCGCTCCTCTATGCTATCGCCACAGGGCCTACTGCGGACCCAACGCCTTCGCCGACGACCGGTTCGCCTACACCAGGTGAGCAGCGAACGATCGGTGCTTTGGTTGGTGCCCATCTGTATCACAGCCTGTGCGGGGACCCTAAAGGGCATCGGTGATGGCAACCTGGGTAGGTGCACCATAGAGTCAACAGGATCCGTGCTCACTCCGACAGCACTGCACGACTTCGATCGGAGGCGTCGTTTATCGCACACACTGAGCGATCACACATTTGAGCATTGACACGTCTGGGCATGTACATGCCCCCATCCGTTTTGCAAAGCGTTGGCTGTTTGTCGATGGTGTTATACTTCCTATCTCGCGAATGCCCACGATTAACATGCTGATGATTTTTCATGCAATCGACGCCATCGGCATCGCTTCGATGTTGCTCCCCATGTAGCTGGTGTGCTGACGTGCGACTCGTACATGGAGGTCGTCGGGGCGGGCCCTCTTTGCCACGAGGGGTACGTGCCGATTGCTGGTGGCGACACCATCGTCTGCGACACGACCTGTGACGTCGCGACGTGCTGTCAAGCAAGTAAGTGGCGTTGGCTTGCGTTGGCCCCAACGACAGCTACCGTACGTACGCAAACAGCCTGACGTCGCCATTACTTGTCATGCCTGCTATGGTATTCGAACAACCGTTCCACCAGCATGCACATGTGTAGGTCCGTGCGGCGTGTCTTGCGTTTGTGAGCTTGGAGAACCTTGTGCACGATGTTGAGGTGGCAATCTGACAGTAGCTGGACGCCTAGCCATCCCTTCCTCCCGGCCTTGAGCGCGTTGATGGCCCTCCATCGTTGTTGGTGTGCGTTGTTGTGCTTGTTTATATCGGAAAAGGTCACGCACTCGGCATGCATGGCTATGCTGACGCGTCTAGTGGTACCAACATCGACGGGCTCCAACACGTTACCTGGTATAGAAGAGTTTCCCCGATCGCGGTATGGGCAAATGTCGAACCACCAAATGCTGTATTTTGACTTTTACGCCCGCTCTCTGGCAATCGTGCACGCATGTTGTGTGCATCTCGTGCATCGCTGTGGTTGGCAGTCGACACCCCTGCGCCGACGGCCGTGTCAACACCTGCTCCAACTACGGCCTCGCCTACCCCAGGTTAGGAGCAAACGTTTCTGTTGTGTATACCCGCGCGCGCACGACAGCCTACACGGCAAGCTCGCATGCCATCGACCCTGCCGTCTCGAGACGATTGTGCGATGGGATAAGCAAGATTCGTGCTCTTGTCGGATTCACTGCACCATTCGGAGGCGCGTCGCATCGTTGACTCTTAGATGTTGAACACGTACCCACGAATCATGTTGGACCCATCGCGTTCCCTACCTATGAAGCCATGGTGCAGGGTTCCGAACACTTGTGCCCACGCACGAATTGCTTATTGATTCCACCCGTTCCCCAAATTATTTCGCGACAGGGCCTACAACAGACCCAACGCCTTCACCGACGACGGCCTCGCCTACGCCAGGTGAAGAGCGACCCTTTCCGGCTTTATGACGGGTGTATAAATGCTGATACAGGAGAGCCGAAGTCATCGGCACGGATGCCGAGACAATAGTGTGTCATAATCGATTCGCTATCCGTGCTCAGTTTGAAGAGACTCTGCTGCGAGATAGGTGGAGTTGTTTGTTTGTGTGGCCTTGACGAACAGAAGTTACCACGAGGTGAACAACCAAGAGCTATTTACGGTTGCCGATGTGTTCATGCGCGGAACCACTCTGAAACACACTCAAACACCCTCCCATTACACCAAATGTATCCTCACCAGGGCCTACAACGGATCCAACGCCTTCACCGATGACGGCCCCGCCTACACCAGGTGAAGAGCGACCCTTTCTGGTTTTGGGTGTGCACGCGTGTATCAACGCCGATACAAGAGAGCCGAAGTCATCTGCACCGACTCCTCGACACGAGTGTGCCATACCCGAATCGGACATTGTTAGAAGTTTGAACAGATCGGGTGCCGTCAGATAGGTGCGATTGTTCCTGTGTATGTTGGTGACGTAGACGTCAACACGAAGCTACCAATCAGACCTTCCGTGTCCAGCTATGTAAGGTTATCGATTCGTTTATCGGCCGACAACCACTGGAACACACTTGAAACACCGACCCATTCAACGAACCTCCCCTCAACAGGGCCTACTACGGACCCAACGCCTTCGCCGACGACGGCTTCTCCTACACCAGGTGAACAGCGTATACCTTCTGTTTTCGTTGGTGTACGAATGAATTCCAGGCTCTAGGAGAACACCGAAGTCATTAGCATCGATGCCTTGACAAGAACGTGCAATGGACCAAGACGATCCATGCCTATTTGGAAGAGATTGTGCCCTTCGACATGTCGGGTTGTTCGAATCTATGTTTGCGACGATTGCAAGTCAGGCCAAGGTGAAAATCAATTATTCCATGCCATTGCAGCATGGCGATGATTCCGATCCGCTGTGCCCACTTGAATAGACTAAACCCTCCACCCGCTCATCCACACTCGTCGCAACAGGGCCTACTCCGGAGCCAACGCCTTCGCCGACCACGGCGTCGCCTACACCAGGTGAAGAGCGCAGCTTTCGATTTACCTTTGCTCAATCCTGTGTTAATATCTATGTCTGTACCAGGTCCTCGACATCGCCGTTAGCACACAGTCTTAGAGCAGAGTGTTCCACGAGACAATGGCGCGATCGGTGTTCAGGCGAGCCGCCATATTGGTGGAGGTGGTCTGTATGTACCTTGGTGGCAAATGCAACGAAATCAGGAAAAACAGAGGGCATGGAGGATTGCCGTGGCTTCATGCGTCCACTTTGGCAACCTTTGATTGAAATCCCCGCCCTTTCCCCCACACGGCTTCGCGACAGGGCCTACCCCGGGGCCAACGTCTTCGCCGCCGACGGCGTCGCCTACACCAGGTGAAGAGCGCAGCTTTCGATTTACGTTTGCTCAATCCTGTATTACAGCCTATATCTGTACCAGATCCTCGACATGACCGTTAGCACACAGTCTTTGAGCAGAGTGTGTCATGAGACAATGGCGCGATCGGTGCTCAGGCGAGCCGTCATATTGGTGGAGGTGGTCTTTATGTACGTTGGTGGCCAAAACAACGAAACCAGGGGAAACAGAGGGCATGGAGGATTGCGGGTGGCTTCATGCGTCCACATTGGCAGCCTTTGATTGAAATCCCCGCCCTCTCCCCCACACGGCTTCGCGACAGGGCCTACTCGAGGGCCAACGCCTTCGCCGACTACGGGCTCGCCTACACCAGGTGAAGAGCGCACCATTCGATTTACGTTGGCTCAATCCTGTACTACAGCCTGTATCTGTTGGGGATGCTCGAGATCACCGTTAGCACACAGTCTTTGAGCAGAGTGTGCCACGAGACAACGGCACGATCGATGCTCAGGCGAGCCGTCATATTGGTGGAGGTGATTCATGTCTATATTGGTTGCAGATGCGACGAAATCAGGGAAAACAGAAGGCATGGAGGATTGCGGGTGACTTCATGCGTCCACATCGGCAACGTTTGATTGAAATCCCCGCCCTCTCCCCCACACGGCTTCGCGACAGGGCCTACTCCGGGGCCAACGCCTTCGCCGACGACGGTATCGCCTACACCAGGTGAAGAGCGCAGCTTTCGATTTACCTTTGCTCAATCCTGTGTTAATATCTATGTCTGTACCAGATCCTCGACATCACCGTTAGCACACAGTCTTTGAGCAGAGAGATCCACGAGACAATGGCGCGATCGGTGTTCAGGCGAGCCGTCATATTGGTGGAGGTGGTCTGTATGTATGTTGGTGGCCAAACGACGAAATCAGGGAAAACAGAAGGCATGGAGGATTGCGGGTGGCTTCATGCGTCCACATTGGCAACCTTTGATTGAAATCCCCGCCCTCTCCCCCACACGGCTTCGCGACAGGGCCTAGTCTGGGGCCAACGCCTTCGCCGACGACGGTGTCGCCTACACCAGGTGAAGAGCGCAGCTTTCGATTTACGTTTGCTCAATCTTATGTTAATACCATGTCTGTACCAGATCCTCGACATCACCGTTAGCACACAGTCTTTGAGCAAGAGTGTTCCACGAGACAACGGTGCGATCGGTGCTCAGGCGAGCCGCGATTTTGGTGGGGGTGGTCTGTATGTACGTTGGTGGCCAATCGACAAAACAAGGGAAAACGGAAGGCATGGAGGATGGCCGTGGCTTCATGCGTCCACATTGGCAACCTTTGATTGAAATCCCCACCCTTTCCCCCACACGGCTTCGCGACAGCGCCTACTCCGGGGCCAACGCCTTCGCCGACGACGGCGTCGCCTACACCAGGTGAAGAGCGCAGCTTTCGATTTACGTTTGCTCAATTCTGTGGTACAGCCTGTATCTGTACCAGATCCTCGACATCACCGTTAGCACACAGTCTCTGAGCAGAGTGTGGCACGCGGTGCTCAGGCGAGCCGTCATATTGGTGGAGGTGATTCATGTATATGTTGGTTGCAGATGCGACGAAATCAGGGGAAACAGAGGGCATGGAGGATTGCGGGTGGTTTCATGCGTGCTCATTGGCAACCTTTGATTGAAATCCCCGCCCTTTCCCCCACACGGCTTCGCGACAGGGCCTAGTCTGGGGCCAACGCCTTCACCGACGACGGCGTCGCCTACACCAGGTGAAGAGCGCAGCTTTCGATTTACCTTTGCTCAATCCTGTGTTAATACCATGTCTGTACCAGATCCTCGACATGACCGTTAGCACACAGTCTTTGAGCAGAGTGTGGCACGCGGTGCTCAGGCGAGCCGTCATATTGGTGGAGGTGATTCAGGTATATGTACGTTGGTGGCCAATCGACGAAATCAGGGAAAACAGAAGGCATGGAGGATTGCGGGTGGCTTCATGCGTCCACATTGGCAACCTTTGATTGAAATCCCCGCCCTCTCCCCCACACGGCTTCGCGACAGGGCCTAGTCTGGGGCCAACGCCTTCGCCGACGACGGTGTCGCCTACACCAGGTGAAGAGCGCAGCTTTCGATTTACGTTTGCTCAATCTTATGTTAATACCATCGTCTGTACCAGATCCTCGACATCACCGTTAGCACACAGTCTTTGAGCAAGAGTGTTCCACGAGACAACGGTGCGATCGGTGCTCAGGCGAGCCGCGATTTTGGTGGGGGTGGTCTGTATGTACGTTGGTGGCCAATCGACAAAACAAGGGAAAACAGAAGGCATGGAGGATTGCGGGTGGCTTCATGCGTCCACATTGGCAACCTTTGATTGAAATCCCCACCCTCTCCCCCACACGGCTTCGCGACAGGGCCTACTCCGGGGCCAACGCCTTCGCCGACGACGGCGTCGCCTACACCAGGTGAAGAGCGCAGCTTTTGTATTTACGTTTGCACAATCCTATGTTACAGCCTGCATCTGTTCGGAATGCTCGAGATCACCGTTAGCACACAGTCTTTGAGCAAGAGTGTTCCACGAGACAATGGTGCGATCGGTGCTCAGGCGAGCCGCGATTTTGGTGGGGGTGGTCTGTATGTACGTTGGTGGCCAATCGACAAAACAAGCGAAAACAGAAGGCATGGAGGATGGCCGGTGGCTTCATGCGTCCACATTGGCAACCTTTGATTGAAATCCCCACCCTTTCCCCCACACGGCTTCGCGACAGCGCCTACTCCGGGGCCAACGCCTTCGCCGACGACGGCGTCGCCTACACCAGGTGAAGAGCGCAGCTTTCGATTTACGTTTGCTCAATTCTGTGGTACAGCCTGTATCTGTACCAGATCCTCGACATCACCGTTAGCACACAGTCTTTGAGCAGAGTGTATCATGCGGTGCTCAGGCGAGCCGTCATATTGGTGGAGGTGATTCATGTATATGTTGGTTGCAGATGCGACGAAATCAGGAAAAACAGAAGGCATGGAGGATTGCGGGTGGCTTCAAGCGTCCACTTTGGCAACCTTTGATTGAAATCCCCGCCCTTTCCCCCACACGGCTTCGCGACAGCGCCTACACTGGGGCCAACGCCTTCGCCGACGACGGCGTCGCCTACACCAGGTGAAGAGCGCAGCTTTTGTATTTACGTTTGCACAACCCTATGGTACAGCCTGCATCTGTACCAGATCCTCGACATCACCGTTAGCACACAGTCTTTGAGCAGAGAGATCCACGAGACAATGGCGCGATCGGTGTTCACGCGGGCCGTCATATTGGTGAAGGTGGTCTGTATGTACGTTGGTGGCCAATCGACAAAACAAGGGAAAACAGAAGGCATGGAGGATTGCGGGTGGCTTCATGCGTCCACATCGGCAACCTTTGATTGAAATCCCCACCCTCTCCCCCACACGGCTTCGCGACAGGGCCTACTCCGGGGCCAACGCCTTCGCCGACGACGGCGTCGCCTACACCAGGTGAAGAGCGCAGCTTTTTGTATTTACGTTTGCACAATCCTATGTTACAGCCTGCATCTGTTCGGAATGCTCGAGATCACCGTTAGCACACAGTCTTTTGAGCAAGAGTGTTCCACGAGACAATGGTGCGATCGGTGCTCAGGCGAGCCGCGATTTTGGTGGGGGTGGTCTGTATGTACGTTGGTGGCCAATCGACAAAACAAGGGAAAACAGAAGGCATGGAGGATGGCCGGTGGCTTCATGCGTCCACATTGGCAACCTTTGATTGAAATCCCCACCCTTTCCCCCACACGGCTTCGCGACAGCGCCTACTCCGGGGCCAACGCCTTCGCCGACGACGGCGTCGCCTACACCAGGTGAAGAGCGCAGCTTTCGATTTACGTTTGCTCAATTCTGTGGTACAGCCTGTATCTGTACCAGATCCTCGACATCACCGTTAGCACACAGTCTTTGAGCAGAGTGTATCATGCGGTGCTCAGGCGAGCCGTCATATTGGTGGAGGTGATTCATGTATATGTTGGTTGCAGATGCGACGAAATCAGGAAAAACAGAAGGCATGGAGGATTGCGGGTGGCTTCAAGCGTCCACTTTGGCAACCTTTGATTGAAATCCCCGCCCTTTCCCCCACACGGCTTCGCGACAGCGCCTACACTGGGGCCAACGCCTTCGCCGACGACGGCGTCGCCTACACCAGGTGAAGAGCGCAGCTTTCGATTTACGTTTGCTCAAACCTGTACTACAGCCTATATCTGTTGGGGATGCTCGACATCACCGTTAGCACACAGTCTTTGAGCGGAGTATACCATGCGGTGCTCAGGCTAGCTGTCATATTGGTGGAGGTGATTCATGTCTATGTTGGTTGCAGATGCGACGAAATCAGGGAAAACAGAAGGCATGGAGGATGGCCGGTGGCTTCATCCGTCCACATCCGCAACCTTTGATTGAAATCCCCGCCCTCTCCCCCACACGGCTTCACCACAGGGCCTACTCCGGGGCCAACGCCTTCGCCGACGACGGCGTCGCCTACACCAGGTGAAGAGCGCAGCTTTCGATTTACGTTTGCTCAAACCTGAACTACAGCCTATATCTGTTGGGGATGCTCGAGATCACCGTGAGCACACAGTCTTTGAGCAAAGTGTTCCACGCGGTGTTCAGGGGAGCCGTCATATTGGTGGAGGTGATTCATGTATATGTACGTTGGTGGCCAATCGAGGAAGTCAGCGGAAACAGAAGGCATGGAGGATGGCCGGTCGCTTCATGCGTCCACATCGGCAACCTTTGATTGAAATCCCCGCCCTCTCCCCCACACGGCTTCGCGACAGGGCCTACTCCGGGACCAACGCCTTCGCCGCCGACGGCGTCGCCTACACCAGGTGAAGAGCGCAGCTTTCGATTTACCTTTGCTCAATCCTGTGCTACAGCCTACATCTCTTCGGGATGCGCGACATCACCGTTAGCGCACAGTCTTTGAGAGTGTGCCACCTGGTGCTCAGGCTAGCCGTCATATTGGTGGAGGTGATTCATGTATATGTTGGTTGCAGATGCGACGAAATCAGGAAAACAGAAGGCATGGAGGATTGCCGTGGCTTCATGCGTCCACTTTGGCAACCTTTGATTGAAATCCCCGCCCTCTCCCCCACACGGCTTCACCACAGGGCCTACTCCGGGGCCAACGCCTTCGCCGACGACGGCGTCGCCTACACCAGGTGAAGAGCGCAGCTTTCGATTTACGTTTGCTCAAACCTGTACTACAGCCTACATCTCTTCGGGATGCTCGACATCACCGTGAGCACACAGTCTTTGAGCAGAGTGTACCATGCGTTGCTCAGGCGAGCCGTCATATTGGTGGAGGTGATTCATGTATATGTTGGTTGCAGATGCGACGAAATCAGGGAAAACACAAGGCATGGAGGATGGCCGGTGGCTTCATCCGTCCACATCCGCAAACTTTGATTGAAATCCCCGCCCTCTCCCCCACACGGCTTCACGACAGGGCCTACTCCGGGGCCAACGCCTTCGCCGACGACGGCGTCGCCTACACCAGGTAGAGAGCGCAGCTTTTGTATTTACGTTTGCACAATCCTATGTTACAGCCTGCATCTGTTCCAGATCCTCGACATCACCGTTAGCACACAGTCTTTGAGCAGAGAGATCCACGAGACAATGGCGCGATCGGTGTTCACGCGGGCCGTCATATTGGTGAAGGTGGTCTGTATGTACGTTGGTGGCCAATCGACGAAACAAGGGAAAACAGAAGGCATGGAGGATTGCGGGTGGCTTCAAGCGTCCACTTTGGCAACCTTTGATTGAAATCCCCACCCTCTCCCCCACACGGCTTCGCGACAGGGCCTACTCCGGGGCCAACGCCTTCGCCGACGACGGCGTCGCCTACACCAGGTGAAGAGCGCAGCTTTTGTATTTACGTTTGCACAATCCTATGTTACAGCCTGCATCTGTTCGGAATGCTCGAGATCACCGTTAGCACACAGTCTTTGAGCAGAGTGTATCATGCGGTGCTCAGGCGAGCCGTCATATTGGTGGAGGTGATTCATGTATATGTTGGTTGCAGATGCGACGAAATCAGGGAAAACAGAAGGCATGGAGGATGGCCGGTGGCTTCATCCGTCCATATCGGCAACCTTTGATTGAAATCCCCGCCGTTTCCCCCACACGGCTTCGCGACAGCGCCTACACTGAGGCCAACGCCTTCGCCGACGACGGCGTCGCCTACACCAGGTGAAGAGCGCAGCTTTCGATTTACGTTTGCTCAATCCTGTATTACAGCCTGTTCGTTCGGGATGCTCGAGATCACCGGTAGCACACAGTCTTCGAGCAGAGTGTTCCACGAGACAATGGCGCCATCGGTGTTCAGGCGAGCCGTCATATTGGTGGAGGTGATTCATGTATATGTTCGTTGCAGATGCGACGAAATCAGGGAAAACAGAAGGCATGGAGGATTGCGGGTGGCTTCAAGCGTCCACATCGGCAACCTTTGATTGAAATCCCCACCCTCTCCCCCACACGGCTTGGCGACAGGGCCTACTCCGGGGCCAACGCCTTCGCCGACGACGGCGTCGCCTACACCAGGTGAATAGCGCAGCTTTCGATTTACGTTGGCTCAATCCTGTGATACAGCCTATGTCTGTTCCAGATCCTCGACATGAGCGGTAGCACACAGTCTTTGAGGAGAGTGTTCCACGAGACAATGGCGCGATCGGTGCTCAGACGAACAGTCATATTGGTGGAGGTGGGTTTGTGTTTACGTTGGTGGCCAAAGCAACGAAACCAGGGGAAACAGAAGGCATGGAGGATTGCGGATGACTTCATGCGTCCACATCCGCAGCGTTTGATTGAAATCCCCACCCTCTCCCCCACACGGCTTCGCGACAGGGCCTACTCCGGGGCCAACGCCTCCGCCGCCGACGGGTTCTCCTACAGCAGGTGAAGAGTGCACGTTTCTGGCTTCGTTGAGCATGTGTGTGTCAACGTCCATATGGGAAGCCCGAAGTCTTCAAGACATGTTCCTCGAAAGGCGTTTACCGTTGGAGAGGGGCGACCCGTGCTCATTTCGTGTACGTTGTGTGCCATCACATTGGGGGGGCGGCACGCATGCATGTTTGTGGCAAATTCACGTCGAAACAAAGAGAACATAACTTCTGCCAAGCCCTTGCATGTAGTCAATGTTTCATGCGCCCACACCCACTGGAATTGCATTGATGAATAGACTATATTCCTGGCCCGATTACCGTACCTCTCCTCAAACAGGGCCTACTCCGTGGCCAACGTCTTCGCCAACGACTGCTTCGCCTACACCAGGTGAGAGCGAATGTGGCGTATGTGTCTTGCTCGCGTGTATCACGTCCTGTATGCGAAGCCGGAAGTCTTCAGAGTCATCGATGAGAGTGTTCCGTGAAAGAAAGGCGACGTGTACTCGTGTCGAGGCCATCACCGCCAGATATTTGGAGCTATTGGCGTGCTTGTTTTGTGGCAAATGCACGTCGAAACAAGGGGATATACAAGCTATTGAGGGTTGCAGATGACCTCTTGGGCCTACATCCGCTATTTGCAGGAAATCCCACCCACTCCCCTACACAGTTCGCCGTAGGGCCTACTCCGGGGCCAACACCTTTGTCGACGACGGCCTCGCCTACACCAGGCGAAGACCGAACGTTTCTGTTTTGGGTGTGCACAAACGTATCGCATCCTTGACGGGAAGACAGAAGTCATCAGCACCGAGAGAGTGTTCCACACGAGAATCGCGCTCGGTGCTCATTTGGAAGATAAGGTCTCGTCCGATAGTTGGTGGTAGGTTTGTGTTGCGGTGAAAGCTAGGCGAACAGCATATCTGCCAAGCCATTGCATTCCGAGAGCATTCACTGGAACGCACCGAACACCCCCCACGACCATCAAACCATTGCTCAACAGGGCTTACTTTGGGGCCAACACCTTCGCCGACGACTCCCTCGCCTACACCAGGTGGAGAATCAATTTGCTGCTGTAATTATACTCGCGTGATTCAGGTCTTATACTGGAAGCCTGAAGCTCAGAGTCGTAAAGAAGCGTGTGCCATGCGAGAATCGCGATCCGTGCTCATTGCAGGACCATCGTACTGTCAGATTGGTGGCGTATGTGTGTAAGGTTTTGGCAAATTCACGTCGAACAGAACACACCATCACCTCTGCCTTGCCCTTACATGTTGCCAATGCATTCATGCGCCAACACTCACTTGGAATAGACGGTAACCCTGGCCCAATCACCACACCTCTTCTCAACAGGGCCTACCCCGGGGTCAACGTCCTCGCCGACGACCGCCTTGCCTACACCAGGTGTGAAGAGCGGAGGGTTCTATAAAAGTGGTGCGCGCAGGTATCGCGGCCTATACGCCGGGCCTGGAGCCCTCAGCACAGCATTTTCTAGAAGAGTGTGCCATGGAGACGCGCGATCGGTGGTTGTTGAGAGCATTGGGCCACCCGATAGTTGGGGTTGTTCGTATGTATGGTTTTGGCCAATGCATGTGGAAACCAGGTGAACAATGAGGCACGGAGCGTTGCGGATCGCTTCATGGGTTCACCTCCGCGAATAGTATTCAATCTTCGCCCTTTCTCGCACACGTCTTGCACCAGGGCCTACTCCGGGGCCTACATAGTTTTTTCGGTTCCGGTGCAGTCATGCAGTTGGATAGGCTCGTGTGCGCACTTGTGTCGAATGCACGTCGAAACGTGGCTAACAACAAGCATTTGCAGATTTGGGTGTAATCACCCCCCGACACCCACCGTACGACACTCCAACCCCGGCCCGTTCCCCCACCCGCTTCGCAACAGGGCCTACTCCGGGACGAACTCCTTCGCCGACGACGGTCTCGCCTACATCAGGTGAACAGCGAACCCTTCTGGTTGTATGAACGTGTGTAACAGCGAATACGCCAAGCCGAACGCCCTCAGCACATAATTCTCCGCAAGACTGTGCCATGAACGAAGCGCGATCCGTGCTCCTTTTCAGGACATTGTGCCGTCTGATAGTTGGAGTTGTTCGAGTAAATTTGTGACGAATATATCTGAGACTGACGCAAACAACAAGCCATCAAATGCTCCTAATCTATTCGACAAACATCACCTACTAGGAATATGCATTCCCACCTTCTCCCTCCTCATCGTCACGACAGAGTCTACTCCGGGGCCAACACCTTCGCCGACGACGGCCTCGCCTACACCAGGTAAAAAACGAACATTCCTGTTTTGGTTGTGCACGCGTATGTTCAAGCCCATACGGGAAGCCTGAAGTCAGTACAGCGTCATCGACAAGGGTATGCGATGAGAATCGTGATCCGTACTCATTTCGAAGCCATCGTGCAGTCAGATAGTTGGAACTATTTGTGTGCTTGATTTGTGACTAATGCACGTCGAAACCACTGGAACAACAAGCCGTTGATGGTTGCAGATGGCTTCATGGACCCGCATCCGCTAATTGTAGGAAATACCACCCACTCCCCCACACGTTTCGCGACAGGGCCTACTCCGGGGCCAACATCGTCGCCGACAACAGCCTCGCCTTCACCAGGTGAAGAGGGAAGTAGTCTGTTTTGGGTGTGCACGCGTGTATCACACTTTTCGAGGAAGACCAAAGCCATCGGCACACAGAGAGTGGGCCGTGCGAGAATCGCGATCCGTGCTCATTTTGGAAGACATCTTGTCTCGTCCGATAGGTGGAGTTGGTATTCATGGTTTGTGGCGAATGCGGGTCAAAATGGCCAAGCTATGGCATATTTGTTGCCAATGCATCCATACACCCACTGGCACACAGTGTAATCCCAGCCCTCTCCCGCACGCGCTCCGTGATAGGGCCTACTCCGGGGCCGAGCCCTTCGCCGACGACGGCCTCGCCTACACCAGGTGAAAACGCGAGCCTTCCTGCGTGGGTCATGAACGCATGTGTCAACGCCTCTTGGGCAATAGCCCGAATTCGCCAGCACAGAGGCCTCGAGAAGAGTGTGTCATGAAAGAAGGGCGATCCGTGTTCATTTTGAAGGCATTGTGCGCTCATATAGTTGGAGATGTTCGTATGCACACTTGCGTCGAATGCACGTCGAAACGTGGCTAACAACAAGCATTTGCAGTTTTTCAATGTATTCATCCCCCACACCAACCGAAAGACACCGTTACCCCGGCCCGCTCCCCCACACGCTTCGCGACAGGGCCTACTTCGGGGCCAACGCCTTCGCCGACTATGATCTCGCCGACATCAGGTAAAGAGCGAACCCTTCTGGTTCGATTGAGCGCACGTGTGTCAAAGTCCATTCGGCAAGCCCGAAGTCATTAACGGGTAAGTCCTCGAGAAGCGTTTGCCGTTACAGAAAGGCAATCTGTACTCATTTCGAAGTCCTTGTGCGGTCAGATCGGTGGGGTTGGTCGCATGCATGTTTGTGGCAAATTCACGTCGAACGAAGAACACATCATCACTTCTGCCAAACCCTTACATGTTGCCAATGCATTCATGCGCCAACACCCACTTGGAATAGACGGTAACCCTGGCCTGTCCCAATCACCACACCTCTTCTCGACAGATCCTACTCCGGGGACAAGGTCTTCGCCGACGACCGCCTCGCCTACACCAGGTGAAGAGCGAAGGAATGTGTCTAATTTGTGCACGAGTGTATTGCGGCCTGTTCGCCAAGCCTGAAGCCCTCAGCACAGCATCTCCCAGAAGAGTGTGCCATGAGAGACGCGCGATCGGTGGTTGTTTATTTTGAGCATTGTACCACCCGATAGTCGGAGTTGTTCGTGTGCATGGTTTTGGCCGATGCACATCGAAACCGAGTGAACGATAAGGCGCGGATGGTTGCGAATCGCTTCATGGGTTCACCATCGCGAATAGCATTCAATTTTCGCCCTCTCTCGCACACGTCTCGCACCAGGGCCTACTCCGGGGCCAACATCGTCGCCGACGACGGCCTCACCCACACCAGGTGATCAGCGAAGGATCGAGTTGTGGTATTCTCGGGTGTATCTCGTCCTACGCGGGAAGCGTGAAGTCATCCGTACGGAGTGGTCGAGAAGGGTGTGCCATGAAAGCAAGGCGATCTGTGCTCATTGATAAGGCATTGTGCCATCGTACCGTTGGGGTTCGTGTGCACACTTGTGTCGAATGCACGTCGAAACGTGGCTAACAACAAGTCATTGTAGGTTTTCGATGTATTCACCCCTGTAACCTCGGCCCGCTCCCCCACACGTTTCGCGAAAGATTCTACTCCGGGACCAATGCCTTCACCGACGGCGGCCTCGCCTACACCAGGTGATCAGCGAACGATTGCGTTGTGGTATGCTCGTGTGTATGTCGTCCTACGCGGAAAGCGTGAAGTCATCCGTACAGAGGTCGAGAAGAGAGAAGAGAAGAGTGTGTCATGAAGAGCAAGGCGATCCGTGCTCATATTTATGGCACTGTGCCGTCGTACAGTTGGAGTTGTTCGTGTGTGCACACTTGTGTCCAAGGAATGTCGAAACGTTGGTAATAACAAGCAAGTGCAGATTTCGATGGATTCATCCGCGCACACCCACTGGAAGACACTCTACCCCGGCCCGCTCCCCCACACGTTTTGTGACAGGGCCTACTACGGACCCAACGCCTTTGCCGACGACGGCATCTCCTACACCAGGTAAAGAGGGAACCCTTGGCGTGGTTGTACACACGTGTGTCAAAGCCCATATGGCGAGCCCGAAGTCGTCAGCTCAGAGTCGTCGATAAGCGTGTGCCATGCGAGAATCGCGATCCGTTGCTCATTGCAAGACCATCGCGCTGTCAGATTGGTGGTGAATGTGTGTATGTGGCAAATGCACGTTGAAACCAGGCAAAAAAGTATGGCATGGCAGGTTGGATGGCTTCATGGGCCCACATCCGCAGCATATCTCCTGAAAATTCGCCCTCTCCCCGACACGCTTCGCGATAGGGCCTACTCCGGGGCCTACTCCTTCCCCGACAACGGCCTCGCCTCCACCAGGTGAAGAGCGAACTTTCTTGTTTGATTGTAAATGCGTGCTTCAAAGGCTCTTGCGCAAGCCCGGAGTCATATCAGCACAAAGTCATCGAGAAGAATGTGTCATGAAAGACAGCAATCGGTGCTCATATAAATATAATTTATGCCGTCGAACAGTTGGAGTTGTTCGGGTGGACACTTGTGTCGAATGCATGTCGAAACGTGACTTACAACAAGCAGATTGTCGGTGTATTGATTCACCCACACCCACCGGAAGACACTCTCACCCCGACCCGCTCCCCCACACGCTTCACTACAGGGCCTACTTCGGGGCCAACGCCTTCGCCGACGATGATCTCGCCGACATCAGGTAAAGAGCGAACCCTTCTGGTTTGGCTGTGCACACGTGTGTCAAAGCCCATTCGACAAGCCCGAAGTCATCAACACATAAGTCCTCGAGAAGCGTTTGTCGTTACAAAAAGGCGATCTGTGCTCATTTCGAAAACCTTGTGCCGTCGGATCGGTGGGGTTGGTCGCATGCATGTCTGTGGCCAATTCACGTCAAACGAAGAACAAGTCGTCACTTCTGCCAAGCCCTTACATGTTGCCAATGCATTCATGCGCCAACACCCACTTGGAATAGACGGTAACCCTGGCCCAATCATCAAATCTCTTCTCAACAGGGCCCACTCCGGGGCCAACGTCTTCGCCGACGACCGCCTCGCCTACACCAGGTGAAGAGCGGAGGGTTCTATATGAGTTGTGCACGCAGGTACCGCGGCCTATACGCCAAAGCCTGAAGCCCTCAGCACAGCATTCTCTAGACGAGTGTGCCATGAGAGACGCGCGATCGGTGGTTGTTTATTTTGAGCATTGTGCCATCCAATAGTCGGAGTTGTTCGTGTGCATGGTTTTGGCCGATGCACATCGAAACCGAGTGAAAAATAAGGCGCGGATGGTTGCGAATCGCTTCATGGGCTCACCATCGCGAATAGTATTCAACTTTCGCCCTTTCTCGCACACGTCTCGCACCAGGGCCTACTCCGGGGCCAACATCGTCGCCGACGACGGCCTTGCCCACACCAGGTGATCAGCGAGCGATTGAGTTGTGGTACTCTGGCGTGTATCTCGTCCTACGCGGGAAGCGTGAAGTCATCCGTAAAGAGTGGTCGAGAAGGGTGTGCCATGAAAGCAAGGCGATCCGTGCTCATATTTATTGCATTGTGCCGTCGTACAGTTGGAGGTGTTCGTGTGCACACTTGTGTCGAATGCACGTCGAAACGTGGCTAACAACAAGTCATTGTAGGTTTTCGATGTATTACCCGCCCACACCAACCGGAAGACACTGTAACCTCGGCCCGCTCCCCCGCACGTTTCGCGAAAGGGTTTACTCCGGGACTGCCGCCTTCACCGACGACGGCCTCGCCTACACCAGGTGAAGAGCGGACGTTTCCGTTTTAAGTTGTTCATGCGTGTGTCAAAGCCTACACGGCATGCCCGAAGTCATGAGGACATAATCCTCGAGAAGCGTTTGCCGTTGGAAGGACAATTCTCATTTCGAAGACAGTGCGCGGTCAGATCGGTGGAGTTGCTTGCTTGCATGTTTGTGGCAAATTCACGTCGAACGGAGAGAACTATCTCTTCTGCCAAGCCCCTGCATGTTGCCAACGCGTTCATGCGCTCACACCCACAGGAATAGACCGTGACCCTGGCCCGTTCACCACACATCTTCTCGATACTTGTCTGAAACCCTCGCTCTCTCCCCCACCCTCTTCGCGACAGGGCCTACTCCGGGACCAACATCGTCGCCGACGACGGCCTCGCCTACACCAGGTGAAGGGCACAGTAGTCTGTTCAGACTTGCATGCAGGCGTAATCATGTCCTATACGGGAAGCATGATGTCATCAGCACACAGTGGTCGACAAGAGTGTGCCATGAAAGCAAGGCGATCCGTGCTCATTTCTAAGACATCGCGCCGTGTGTGTGTTCAACGGCAAATGCACGTCGAAGCCAAGAGAAAGAAGTCATGGAGGGTTGCTCTTCATGGGTCCACATCCGCCACATGTCTGAACTCTCTACCATTTCTCGCACACAATTCGTGATAGGACCTACCCCGGGGCCAACGCCTTCGCCGACGACGGCGTCTCCTACACCAGGTAAAGAGCGAAGCTTTCTGGTTTGATTGTACACCCAAGAATCACAGGTTCTAGAGCAAGCAACCATGAGGCACCCAGAGAACGGTGTTCCATGCAAGAAGCGCGATCCATGCTCATTTCGAAGCCATCGCCGTCCATCAGGTTGGTGGTTGTTCGTGTGTATGTTGCCTTTGCACGCTGAAAGGAAAGGAACAGCAAGGCATTGAGGGCTGCAGATGGCTTCATGGGTCCACATGCGCAAAATGTCCGAAATTCCCGCCCTTTCCCCACACGCTCGGCTACAGGGCCTACTCCGGGGCCAACGCCTTCGCCAACGACGGCCTCGCCTACACCAGGTGAAGTGGGAAACGTTCGGCGTTGAAAGCGTGTATCACATCTTATACGGGAAGCATCAAGTCATTGTCACATAATCCTCGAGACCAGTGTGCCGTGCGAGAAGCGCGAGTCGTGCTCGTTTCGAAGCCGTAGTGCCGTCCGATAGGGAGTGTTGTTCTTGTACTGCTTTGTGGCACATGCACGTATAAACGAGGTGAGCATCCACTTGAGGGTTGCGGATTGCTACATGGGTCCACAAGCGCAAAATGTCTGAAGGTTTCGCCCTCTCCCCGACACAATGCGCGACAGGACTTACCTCGGGACCAACGCCTTCGCCGACGACGGCCTCGCCTACACCAGGTGAAGAGCGTACCATTGTGGTGTTGATTATTCTCGCGTGTATCGCATCCCACGTATTTACAGAAACCTCGACATCGTCAGCGCAGAGTCGCCGAGAAGAGTGTGAAAACAGAGGAGCGTGATCCGCGTTCATTTCAGAATGATCTGGCCGTCAGATGGTGGAGGTGTTGGTGTGCACACACGTGTCGAATGTAGCTCATCCCGAGGCGAAGAAGACGCCATTGCAGGTTTGCTGATGCATAGATGCGAGAACGCCCAATGGAACACGCTGTAACCACCAGCATGATCGCCAAACCTCTGGCCTACAGGGCAGCCTTCTCCGGGGCCGACGCCGTCGCCAACGACGGCCTCGCCTACACCAGGTAAGAGCGAGGGTCTGTTTTGATATCGCTCGCATGTATCACATCCTATACCGGAAGACTGAAGCCGGCAGCACAGAGTCGTCGAGAAGAGTACAACATGCGAGAAAGGCTATTCGTGCTCATTTCGAAGCCAGCGTGCCATCAGATACGTGGAGGTGCACACTAGTGCCCAATTTGCCTCAAACCGAGGCGAACAACAAGCCGTTGCAAATGATGGATGTATTCATGTGAAAACGCCCACTGAAACACACAGTAAGCCCCACCCGATCGCCATACCTCTCCTACAGGGCCTACTCCGGGGCCCACGCCTTCGCCGACGACGGCCTCGCCTACATCAGGTGAAGAGCGAACGTTTCTGTTTTGATGTCGCCCGCGTGTATCGCGCGCTGGATGGGAAAAGTCTGAAGTTATCAGTACAAAGTCGTCGAGAAAAGTGTGCCATGAGAGAAGCGTGATCGAGGCTTGCTTCAGAAACATGTGACTGCTAGATAGTTGGAGTTTTTCGCGTGCACACTTGTCTCGATTGCACCTGAAAGCCGACGCAAACAAGCCATTACAGGTTGCGAATGTGTTCAAGCGAGAACACCCAGTGAAAAGCAGTGTAATACCCGCCCGATCACCAACCCGCTGCTCAACAGGGTCTACTCCGGGGCCAACGCCTTCACCGACGACGGCATCGCCTGCACCAGGTGAAGAGTGACCCTCTATGTTTCGATTGTACACGGAGGCCTTGCAGCTTCTAAGGCAAGCGATATCAGACGCCTAGTTAAGAGTGGGCCATGCGAGAAGCACGTGCGATCGGTGCCCATTTCGAAGCTATCGTGCCGTCAGATTGTTGTTCGGGTGTATGTTGGTGGTAAATACACGTCGAAACAAGGGAACGAAAAGGCATGGAGGGTCGCGGATGGCTTCGTGGGTCTACATCCGCAGCATGTCTGAAATCTCCGCCCTCTTTCCCACATTTTTTTTTGTGACAGGGTCAACACCGGGGCCAATATCTTCGCCGATGACGGCGTCGTCTACACCAGGTGAAGAGCGCAGAATTTTGTTTTTGATTGTAATCGTATTGCAGCCGATACCTTCGCTGGATTCTCACATCGTAAGCACCGAGTCGTCGAAAATAGTGTACCGTGAGAGAAGCGTGATCCGTCCTCGTTTCAGAATTTGTGGCTGTCAGAACACAACCAGGTTTGATGGAGTTGTTGGTGTGTACATTTGTGTCGAATGTAGCTCAAACCGAAGCGAACAACAAGCCATTGCAGGCGGCGGATGTATTCATGCGAGGCACCGATAACGCAATGTAATTCCCACCTGATCATCACAACTCTGCTCAACAGGGCCTACTCCGGGGCCAGCGCCTTCGCCGACGACGGCGTCTCCTACACCAGGTGAAGAGCGAAGCTTTCTGGTTTGATTGTACACCCAAGCATCACAGCTTCTAGAACAAGCCACACATCAGACGCCCAGAGACGGGTGTGTTCCATGCGAGAAGCGCGATCCATGCTCATTTCGAAGCCATCGCCGAAGGAATTCGTGCAGTTTTTCGTGTGTATCTTGCAATTGCACGCTGAAAGGAGGGGGGCAGTAAGGTATGGGGGGTTGCGGATGGCTCCATGGGTCCATGCGCGCAAAATTTCTGAAAGGTTCGCCCTCTCCCCGACATGATGCGCGACAGGGCCTACTACGGAGCCAACGCCTTCACCGACAACGGCCTCGCCAACACCAGGTGAAGAGCGAGCCCACAATGACGGTTTGATTATTCTCGCGTGTATCGCATCCCACATATCTACAGACCCCTCTACATCGTCATGCTGTCGAGAATAATGGCAATGAGACAATTGCGCGATCCGTGTTTTGTTCAGAATCATTTGGCCGTCAAATTGTGGAGCTGTTGGTAGGCACACACGTGTCGAATGTAGCTCAACCCGAGGCGAACAAGACGCCATTGCAGGTTGCGGATGCATAGATGTGAGAACACCCACTACACTGAAAACCCACATGGTGGCCAAACATGTGCTCAACAGGGCCTACTCCGGGGCCAACACCTTCACCGACGACGGCCTCGCCTACACCAGGTGAAGAGCGACTGTTTCTGCTTTGATATCGCTCGCATGTGTCACGTCCTGTATGGGAAAGTCTGAAGTTATCAGTACAGTGTCGTCGAGAAGAGTGTGCCATGAGAGAAGCGTGATGGAGGCTTGTTTCAGAAATACGTGACCGTCAGATAGGTTGAGTTTTTCGCGTGTACACTTGCGTCGATTGCACCTGAAAACCGAGGTAACCAATATGCCATAATAGGTTGCAAATATGTTTCAAGGGAGAATACCCACTGAAAAGCAGTGTAATCCGCGCCCGATCAACAAACCTTTACTCAACAGGGCCTACTCCGGGGCCAACGCCTTCGCCCACGACGACAACGCCTACACCAGGTGAATCGTGCATCGCAGCCTATACCTGTACGGAAATGTCGAGATCTTTAGAACAGAGTCGCCGAGAAGAGTGTACCATGGCGGGAAACCCGATCTGTGCTGATTCAGGAGCTATTTTGCCATCAGATAGTTGGAGTTGTTGGTGTGGACAATCGTCTCGAATGTGCCTCACACCGAGGCAAATGTACAGCCATTGCAGGTTTTGGTTGTGGATGCACTCATACGAGAACACGAACTGCAATACACTGAAAACCCCACCCGATCATCACACTCCTGCTCAACAGGGTCTACTCCGGGGCCAACGCCTTCGCCGACGACCACCTGGCCTACACCAGGTGAGTTGATGGTGTACGCGTGTATCGCATCCTATACCTATGTGGGAAGCTTGAAGTCATCAGCACCTAGTCGTCGAGAAGAGTGTGCCATGAGCGAATCGCGAGTAGTGCTCTTTTCGCGGAGGCATCTGTCCGTCACATGGTTGAGTAATGTTATTGTTTTGATGGCAAATGCACATCAGAAACCAGGGGAAAGAGAAGGGCAGATGGCGTCATGGGCCCACATCCGCAAATAGTCGTGCATTTCGCTCGGCCCCCCGCACGTTTCGCGACAGGGCCTACTTCAGGGTCCACGCCTTCGCCGACGACGGTCTCGCCTACAACAGGTGAAGCGCGCAGATTTCTATTTTGATGGTGCACGTCTATATGGTGCACGTCTATATCGCAGCCTATACCTGTACGGAAATGTTGAGATCTTGAGCACAGAGTCCTCGAGAAGAGTGTGCCATGAAAGATGCATGGTCCATGCTCATTTCGGTGACACATTGCCTCCCGATTAGTGGAGATGTTCGAATGTCCGGTTGCCGCTGATGAACGTCAAACCGAGACGAACAACAGCCATTCAGGTTTCTCCAGGGCGTCATGGGCCCACACCCACCGGTAAACTCTATAATCCCCACCCGCTCCCTCACTCTCCTCGCAGCAGGGTCTATTCTGGGGTCAACGCCTTCGCCGACGATGGCCTCGCCTACATCAGGTGAAGAGCGTTTTGGTATTGCACGCGTGTCAGCCTGTTCGGAAGCCTGGACTTCCCAAGACTGAATCCTCGAGAAGAGCGTGCTGTGATGAAATCGAGATAAATGTTCATTTCGAAGATATTCTTCGGTCAGATTGGTGCAGCTGTTCGCATTTATGGTTTGTTTCGAATGCATGTCGAGACGTGGCTTATAAACCGTTGCACCCACACCCGCAGTCGCCGTTGTTGATCTATTCATTCCCCCACACCCGCAGTATATCTGAAATTTTCGCCCTCCCTCCAACTCATTTCGCGACAGGGCCTACTACGGACCCCACGTCTTCGCCGACGACGGCATCGTCTCCACCAGGTGAAAAATGGATTACTCGGTTTCGATAAAGCAAGCGTGTATCTGTACGGGAACCTTGATGTCATCGGCACAGAGTCGTCACGATGGGTGTGCCATGGGAGGAGCGTGATACGTAAATGTTTCGAAGCCATCGTGCCGTCAGTTTGGTCGAGGTGTCCGTATGCATGGTCTGTGGTCAATACATCTCACACCGAGGCAAGCAAGAAGCCTTTGCATAGGCTGCGCATGATTGTTACGAATTTGCCCACCTAGAATAGACAGTAACCCTGGCCCGATCACCATCCCCCTGTTCAACAGGGCCTACTTCGGGACCAACGCCTTCGCCGACGGCGGCCTCGCCTACACCAGGTGAAGCACGAACGCTTCTGTTTTGATGATGCACGCGTGCATCACATTCTATGCGGGAAGCCTGAACTCATCAGCTCAGAGTCGTCGAGAAGAGTGTTGCATGGAGAGGATCGCGACCCGTGCTCATGTCGAAGCCACCGCGCCGTAAGATAGTTGCCGTTGTCCTTTTGTATGTTTTGTTGCATATGGATGACGAACCCAGGGGCACAACAAGCCAACGAGAGTTGGGGATAACTTCATGGATCCACATCCACAAAAAGTCTGAATTTTCCACCCGCTGCCTCGCACGCTTTGCGACAGGGCCTACTCCGGGGCCAACACCTTCGCAGACGACCGTCTCGCCTACACCAGGTGAAGAGCGACCCTTTCTGTTTTGGGTGTGTACGAATGTGGCAGGGCCTATACGGGTAGCCCGATGTATTCAGCACAGACCGCCTCGAGAAGAGTAGGTACGGTTTGTGGCGAATGCCCGTTAAACGAGGCGAGCAAATGTTCTGGCAAGGTATTGCAGGTTACCGTTTTCTTCTTGGGCGCACGTCGTGAAACCCCTCTGCTATCTTGGCCCACTCCGCCTTCGGCGTCGCGACAGGGTCTACTACGGACCCCACGTCTTCGCCGACGACCGCCTCGCCTACGCCAGGTGAAGGGTGAAGGGTTCTGTTTAAAGTTGTGTTCGCGGATATTACAGCCTCTTGTTCGAGCTCGACGTCATCAACAAAGTCTCTTCCGAGAAGAGTGTGACATGAGGTAATGCTTTCGTTTCGAAGACACTACGCCTCCCGGTCGGGGGAGGTTTCCACGGCCATGTGTGTGGCCCAATTCGCGTCGAAACAAGGCGGACATCGCTTCTGCCCAACCCATTGAAGGTCACCGATTGATTGATGCTCCCATAGCCAATGGAACAGACTGTATTCCCGCCCTTTCCCCCACACTCGTCGGGACAGGGCCTACTCCGGCGCCAACGCCTTTGCCGACGACCGTCTCGCCAACATCAGGTAAAGAGCGCACGTTTCGTATTTTGGGTGTGCTTGGGTGTATAAACACCTCTAGGGCAAGCCCGAATACATTAGCACAGATGCCTCGAAATGAGTGTGCAATGAGAGAACCGCGATCCGTGCAAAATTCGAAGACGTTGCACCATCTGGAGAGGGCGCTGTCAAGTTTCAGGGAACAGGCATACACAGGCGAATCACAATCTACCTCGGGAGGATCTGATATTGATGGTAATTCACGTACGTGCACAGGAACCGGTTGCTAACCCCGCCCTCTGCCCAACACTCGTTGCGACAGGGCCTACTCCGGACCCAACGCTGTCGCCGACTTCCGCATCAACCACGCTAGGTAATTTACGTGCTCATTGTTGCGTTTGCGTCGACCCTCTTCTACAGGCACTGACTGCCAAGCAGTTATCAGCTTGGCATACTCAAACCATGCTACACGTCCATTGGTTCTATATTCCTTCAACTTAATGCGCATTCTCGGCGTTTCTGTGACCTGACTCTCCGCTGGTGCTGCGCCCTTCTGTTTCATTCTGCAAATATTCCAACAGCAATTCCTCCAACGGAAACGCCGATTCCTGCAACGAAGTCTCCTGAGGTGTATTCGAGTTTGGCTCCTCCAGCAGGTGAACGCGTTTCGACCGTGTATGACATATAAATACGACCATGCGCTGGGCAGGTCTTACCTTTCCTCTCACCTGTATCATTTACATACGTGCCACAAACACCGCTAGAGCACCACATACCTTTTCTCACGAATGACTGCTCAGCTCCATGATCAACGCTCGTTCGGGTGACCCCTGCGGTGCCTCGGCAAACCCCCAACCTACGTACGCCCAGCCCTTGTCTGGTACAGGATTTCGTTCGCGTGGTGTGTGGTCTTAGTTGCTTCCCTCTAAACACCCCCATTATCATGCCACTCTCAAAACAACCATTCTCCTCGGTGACAGTTACCGTTGCACCCGGAGCTACGGCTGCCCCTGCAGCAGCTGATCTGGCTCCTGTTGTCACCACCTCTCCTGGAACTCCTTCGCCCGAGGCAACAAGGGTTCCGACCCTTCGGCGCGAGCTTCCAACTCAGGGTCCGGATGGAGCATCGACCCCCGGAGCTCCGACATCCCCTGCAACTACCACGACACCCAGCACCACACGCTCACCAGTGGAAACTATTAATCCAGTTGCACCCCTTCGCACGACTGGTCCCACTGGCATCACGGCGGTGCCCGCGCCTCAGGCACCAAGTGCTGCAGAAGAAGGTCGCGTGTGGTTGATGTGGTGCCGTTGTTTCCACTGTTAGCTGTCCACATGCCAAAGGCGCAATAAGCAGCGATCCACCGGAGGTAGCTTCTTCTCTCACCACCTGTGAACCTTGCTGAACATGTTGCTACCCATGAGCGCTGCTCTTGGTACACGGGGTGCGTGGCATGAAGCCCTCACCTCTATCGTGTCCGACAATACTTTCCTGTGGCGTTGCAGTTGTGTCGACCCTCCTCGACAGGCACCGACTGCGAAACATATATCGACTAGTGTACTATTTCTTCACGTTGACACACATTCCCCAGCGTTTTCGTCACCTGACCTTTTGCATGGTGCTGCACCTTTCTGTTTCATTCCGCAGTGATTCCTCCAACGGAGACGCCGATTCCTTCAACGACGTCTCCTGAGGTTAATCCGAGTGTGGCTCCTTCAGCAGGTGAGGGCGTTCCGACCATGTTGTTGTTGTTGTTGTTGTTTCTCTCACATTAACTCTTTAGTCCACACAAATGGGGAGCCCGTGGTCGCAAAACCCGGCACATACGACGCCGCGGGGAAACAAACAAGAATAGAGTACAAACCACTCGGTCAAAGAAAACATAATGATAGAAAGAAAAGAACAGCTACCGCACCGACCGGTCGAGAAAAGGAGCCCTAGGGAACCGATCAAAATAAAACAACACAAAAATAAAGGCAAAAATAAAAAGGGAAAAAGGAGGACGCTTCCCACACCCGCCTAAAACAATCAAAGGGTACCGTGCCAGCATCAGGCACTCATGTGTGGCCTATGAATACGACCATGCGCTGGGCAGGCCTTACCTTGCCCCACCTGTACCTTCTATGTGCGACAAACACTGCTAGAGCACCGGGAAACTTCGCCCACCAATAGCTGCCTCAGCTTCATGATCAACGTTCGTTCGGGTGACCCCTGCGGTGCCTCAGCATCCATCCGACCTGCCCAGCCCTTACCTGGTGCAGATAGTTCGTTCGTGTGGCATGTGGTCTTAGTTTGGTGCCCTCGCTCTAACCACCTCCACCACCGTGCCCTTCTCAAAACAACCATTCTCCTTGGTGACAGATACCGTTGTACCCGGAGCTACGGCTGCCCCTGCAGGAGCTGATTTGGCGCCTGTTGTCACCGCAGCTCCTGGAACCCCGGACGCGGCATCGACCCCCGGTGCTCCGGCGTCCCCTGGAACTACCCTGACACCCAGCACTGCACACATACCAGCGGAGACTATTAATCCTGTTGCACGCCTTCGCACGACTGGTACCACTGGCATCACGGCGGTGCCCGCTGCTCAGACACCAAGTCCTGCAGAAGAAGGTCGTGTGTGGTTGATTTGGTACTGATGGTTCCATTGCAAGCGGCTCACATGCCAAAGGCGCAATAAGCAGCGATCCACCGGAGGTAGCTTCTTGTTTCACTACGTGTGAACCTTGCTAATTTTGTTGTTACGCATCGGCGCTGCCCTTTGTAGGCCGGCTGCGTGGCATGAAGCTTTCACCTCTATTGCGTCCACCAAATAGTTACCATTGCGGTGTTGCATTTCCATCGGCCCTCCTCTACACGCACCGACTTTCAAGCAGCTGGCAGCTTACATAACTTCCTCACTTCATGCTACACGTCCGTTGGGGCCGTATTCCTCATGTTGACATGCATTCTCGGCGTTTCTGTGACCTGACTCTCCGCCGGTGCCGCGCCCTTCTGTTTCATTCTGCAAATACTCCAACAGTTATTTCTCCGACGGAAACGCCGATTCCTGCAACGACGTCTGCTGATGTTGATCAGAGTTTGGCTCCTTCGGCAGGTGAGGGCCTTCCGACTATGTTGATACGACCATGCGCTTTGCAGGCCTTATCGTTCCTCGACAATACCTCCTATATGCCACAAACACCGATAGAGCACCAGGTAACTTTGCTTGCCAATGACTTCTTCAGCTTCATGTATCAACACCCGGTCCTGCAGTGCCTCGGTATCCCTACAACACACGCATGCCCACCCCTTGCCTAGTACAGGACTTCCGTTGTGTGGTGTGCTGTCTTGGCTCTCGCTCTAACCACCCTATACCTACACGCCATCTCGAAACAACCATTCTCCTCGGTTACAGTTACCGTTGCACCCGGAGCTACGGTTGCCCCTGCAGCAGCTGATCTGGCTCCTGTTGTCACCACAGCTCCTGGAACTCCGGATGCAGCATCAACTTCAGGTGCTCTGGCGTCCCCTGCAACTACCCTGACACCCAGCACTACATCACCAGTGGAACCTGTTAGTCCTGTTGCAGCCCTTCGCACGACTGGTCCCACTGGCATCACGGCGGTGCCCGCGCCTCGGGCACCAAGTGCTGCAGAAGAAGGTCGCGTGTGGTTGATTTGGTGCCGTTGTTTCCACTGTTAGCTGTTCACATACCAAAGGCGCCATACGAAAGAAGTGCAATCGAGAAGGGAGGTAGCTGCTTCTCTCACCACCTGTGAACCTTGCTGAACATGTTGCTACCCATGAGCGCTGCTCTTGGTACATGGGGCGTGGCGTGTAGCTCTCACCTCTATCGTGTCCGACAATACTTTCCTGTGGCGTTGTAGTTGTGTCGACCCTCCTCGACAGGCACCGACTGCCATTCATATATCGACTAGTGTACTATTTCTTCAAGTTGACACATATTCCCCAGCGTTTTCGTCACCTGACCTTTTGCATGGTGCTGCACCTTTCTGTTTCATTCCGCAGTGATTCCTCCAACGGAGACGCCGATTCCTTCAACGACGTCTCCTGAGGTTAATCCGAGTGTGGCTCCTTCAGCAGGTGAGGGCGTTCCGACCATGTGTGGCCTATGAATACGACCATGCGCTGGGCAGGCCTTACCTTGCCCCACCTGTACCTTCTATGTGCGACAAACACTGCTAGAGCACCAGGAAACTTCGCTCACCAATAGCTGCTTCAGCTTCATGATGACGTTCGGGTGACCCCTGCGGTGCTCGGCACCCCTCCAACTTGCGTACGCCCAGCCCTTGCCTGGTACAGGTATTTCGTTCGTGTGGCATGTGGTCTCAGTTGTTGCCCTCTAACACCTCCACTACCGCGCCACTCTCAAACAACCTGTCTCCGTGATGACAGTTACCGTTGCAGCGGAAGCTACGGCTGCCCCCGCAGGAGCTGATTTGGCCCCTGTTGTCACCACAGCTCCTGGAACTACTCCTTCTCCCGAGGCAACTGGGGTCTCGACCCTTCCACGCGAGCTTCCAACTCAGGCTCCGGGTGCAGCATCAACCCCCAGCTCAACAACTTCCCCTGGAACTACCGTGGCACCCAACGCGACATCTACACCTGGGGCTAGCACGGCGCCTGTAGCGGACAGTGAGCTAGTGACTCCTGCACCTGTGGACATCATAGCTGAAGTGCGTGAAGACACCGTTGCCATCTCGACTTGCTGGCGACCGCCGCAATTTTGTGCATGCTTGGAGTACATCACTACGCTATTATACTCCAGAACGAAGCTTGCTTTTCTTTCGGATAACTCTTCTGCGTTGGTAGCGCATTCGTGGACCAAACGCTATTTCGGTAACAAGGCACTACATCCACCCCCTCCCCACATCGCTCTTCGCCTTGCCCCACATCACCCACCACTCTTCAGGTCGAAAGGCCTGGAACAACAGCCGCCGGAGCGGTGTCCATCCTTGCCCTGATCGGCATTTTGGTTGTTTCCACCGGCAGTGTCATCAGGTCGAACCGCGGCAATGGCTCGTCGGCGTCATCTGGGAGTGGATCGGGGAATTCATCTTCTGGCGGCTCCGGTGGCCTTTCGGGCACGGTGGGTTTGCTCTGTATTCTTTGTAGGCCAAGTTTTGCTGGGTTGGATCTGCTTTGTGCCCGCGTGTTTTGTCTTTACACCTTCGGTACCTGCATTTCTGGACGCACCAGCCGGGGTCACACAGGAGTTGCATTTTCTACGTTCCTTCTGCGGTGCTTGCCTGGAATTTTATCGCGAGAAGTATTCTGCCGTTCATTTCCCATGTTGGCCATCAAGTCGCAAAGTTATTGGTTGCGCACGAAATCATCGCTTCCTACATTGTTTGGGGATGTTGTATGGCAAACTCGCAGTTCGTATGACAACACCGAGGTTCGAACCCACATCCAAGCGTCAGAAAGTTGCGAGGTTTCCTACTGAACCACTCAGTCACTAATATGTAGGAAATGCTGGAATGTTGGAGTTTTGTCGAGTGGTGCAATTAGACATCGTTTTGATTATTTGAGGCACAGTATTGTACCACTTTTTGCAAAAGACACAAGTACTTCAGACGCTTCCAATCGATTTTTCCTCATAAGGGTAGGTGCGAATAGTCGTCAAGCATTCGCCGTCACTAACAGATGGTTCGCAAGGTCAAACCCTTGAAGGCAGACAAGGCTGCTTTTCCACCGAACTCTACAAAGTAAATGAGTCGCGTTCCTCAAATCAGACGTGGACATTCTTTGGTCTCTCGCAGGTCGACCCGTTGACGCCCGCCGATGGCACTGCCGAAGGAGAGAATCCACCCCACGCCAGCAATCGCAGGCCTTCTGCGACGTTGGCTTTCGTGCTCATGACGCAGCTCCAGTTCCTTGCGACGCTGTCGCTGGTTGACTATGTCATGGACGAAGACTCCTGGCTCGCCGACTTCGTCACCGGTCTCAGGTGTGACAAAGAATGCATGCTGGTCGCCGAGCCACATTGTTTTTCATTTTTTTTCCCCATTATTACCCTACCGTCGGTGCAAAACGCTGCTCGACGCGTTTGAGGTGTCTAATTGCAGATCCACCCCACCTCTCGGTCTTCAGGGTCAAGTTTGGCGATAGGAGTGTCGTTGACGACAAACTTGGCTGCTAACCAATGATTGCCGAGTCTTTTGTAGGGAAGTGGTAGACTACAGCTCTCCGCCATTGGACGTAAGACATGTGGCCCATGAGAGTAGCTCGTGCGTTTTCAAAGGAAACCTCCACACGATCTCGTGTCTCACTCCGTCTTTTCATTGTCCTGTCCCCAACTGCTTATCGAAACTACAAGATGGATCAATCTTTGGTGGCCGGCGGAAGTTGGCCAAAACATCGCTTCCGACGAGTGCGCCTTCGAAGCTGGGGCAAGTGGCATCGGCGCCTTGGTATTTGTGGGCAACCTTGCGCTGGTCATAGGAATCCTTCTTGCCATATTCTTCATGCACGTGGCGGCGGTGTCCGGAGTGGAGGCACTCTGGTTGACGAAGGTGAACAACTCGACAATCTGCGCCTTTTTTCCGTCACCAACTACGTGGGGTATCGTGCATTGTAGCTCCGCTCTAACCCCCCGAACATGAGCTCCGAGGCACGAAGATCAACTTCGGCACCCAATCAGCACCTCGCTGTTAAGGCCATTGGCACGGTGCACGTCGGTTACAAATCTCGTTCGTGTGAACAATGCAACAGCCCATTTTCCCTGCCCTGTTTCCGATCGATCCTCAACTTTTGCCGATGCAGAAACGCGCCCGGGAGAACCTAGACGCAGCACGCCGTCGTGGCGCCCCTATCGGCGAGTTGCAGGCTCGACTCAGAGGCGGAAGGATTATATGCCGGACGAACCCGGATCTCGCTGATCCCAGCCCGTTCGCCCGCCAAGCGCCCCAACCCTCTGGAACCCCCTCCACGTTACACGAAGAAGAGTCCGACATGAGTGACGAGGAAGAGGGAGGGCGAGGGCTTGTGCCCATGCGCAGCGAGAACCGGCTGAGCCCGGTGGCGACGTGCCGGGAGCACTCTACATCGGCCTGGCTCCATTTCCCGCACGTGGAGCTGGTGTTCCTGTTTTTCGCGTTCGAGGGGGCCGTGGCGTCGTTCGCTTCTGCAATTCGGAACTCTGAGTGCCCAGAGATTTTCTACACGGCGATAGCAGCGATGGTGAGCTTGAGAGCCCCTTGATGGGCTCCCGAGGTTTGGCCCCAGAGGTGCTATTTTGCTTGCCATGACCTCGTGGCCGAAGGAATACTGGTTGTAAGTTTAGTAGGTTCTATCGCAGCCACGTGCAGCAGTTTCGGGGGATTTTGATATGTACCTCGAGTGCTAGAAGCCCAGACAAGATCCAGGGCGACTTCCGCCGAGAAAAATGGTCGGCACTGCGATTTGCACGGTGGTAAAAGTAAGGAGTTCGAGTCACACCGTTGCGTTTCACAAACACTCGCCTTCCTCTTTCCCAATGCCCCTTCCATGTTGTGTTTCTAATCCCGGTTTCACGAAAACAGGTCTTGTACCCGCTGTTGATGTTCGTGACGGTCTTCCGCACCCTGCTCGTCCGGGTTCGTCCCAACGTGCTGCTGATCTTCAAGACGTATGCCGAGGACGGCACGAACGGCGATGCTCCGAGCCGCGCGGGTACGCCCCGCAGTTCTAGGCCCGTCACCCGGCCGTGTGATACGCGGATAGAAGGGGGTGGGACGGTGGAGAATCGCCCTACACAACTCCGGGTGCAGGGTTTATTATTCTGCTGTTGCTCTGCTTGTCCCCGCGCCTCTAACTTGGCCAAGACTTTCGAAAATATGGATCTTATCACCGGCCCTCAAACACTCCACCAGGTGGCCTCCTCTCCCGGTTCAAGAGCAGCTGGGCGGAAAACTACAGCCTGTTCTCCTGGGCAGACAAGGGGCAGTGGGAGACTGTCCAGACGCCAGACCGCCAGGTCAGCAGAGAGGGCGACTGGTTCCGGATCGGGTTCGAGCCGGTATTCGTGGACTACACCAAGAGGGGGACTTGGTTCATTGTGATTTCGCTCGTGGAGGTAAGTGGGACTCGCCTGCGGGTTCGGTCTTGGCATGTTGTTAGCCATAACGAGAGCGCCGAATGAACGTGCTCCACCGAGCCCGAGGAGGTCCGTTGCAAATGGAGAATAGTAGATTCGAACTTTTGACCTACGTTAGGTGAAACGTATCTGTACGGCGGGGTCGGCTTGAATCATGTCAGCCGGGTTGTACTTGTCGCGCTGAGATGGTTTCGGCATCGGAAACAGCCTTGACTATAGTGTGCGCGAACGACCGGTGCCTGCTATTGCAAGTCTCTTCGGTACTACCAAGACAACTGCTACTTAAGTCTCAGAATAATTTCACCGAATGCCTCTTGCCCTTCCCCGCCCTCTTTATTCTCTGCAGTGGGCCGCTTTCGCCTTTGTCGGGGTGATGATTGAAAACAGCGTCGTACAGCTTGTCCTCTTCTGCGGCCTACATTCTGTGATGTTCTTTATCCTCATGTTCCTGAAGCCCTTCGCAAACAGGTGATAAGGCGCATACGACCCCAACTCGAGCAAGCCATCGCATGTATGTGGAATTTGCATTCCTGGATAGTCTGAGACGTTATTTGTGATGACTCACCCTTTGCAGCGGTGCGCAGCCTTGTGCTACGCTCCCGTCCCCAGCAAGCATCTTCGTGGGTCGTTACGCTGGACTGTTCAAGCAGATCCGGCGACGCCTATCCTGCATTGTCCACATGACCAACTGTGACTAAAATCCTTACACCCCCGACACTTGAGTGCATATTTTTTGGAACTGATTCGAGAACAGACCTTGGCGCCTCTTTGCGTCACGGTTCCGCCTTGCGAAAATACATTGTGGGGTCTGGGTTGCCAAGCTCAACGACCACGCCGTCTACCTTAGTAGAGGTTTGAGGCGAAGATCTCGTTCTCTTCTACGCATAGCGCAATGCCAACTCAGTACTCGTGCTGCATCTTTGATTAATGCAGTGTTATCAACAACATTGAAGCATGCGTGACGGCCATCGATGCCATCAGCATGGGAGTATTCGCCGCTTCGGCCCTTTGGTGGGAGGGAACGAACAGAGCGGCGCACTTGAACACGTCCGTGGTTGTTCTGCAGCTGCTTTCCCTCTTCGGTGAGAAACGCTGCCTTGCGTAGATGTGGTGCTCTCCACTACTTCTATGTAACGCATGAAAGAACGACCATCGATCTGGTAGAAGCCATGCACCAGCTCGACAATTGCACCAATTAGAGGTTTGCAGGGCTTGTGTTTTAGCGGCACGACTAGGGTGGCTCGACACTCGTAGTACCAGCAGATCTCTCAGAGGGCGGGTACAATTGTGTTGGACAAATCAACTCAATCTCCCGCCTGTGCTGCTCTCAAGGCTTACCCCAGCAAGCAAAGGAAGCATGCCAAGAATTATTCGCCCTTTTTGACCAACACGTTTGTTCTCGTCATTCGTATTGCTCAATTTCTCAACTATTGCGCAGCTCTGGTCATCCCCGTATACTTGGACGCTGTGACAATCGTGATGGGAGCTATTCGCAACCGCATACGAAAAGCCTTGGGCAAGACCGGGCACGAGGTAACGTTAAATGACTACACGAAAACGTGGCATGTATTTACTTGCCATAAGGCCCTGCGGCCATTGTTCCGAGGCATGCCTCCTTTTTCGACTGAATGCACAGTTACCAGCCGTCGCCGCAGTGGATGCTTGACGGCAGCGGAGAAGCTACCGTTTCAGGATCATTTATGGGATTCCCCCGACTTCGCAACCTTTCTTAACATACACCGTGGATTGACATATTACATCTCAGCCGTGCCACGATAGAAGCGAACCAACTAAATCGTTTCTTCAAGAACGATCGCACAGCAGTGGTGCCAACCCTCCGACTATGGGGTTGTCCTCGAACCCTGCTTCCTCGAACCCTGCTTACTTTTGAAAACGATAACGTGCTTTCCCCAGCTGTTACAAACCGCCGTTCGCATCGTGGGCCAGATCCGTTCATTGGCTAAAACCACGAAGTTCGTGCGCTTCAACCGGTCGCGTGCGTGATTGCTCCCTCAGCTGACAGACGAAGAGCGGGAGGCCCGACACTACATCCGCAGCTATACCCGACGGCAGTGGTGCGGAACTTGGTGCACCATGCTGAGGCACAACGTCTTCGCCTGCGCGAGAGACACTAGCGAGGGTGTCCGCAAGCCCCGCTTCACCACGGCCGCGCGCTCGGGACCGTACCCGCCTTTGGACCGGAGCAAGCAGGCGGGCGGAACGGAAGACGGCGGTGGCCCGCCCCGCCGCCCGAGTTGCAACGCCGTCGGCACCGCCAACACTCCTGTAATCGTGATTTCGGACAGGAAGGAGGCAGCGGGATACGCGTGGAGTGATAGCCTTGGCTGATCTCGTCATTCTCGTGGTGCGTCGGCTCCACCGCGTCAAAAAGAGCCCATTCGAACGAATGTTTCCCCGGCAGGCGTGGTTCCCACGCCCTCGAAGGGAGCTCTTCACAACCTTAGGCAAACTAGAACTCTGTGGGGAACCGATCCGGGCGCGGGTGTCCTGAGATGAAGGAAATCACACCAAGCAGTGAGTTGATGAGCATGGGGACGGGAGCGGACAAAGGTGGTTTCGATTCGGCGGCGTGGGGCTCGGGCGGCAGAGCGCCTTTCGCGATGGTCCTCCTGCGGTGTCCCTCTTTCCGTTTGTCTGGCCCCACACGTCCGCCACGATAATTGCTGAAGTTCAGGATTCGTGCGCGGGTCTGGAAGGGTTGGCCTGCGTGCGGTCACCTAAAGAGGTTTCGCTTGCTAAAGGTCTTCCCGTCATTCGCCTGGGCAATGGCATTGTATCAGTACCCCGTATATCACGGAAGAGGGTGGCGACGACAAGGATAGTCCATATAATTTAGCGACTACAACGGAGACTTAAATCCCCCTCTGAGTCGAAAAGAAAAAATAATCTGTCGGGGTTGGGTTGTGTGGGTGGATGGTTTCGGTTTGGGTTGGAGAAGAAAGCGTGACGTGCGGAAGGTGTCAAGGTGTAACAACAGAAATGTGAAAGATTGTGTGGGTTGTGGGTAGGGGGCGTTAGCCCCGTGGTATAGGAGGGCAAAATAAGGAGCGACGTGTTCCTGTGATTGGCTGTCCACTTCTTTATGATGACTGTATTGGGAACATATCCGTGCAGCAGTTGTTTAATAAGGAGACGAACGCCCTTATTGGTCCGTCCTTGTGATACTCGCAGCAGGTGGGCGTAGCCTCCAGGCAAAACGGATGGTTTGGGCGTCCCCTCGAATATTGTAACCTCCTCTTGGAAAGCCCATGCATTCGAAAGCCTGCTTTGAAGCTCAGGAAGTTGTGTGAAGGGCCTTCACTCAAAGGGCACACGCCAGCTTGTTCCCATAGTTTTGTGGTAGGTCTGGAACTATGTGCCATTGTTGTAACGGGAGTTATACACATGCCCGTGTTGTTGGATCGCTTTGAATCGATCGTCACACGTTGTTGGGGGTGAGAGTATATGGATATGGATATTGTCTCTTTGTTTCCAAACCATTCGTGTCGCCATCGGCCGGACAGTCGTAAGGTCAGGGTGAACGGAGGCTGGAATGTCGGCGAGGATGCACGTTCTCTTCGTACGTGCGGCTTATTTTTTAGGTCCTGGTTGATGTGCAATTTAAGTTCGGGTCATGTTGTTTGTGCCAGGTATTTACATCATCGTTTGATGATCAAACGTCACTGAAAATACCATCCTAATGTACGTGTGTAGGATTAATTCCACCACAGAGCCGTGGCGTGCGATATCGTCTTTATTTGAAGGAATGAATGTATAGATAGCCCAATTTGGATATGTAGCTGCAATGCCTGGATGCGAGTGGCGCATGCTTGACGGCACGGGTAGAGAGTATTTCGCTATTTCCGAAACGCGATCGAAAGTTGAATACTTGAAATACATATGATCGTCAAAACACGCCGTTGAGATGGCGCGCTTTTGGCAGCAGTACGAGTGCTTTACTGCTGTGAGGTGGCATATGAAGTGCGAATCTTGCTCCGATGGTAAAGAGCACCAATTTCTGATATAGCCGCCTGTCTGTCTAGTCTGCAACGCCGACTTTCGCGATTGTTCGCTCTACAAACCGAAGGACTACTGCTGTAGTCTATGTAAGCTTGCTTGCCGTCTTCGTACTGCCGTCGTGTGAGGAATGCTGTCTCGGGGCATTGTGTTTGGTGGTAAATATCAGGGTACACCTCGGGAAAATTCCCGCCGTTTTTTTCCCGCCGTGGTGGGCGGTCCCGGTACTGGCGGGAATTACCGCCACATTCGGTGGTACCGGGAACCGCCGAAGGCGGTACCGCCGAAAAACGAAAAACCGCCGACCGCCTAAAAAGTACCGCCACATTGCAGTACCGCCGAAAAAGTACCGCCAAAAAACGAAGTACCGGGAACCGCCTAAAAAGAACCGCCATATTGCAGTACCGCCGAAAAAGTACCGCCGTACTGCAGTACCGCCAAAATGGTACCGCCAAAACACGAAGTACCGGGAACCGCCAAAAGAGAACCGCCATATTGCAGTACCGCCGAAAAAATACCGCCGTACTGGAGTACCGCCAAAATCGTACCGTCACTACAGTTTTGCCCTCTAAAGTAGCATAGGGCACTAACTCCAACGCCATGTCTCGCGCAGAACAGTGGTTCGAGTCCAACTGGCGTGCGTCTTTGTTCACATTTATTCTTTGTTCTTGTTCTCTTTCGTCATACATATATTATATATATATATATTTTTTTTGGTTCTTCTGCCTTGTTCCTTTCGGCGGAACCTCTTTCATCTGTCGCCGATCGTCAGCTGTTCGAAACAGCGCTTTAAATAGCCGCGAAGCGGCTGTTGCGGAGCCGCCAGGCTCCCGCAACAACACGCCGCAGGCGTGTTGCCGGAGGTGATTTTTTATGGATACTTACTTGGTTTTGAAAGGAAATTACGTCAAAAATAGTGTTGTTATTTAATAATGGCGAGAAAAAGGGCCCCAAAAAAAATTTTCGCCTACGGCGAAATGGACCCCCCCCAAAAAAATATTTCGCCTACGGCGAACGTGTTGCGGGCTAAAATTTTTCGTTGCGGCAAGCCGCAATATCCATCCAATTGTTGCGCTTCCGCAACTCCGCAACACCTATCTAAAGCGCTGGTTCGAACACACACATCACACACGCAGCAGTTGCCCCGGCGCCCAGCAGAGCAATGAGCGCGTTAGAGGGGAATCCCGGTGCTACTAGTAGTGTAGGAGATGGGTCTGCTGCTTTGTCGGTGGCGCGTGCTGCCGGTGATTCTGTGGACGGGAGCGATTCTGTGGATGTGGAATCGGTGGCTACGAGGGAACTAGAGCTAGCTGCAATCCTCAAGCGAGTCTCGCACCATGGTAGATGCGGGCCGCGGCCAGTCAATTTGCCATATTTCAGTACCGCCACCAAAAAACCGCCATATTTGGCAGTACCGGGAACCGCCTAAAAAAAAACGCCATATTGACGTACCGCCAAAAAAGTACCGCCATTATTGGCAGTACCGGGAACCGCCAAAGGCGGTACCGCCGGAAAACGAAATGAATACCGCCAACCGCCAAAAAAGTACCGCCACATTGACGTACCGCCCCGCCTGGATCCGCCTAAAAAACTAGTACCGAGGTGTACCCTGGTAAATATGAATAACGTCTTGATTAATACGTCGAGAAACAACACACCATCAACTTTCTGTATCAGCACACATTCCCATCATCCATCTCAACAACAGTGTTGAATGTTTGAAGGAGTCGGGGCCGGGCGGGGACTTCTGTACGAAGCATTAATACCACCGTACGTTGCATAGATAGACTGTATGTACCACACACACACTCCCCGGGGCCGATTTTCAAAGCACTAATAATACGTTAGACTGTACTTTTAGTCTACTTTTTGCAGCAAAAACAACAGTTGTTACAGCAGTGCCGAAAATGGTGGCGTTGGCACTGGCTATCTATACTACTGCTGTAGCGAGAGTGTTTTCCATTGTTCTTTCTGTGAGGTTTTACTTTCTAGAAAACGCATCGTGGTTGACTCCGGCTTTTAGAGCGGAGTGTGTGGTACATGCAACCTGGTACGTGTGTGTGTGTGGTACATGCAACCTGGTACGCAGCGGTACTGCTGCTGTGCCTCGCAATTGTTTTTAGAGATAAAAGAACGCACCTTCTTCATTTTGTTGAACCTTGGTTGGACCCTAGATATTATATGTAAATCGCCCGAGAGACAGCTGCTGTCTGTGTCGATACCTTACATATGGGCACAGCTCTCTTTCCCTCTCTCTCTGCCCCACAGCCAAGGTGCATGACGTCAACGAGTCTCTAGTAGGTGGCCAGCGAGATTAATCTTGGGTAGAGAAACCCGCTGTCCATGCCGTGGAGCCGTGCGCTCCTACAGCACATACCATGTTAGACTTTACAGCAGTTATCCCGCCCACCAAGCGCTCCACGACACCAAACTGCAACATGTGTTGCGTACTTGAAGGTCTCAAAGACCACAAAATATTTTGTGTAGACTCACGATTGAAAAAGAAAGGTTACTTGTAGCTGCTTGGGGAACAGCAGACCCACCGGCTGGTCATAACATCACTTTGAATTCATAGCTTGCTATCCTGGACTAGTGTATGACATCTGTGGGGTGCTGCTCTGGAATAACACTGATGATGTAACCAATGATATGCGTATGTCGACTATGCCATTGTACTAGATCGGAAGAATTAAAAAAAATACGTACGTGTATAAGGCGTGTGGTAGTCCAGCGTCCTTGGGCTATTCGCGAATAGCCCGTTCGCGTACGAGCTGACGCAGAACATAAGGAGATGTTTCTGCCGACAAACCAAACACCGAACAAAACTGAGCACAACTGAAACCACAAACAACACACAACCCTAGCACGGGCACAGGGACAAATCAATCCCTCCTAGATACGACACAAAGGTTTCGCTTCGGGATACATCGAACGCGTCTGCCGAATAAATGTGAGAAGAGAGCAGGCAGTTGGTACACACCGAAAGGAGATTGTGGCATCTTGGGATATTTTTTTGGCTGACTGAGACGAAGCAAGTCCGCTCCAATCTTGAGCGCCGCGTTGTACTTTGCGTGCACAGGAGCATCTTCTTTAGGTTTGCTCGTTTGTCCTCATACCTCTTAACTCTTACCATCCAACAGATTCACCTGGGTATCAGCGGCGTCCTCCTCAAGAGTAGCCGGGTCTTTTCAAGTTGCTCGCACACGGGTAGTCTAATCTAACTTTCAGCATCACAGCAGGCGGTTTGGAGAGACACATCTGTCTGGTGTTTCCTCGTATCAGTTGAACCATGTTCCGACGGGAAACCCCTGTCCGTTTGATGTCTAAACAGACAGACTCGCCACGTTGCCTCATCCCCACCCAATGGCTACCTGACGCACCGATGCCGTACCCTACCCTTGGCCTTTCCGTCCACAGCACAGCCGTCTGCTGACGATGCACGCCAATAAGCACCGCCGGTCAGGGCGTTGCTGGCCAGAGAAGAATGCGGAACGACCAGAGCAGATGCCGCGGGCAGCTGCCAACGACAAGACTCACCTGCTCGACGACGACATCATCAACGTGGTCGCTACGTTCGCTAGCTGCCATGACCTGTGCGTCCTGGCGGAGGTGTGCCGGCGCTTCTCCCCCCTGCCGTTCTGCGACGACCTCTGGGAGCTGCGCGCCCTCGACATCCTCCCGTCCGTGCCGCAGGTACACTCCGCCATGGCCCAGCTCAAACTGACATCGTTCCGTCAGCTAGTGGAAGCCTTCACGTTGATCGGTATACCGGGCGGCGTCCTCGGATTCTGGCAAGCGGAGGCGCCAACCCTTTCCTGGGACGTCCAGCAGCAGCAGCAGGGTGGCCTCGATGGGGCCACGGTTCAGGAGCGCGAGGCGCGAGGAGAACTGCTGAGGATCACGCTAGAGGCGGGTGGATTTCTGTGCGAATCTATCGCGCCTAACGGCACCCGACGGCGGTGAGAAAAACAGGGGAAATGGATGGAGAACGGCGTGATGTTATTTACTTACACAGAACGACTTTTGTACGCATTGGAGATATAACCAGAGCAGTCAAACGGGATGTGTCGGAGTATTTTGTTTTATGAAGGACATACATCGATGCAAACGTATTACTGGTCAAATACATGTAGAGAGCGAGAGGCGCGTAGAAGCAAGAACGGGGTTGCTCGCTTCCATTTCTCTCGATGAACTACAGCCGTAGTAAAAAAAATAATGATTTCAGCATTTCAGCAGTCACGGCCATTTCCTTGTCCGTTCCGTGATGGCTCGTTTGTGCTTCGTTTTTTTGTCCTTTTTTTACCAGTCTAGTTTCTTGTTGCTTTAACCCTTGTGGGCAGTAGACCGTTGACCATGGAAGGTACCCGTGTCAATTAAACCGGATGTTAGAGAGTAATGACAGAGACCGGCACGGTTCTTTATTTTTTCAATATTCAGAGCACCAGGTGGCCACTCCAAACAGCGTTGTTGAGCCTGTGAGCCAAACAGGAGAGTAAAACACCACGATCCTTGTGCCGTCGTGCGCGTATGTATGTTTCTCTGGAGGGAAAGTAGTACTATGAACCCAGGTATGATATGGCACAAACATTAGATTCATCCTTAAATTCTGGTAGACCCGTATCTGCGTATGGACAGACATGAGGGTTTGTTTAGTTGCTGTGAAGAAAAACAGCGTACAGCAACACGAAGCAGGGCTGTTGTCGTCAACAGTTTTTTTCACAAGAATTGCATCGTTGTGTTTTGGATGAGCATACCGTGAGGGTGTGGTCGCCGCACTAGCGCCTGTTTGCGTACACGATTCACCGAGCATGGCACCCGTTTGTCGAAGTGTACGCAAACACAAAAAGTAGAAAACCCTGACATGACGTAGTTTGCAGATGACAGACAGTAGGTGTTGGTCGTCTCGCGGTAGCGTCAAAACATAACTTGAAAGCATCAGTCACTTCTGAGAGATGGTCCGTCGAAATGTTTCGCTTCTTGGGCAACTTGCTGGTGCTTGTCGATTCACTCTATTTCATTGTGTATCGGATCTAATGCGATGTGGTGCGATATCTCCGTGTACGTGTCCTGCCAAACCGAGAGAGATTGTTTGACACCAGTTTCTTGTGGACCCTCTGGCCCCTGAGGCAAATTATGAAGACATGCATTGTTGTGTAGGGTATGTACGTAGTTGAACATTCGTTTTTCGCGGTATCGTGTAGGTTCTGTTTCAGACGCGAAATCCAGCACTAGTTAGGCCGAGCATTTATTAGACGGACGACACTACACGTGGTACCGCGTAGTCAGTCTCGTCTCATATTTGTGAAGATTCGGGCGGACCACGGCCATTGTGGAAGCAAAAACAAGCTCCGTTTTGCCGTCTAGCGGACAATGACCGCTCGGCGAGCTGGCCGACTCACGAAACAATCGCGGCTTGCTGTTCCATGACACGGACCTGACAGAAAACCTTGTCGGCTTGCATGACGGCCAAAGCTCAAAAAGGCAGGATACCCAATTAGAGAGCTACCAATGTTCATGTACATGCATCACTCACCCATTGCCATGTGCGCCTACGGCGTGCCACATAAGGCAGACGCGACGGCGTGAAATCACCTGAACGTTGTTGTCGTACCCCCCTCCTCCCCCTCGGCAGCATCTTCACCATCCGAGTTTCTAAGACCCCGACCGACCGCATCAATATCGGCTTCTTCTGCTTGGAGAAGGAATCCTCCCTCACCATCGGCGGAGACGACGACAGCTGGGTGCCCGGAGACTCCATGGCGGAGGCGCTGGCGCGTTACACCTTTGCCGTACCGGGAAGCACGAAGCGGACTCCGATGCGCGCCTCGGGCACGAAGGCGTTCTTCCTCGAGCGCAACGACGGCCGCACCTGTCGCTACGTTAAGCTCACGGCCCCGCCGGCGTCCTCCCCGGGGGTGGTTGCTGCCGCGGGGGCGGTCAAGAACCTGTGCGGGCTGTGGTGCGCGCCGTACGGCAGCCACGGGCTGGAGATCATCCAGCTCTCGACGGACCCGTCTTGCTCCCCGGACGAGGAGACGGCGGCTGCGGCCGCGGCGGCGGCCGTTAAGGCAGCGACGGTCGCGAAGCTGTCTTCCCTCTCGCAGTCCTGGGCGGGAGGGAGAGGTGGGCCTCGAGGCTCCGTCTCCGGCTGCAGCACCAGCAGGATGACGGACGGCAGCGAAAGCGTGTGCACGTCCACGCCCGCCACGGACGCGGACGGCAGCGAGGCGGGCTCCTGCGACGAGGCGGGGGGTTCATCAGAGGCGGCCGCCGCCGCCGCCGCCGGCGGGGGCGATGATGACAGCAGCGACGGGGACGGCGACGGCGACGTCGAAAGCGTCCTCGACGACGTCTGCTTGGCCTCGATCGCGAGGCGCAAAGGAAACAGCCTCCATCATGCTGACACCGGTACCGCCGGCAGCGGCGCCGGCGCCGGCGATGCTAGCGTTCCCTCTCAGCTGTTCGGCTTCAAGGTGACCGGAGACGACAACGTCCCCGCCGGCAAGACCTCCTTCGTGATCGACCTCTCGACGGACTTCGACGTCGACGAGGAGCTCCGGTCCGACTCGAGACCCGTCGTGACCTTCCTCCCCACGGGGGCCGTCATGGCCAACCTGGCCAACAGGCGCCAGCAGATCTCATGCTGGCGCAACGGCCGCGGCCAGATCAACCGAGTGCCCGGGCGGTGGTCGCCGGAGTGGGTGGACGTGGAGTTCGTCGAGTACAGAGCCGGGTCCCGGTGCGCGTTCTCCGTCATCTTTCGGCAGCCCAACCAGGCGGTGAGGGTGGTGATGGACTTCGAGAGGGCGCTCGGCTGCGAGGAGGAGTGGCCCCAGTGGTCGGCCGCCGCTCCCGCTCCCGCTTGCGCAGCTGGTGCTGCTGCTGCTGCTGGCTCGGACTCACCGTCGACGTCTGCTGCCTCCGGGGGTAGCGTCGCATCCAGTTTTGATTTTGTTTTTTCGCAGCAGCAGTGCGGCAGCGGCGGTGCATGATGCTGTTGGAGGCGCTCTGCGACATCGCTTGGTTTTTATAACCGGGGGCAGCCTCCGTCAGAGTGCCTCTCATCTTTCTGAACAATTTTTGAGTAACTGGAGATATCGCGCAACCTTAGGCAGCCTCCTGTAATATTCTCGGGCCCTCTCGGTCGCTAGAATAAACCGGGAGCTTGGGGGCGAGTTGCTGTAGATGGTATCGTCCATCAGCGCAGCATCTGCCGCACCCAGCAGGGGCTCTAGGCTGTTTGAACGTCAAGCCCTCAAGTAACGTTTTTTTGAAACAGCCTGGTTTCTCGGGTTAGACTTGTCTGGACTTGGTTCAAGATGGTACCTTGTGTTTTTGAAATGTATGTATTTGTTCCGTGTGAATCTCGTGTAATTTTGGTGGTGCGCACCACGCTCTCTGTAAGAACCGCTCATCCTTGCCGATGCGGGAGGTTGGTTGTCGTGTATCACGATTTGTAGCTGACTGCGTTCGAGCGTATTGTGAGTGATTTTGTCTGTTGCTGTGTGTTTTAGCTATATGAGTCCGGTGGCGTTTTTCTATTCGACGTTTTGTTTTCGGAGAACGAGAGCCGGCTGTGCTGGTGCACTAGGTGGTAGAAAGGCTGGAAAACATTCTGTGTGGTTGGGATTTCGAATCCCGGGGAAGGGCTTCTCTGCATGCAGTAAGCAACCTGGAGCTTGTAGTCTTGTACGATCGAGAGTACACACGAAGGAAGGATGTGCTCACCCCCTCTCGGGTTAAGATGTGGATTGCATAGTGTACGTGCAGGTTTGACCTCGGCTTGGGGACTCCTTGTCGGTAAGAGAGACAAAATCGACTCAATGAGTTGGGTGATGTACGCATACTTTGCCTTTGCCGTAAAAACGAATCAAGAAATCTCTTGACCCAAAAAAATCCAGCAAGGATAATCTTGGTTCACGACGCTGGGGGAGGGGCATGTTAAACACAGGATATCCCCCGGGTTTCCACCTCACATGCTTCAAGTCGGCCGCTGCTGTGTTGTTATCACACTTTGCCGACAGCTGGCAGCCTCCGAACTCGTCGTCGTCGGGGCTGAATGACTGTTTTTCCGTGAGTCAGCGGCAATCTCAGTACGCTCGAGGGTTCGTCCGGAGCAGAGTGCGTGTTGTTCTATTAGAGCACGATCTCCCTTTCTTTTCTGGCAAAAGGAAAGACGAAGAAGTGATGCACGCAACGGCCTCAAAAAGCATGAGAGCTGTATTTGCATCGCCGCTAGACAGAGCACATGCATGCGTGCAAGTCGTATGCCCCCCACACACACACTCAAAACTTCTCCATGTATGTTAGAGGAGTACATGTTCTTTCGTGGTCAGTTGGGTCAGGTTTCGATGTTCTGCCGAAAGGAGAAATTTTGAAATTCTCCCAAAGCCGTAGTAATAGACTGCGGACTCATGGGGCAAAGTCTACACATCAGGTCATGCAAAACAAAAAATATGGAAAATGACGCGCGCTGTCACGCGTCAGACGTACTAGCCATTACACCGAGGCCTGCAGGTACATGCAAATGTTGCTGTAGATTCGCCCATCTATTCGACATACCCATTCAACGGGGAGACGGCCTCTGTGCTCCCTCCCGAACAAAACAAAGCAGAATGAATGGTGATGTTGTAACCGCGTAATTTACCCCAAAGGGAGGGCATGCATGAATAACTAGAGGCCGGCGGCTCAACACAGCCGTTGAAACATTGACGGCCCCGTCTAGAACATGTGGAGGGGAAGAGAAAGATCTTGCGAGCTCAGCTGCTCTAGCTTCAGTTGTGTTGCAGGTTGTGTGTGTTTTTATTATTCCTTAATTGTGTTGTGTGACATGGTGAAGTGTGGGCTCCGATTTAATGGGTAGTAGGGGTCTGCGTTGGGGAATTAAAATATTTCGCGCAAAGCGCGAAAACAATGTAAGAAGGCGTGTTTTCTCAATCCCGAAATAGAGGTACAACAGCTGGTGACAACGGTAATGAATGGCAGTTTCTCACCGCGATGATGCTCGTTTTCCGCACGGGTTTTTGCGTTACACTCCCTGATGTATTTGATTTGTCGTGATGGTGATGGAGGGCACTATTAACACCCAAAATCTCATATAAATTCGTTGCCAAAAAGCTAGTATGGGGCACTACAGTTAGCGCCCGCAATTAAGAATTGTTTTATTAAGAAATATAGGCTCACTTTTTCACGAAAAATAAGAAAATAGGGTTAAGAAACATAGCTCAATCTGGGTCACACAATAAGAAATGAAGAAATGTCTCACTAAGAAACACAGCAGCGACCGCTGCCCTACTACATAAGAAACGAGGGGTTACGGGGGAGTGTGCCGAATAAGAAACAAACCCCACAGCTCTCTCGCTCGTTCCCCCTCTCCCCCTATCCCTCCCCTCCCATAGTGCATTATTATTAGTTGTACGCCGAGGGGGGAGTGTTTTTTTTTGCGGCGCCCCCTCCGTACAAGACCTTGTAGCGATAGCAAGACGTTGCCGTTGACTACATTTCGCTTCTAGGGAGTGGCCTTACGTGCAGCCGTCGGTAGTGAGAATCGGGGTTGAGTACGGGAGGCGAGGAAAGCAGAGAAATAAGAAATTGCCGATTTTAGAAATTCAGCAGGATTTGGCTGCACGAAAAAATAGGAAACATGATATACGAAACTGAGCGACAAACGCTGAGTTTATAGCCCACAATAAGAATTCGAGGCTGGACCTGAAATAAGCGTTTCTTAATTGCGGGCGCCAACTGTACACGTCTCTAAACTGCTGTAAGTTGTTGTTGTTGCTCTTGCTGTGGATGTAATGTATGTACGACCAAAGGTGGCCGAGATCAACAAACTTGAACATATGTCACGCAAGCTGCGAGCCAAAGATGCACTTGATCCTGCAGTTGTCCCTACTGCCAAGCGTCAAGTTTAGGTGTGGCTACTAATCGGTGAATTGGGGTTGGCTTCCTTCCGTGTTGACACATACTCATTCGCATTGATTACGTCATCAATAATATCGAGGCACTGGCCAGTCGGTTGTCCCCATGCCTGATGGTGTATGATGCCCTCCGATACAAGTTCAAGTTAGCGGTCGACGATGGAAAGCGTCTGCTGGATTATTTTCGCATTCAATAATAAAGTGAGCACCGCAGAAGGACACACGAAAATTCCTGTTGTGTGGCCTTCCTCCCTCCTGACCCCGGTTGATGCTGCGTCCAGAAAACAGACACCGTGGTATGTATCGAAACGTGCAAAAAAATGACGTCCAGAATAAATGGGACAGCACATACACACAACACGTGAATCCAGAGCAAAAACAGAAGAAGCTCAAGAGTGCACGAAAAACACCAGACCAGTCGTCACACGGTCACATATTTTCCAAGCAGTCCTCGCCGGCAAACATAAAGAATATCTCTTGTCAACCACACCCACCCGCAACCACGCCTTGGCCTACAAAAACCGATGTGGTACATGTTTCTCTCGTCTCGCTTGCTGGCCTCAAACGAAGCAAGAGCTCGTCTTCGGCACCAAAAATAATTTCCGTACCTTGTGCCACCGCAGCGCACACCCTCGCAATTCTATGGGAGTAACTCCTCTTCCTGTCGTCTGGGACACGTCACCCCCGCGCTATTATGGCCGTCATCAGCCAAGGTTGGCAGGCGACAGAAACGTGAGGCGGAAATGCAGTGCCCACACTCTAGCACTCAACGAATGTCGGCTTCCGCGGCCGCTTGCCACCATCGCTGCCCCCCCCCCCCTCAGCATCACCACCAACAGTCCAGCAGTTGGCGCAGCGTTAGTGGCGACCAAAACACTGGTGCCGGCCTCTCTACGTGCCTCCCCTCCGGGTGCAGCCACTCCTCCAGCAGCTTGCGCAGCGCGGACGGCGGTGCAAGCCCCCTCCCTGCCTTCATCCCACACCCGCTCCCTCCCCCCGCAAGGCAAGCCCTCCACCAGATTGCGGCGTCCGTAAGAACAGGCTGCATCTCTCCAATCGAGCCCTCCAACGCAGCCCCATCCCCGCGCTGTTGAAGATCGAAGCGGAGAGCGATTGTTCCTGCTTGGCTACATCATCAACGCATGTTCGCCCGCCGTCAGTGCCGCCAGTGCCGCCAGTGCTCCTTGTGATAAATCTCAAGTTGCGGTGCTGTCTAACAGACTCCGGGCGAGCCCACTCCTCTCGCCCGTGCCTTCTGGGTCCATGGCGGCCGGATACTGCGGGGGGACGGGGCAACTCGCCTCCCAGTCCGCCGTGGCCCGCTGGACCAGCTCCACAAGGTATTCGTTGTAGTGCCCTCCCAGCGCCGCGGGCAAGCCACGGTTCTTGACCAGCATCCTCAAGTTCCACCGGAGTTGAACTCCAGGAACACCGAGTGCGCTATGTAATATTGGCGATGTGCAGTAACTGCCTGGCAGGGTCCACGGCGATAGTCCTGTTGTACCAAGAGAACAGTGGTTGGGACGCAGCAAGAGGGGTGGCAGCCTTTGTAGAAACAGAGAGGGGCTGACAAAACAAGCGATATTGACTGTGATTGAATTTGGCAACAACCCAGAGGGCGCCCGTCATTCATATACGAAGCACCAGATCACTTGGAAGTATTTTGGGCAAAACAATCCGGTTCCAGTTGCCGCACAGAGCAGCGGTTGGTTGGGGTTGGTCTCCACAGGCATCCAAGGCAGCTACGTAGTCTACCTGTACACTACGCACACCCTTCGCGAACGAAGACAACATTTATTTCCATAACTGTTAACTCAAATATTCAACAGTGTACGGATTTTTGTCGTGAATGAAAAACCTCCTAATTCCATACTCGTGCAACTGACGGGGATGCCCTCTGACGGGCATGCCCTCCGTGGGCACAGGCCAGCAGCCCCTAGAAGGGTCCAAAGAGCAAATAAAAGGACCGCGAAACATCAACACAAACGCGATCACGGAAAATTCTGAAAACCATGGGCCCTAGAAAGCAGCCAGATGTCGAAGGCGATGTGTCGGGCAAGGGAGATATCGCTACAGAGTACCGCATGAGTCCTCTACTACTGTGATGTTTGTACATGTAGCATGTATGTATTATAAGTACAGTAGTGTGCCCGTTAGACTACGGTTTTAACTGCTCTCTCTTGACAGTCTACAGCAGTACCGTACGTGCACTGCAGTACTGCTACTGCTGTGCCTTATATTTACGTAGGCACATCATACAGCTGCTTGCTGTAGATGGACTCCACAGCAGCAGAGCCGACACATTGACTATACCCGTCCGTGCCTTCAAAACCTCCAAACCGTGCTTGACGAGATGCCACTAGTGGGCCCTCTCAACAGCGCCGGATTAATAATAACGCCGGTGGCCCGTATATTGTACTGCGGTAGGGCCGGATTTGCTGGGCACAGACTGATGATACGTGCGTACTTTGAACAGCGCCGGTCCCTCTGAACAGCGCCTGTCGGGAGCCCTCTATCCTCCTTCTCGCTAGCCACCTTTAGTCTACTGCTGCAGCCAAAGGCAACACACACAGCAGACAGACGTGATCCAGGCGCATCCAGGCCTGTGTTCACGGAAACAACAAACAAGCTGCAGCTAGCTGCTTCTTGACAGCAGTGCATACATACAATCAATCTCACCTGACCTCATCCGTGCCTCTCTCTGCTGCTGTACTGCTGTGGTCGGTCGGGAAGGTCTTCCTTGTTCACTACTACGGTGGGGAAGGCAATCCTTGTGCTTGCCAACGGCGTAGTACATCGCCATTCCGTCAGGATCGCTCAATCGCTACATAGCGGCATATCAGAGAGGGTTGGTCTGGGTTGGGATGGTCTGAGTTTGCATTGCCAAAAATGGCGGGGTGTGATTGGCTTGCATTACCAAGAGTGGTTCTAAATGGGGGGTTGTAATTGGCTTGCATTACCGAAATGGAGCCCTACCCAAAAACCGCGCCGCCGAACTGCGAAGTGCAAAGACTATGAGTTAACGAATAATAAAAACACACACAGAAAGACTACCCATTCGAGATATACCCACAGTCGAACGGGATGTGGTGGAGTCTTTTCAGTGACTGTAATAAGTTATTATAGTCATGCGACGTGTGAAGATCCCAACGGGGGGGTCGTGACGTTACCACCCGGGGGTACCAATCCGAACCATTTTTGAACCGTGTGGTCAACCGTCAGGCCTCGGGCACACGCCGCCCACGCTGACGCGGACACCCTCCATCTCTCTTGAGGCGGTGCGGACACAACCTGTGCAGCAATGGGAGGAGAAGTACAAGAGAAAAAGGAAATTCCCCCTCTGCAACAGCTCCGAGAATGTCTGCTGGACCGTGGTCAGCCGATCGCCAAGCGGACACACTCAGCGTTTTTCTTGCGGACCTTGGGTAGTGCTGAGGCCGTCAGCGCCGTTGGGGAAGGTGTGTGTGTGTGCGCGCGAGCGTCCGTTTCTGTTTGTAATGCAACAGGGGGTGGGGGGGAAGCGTCGGACGTGGCAACGATGCATGGGTCGTGCCTGTTGTGGTGCGGCCCTCGGCTTTAGATTTGGGGTAGGTGCGGGGTATTATATCAAGTGCTGTGTTGCCCAGTGTTGCCTGCTGCCTGCCAGCGAGAGAGAGGACGAATTGTCGAGTCATCGGACACCCCAACTGGCCGACCAACGCCATGAGGGCGTGAAGAGGGTGATATTGGTAGATCTCGTCTGTCAAAGAGTTTTCCTTGCAGAGCCGTCCGGTTTTCACACCCTTTTGATCATGGTGCAATCAAGCCTTGGAAATCGTGTATTGGGGATTTGCCCCATGACTCGCTCTCACAGCAAGCCATGTGTAATGTGAAATCGGGATGTACATGCATTGGCACGTTCATCATGGCCCGGAGACACAGCAGTAGCCTTCGCGACGGTACTGTATTAATCTTGGTTTCAGTAGGGAGTACGGGATCGGGGGTTAGGGTTAGGGTTAGGGATAGGGATGCGAAAACCCCCTCTCTATTTCATACTTCGAAGTAGACAATATTAATGTTATCCTCGCGACGGCCCAAAGACAACGCTGGCTACTACGAGAAGCACTACTGCTGCAGGTTTCAACCGCCAAACAAAACCTGTCGCACGTCCTGCTGTTGCCTGTAAGTTACCTGGTACCAGCTGTGCGCTGTCCCCAGCAACTCACAGCGATGTGCTTTTGTAGCCGCCTACAGCAGTATTTGTGTATGTGTGTGTGTGTGACAATGTAGGTGTTGCTCGATGCGCTCCGCGAACAGCGGCAATTTTCTCTTGAGCATCAACTGCTGTCCACGTTTCCCCCTGTGGTTGCCCCCCAGCTCTCTTGGTGGAGGAAGACTCGGCCCTGCTCCGTCACGAGCTCGCCTACATCCTTGGTGAGATGAACTATGATCTGTAGGGTAGAAAGCTGATCCATCCGTCAACGGTGGGATGTTGTACATGTGCGCCAATGGGATGCGCGGCTGCGGCGCGTGCTACTGTTTCTGCGAAAGTCCATGGAGCTCTCCATGCGTGTTTTCTTGTACGAAGTATACTGTAGTTTTGAAGCAAAACATGCGCATGCATGCCGTACGCTATCTATCGACCAATCCCACGCGCAGGCCAAATGCAGGACGAAGCGGCGTGCGAAACGCTCGAGAAGGTGCTCGGAAACACGTCCGACGACTGCATGGTCAGGCACGAGGTGGGCGAGTACTGTACTGCATTGGCGGGCGCGGCACCCCGGAAGTTGGGCAGGGGGCGAGCGGTACCCATAAAATGAAAACATGCCTTGCAGTTACCAGATTGTTGACCCTAGGCTGCTTGATAGTGGTGGCATGTCTGCTTTCCTTCCATTTGAGCACTGACTGAACGCTTGCTATGTGTGCTGTCTAATTCTTGGGCGTGTGTGCTGACTGCTGTTTTTCGCCAACGTATGTGTCGTTCTCTTTCGTCTTGTGTTTGATTTGTAGGCTGCGGAAGCGCTTGGCGCAATCGGGGCGGACAGCTCCGTACCGGCGCTGGAGCGATTTGCTTCGGACCCGGCGCCAGAGGTGTCCCAGGTGCGAAGGTCCAATCTGCGTTCCTATCGCATTTGTATACGTTGTAGGTGCGCGGGTTTCGAGAGTTGGAAGCTTGCCACGATTGCTCAAAACTACAGGAATAAAAGAATATGCATCAGAGAAGTGTGGAAGAATGGAGCACTCGCGAGCTCCTCGTATTCGATGCTAGGGGCGAACAGACCGAGGTGTTGCGTCCTCTGGTGTTTAGTGTTGTGGTTGTTTGCAGGGAGGCCGCACAACGCCGACCGGCATGGACCGGTACTTCAAAACAATAAAAAAAAAATACGTAAATTTTTTGTACCGGGTAGTAAAGTGTACTTGCATCCGCAGGGCAAAGCAGATCACACCACCTCACCCATCCTTTGTTCAAGTTCCCCACGTCATGTCCTTCCACCGGCCTTGTAACTGAACCTCCACACTACTACGCACTTTCCATGTACCCCGTTCACCATACGCCACCTCCATTGGCGTTGCCTGCCCTCCTCGCCCTCGCCCCCTTTCTGCTTTCTCTATCGGTAGACGTGCCAGCTGGCGTTGGACCTGATAGCCTGGCGGCGCAAGCAAGGGACCAGTCCTTATGCAACCGCGACAGGAGGCGGGGGCAAGGCAGATAGGGGGCTAGACGCGAACCCATACCTATCCGTGGACCCCGCGCCCAGCTGCGGCGAGGGTAGCGGAGGAGAAGGGGTTGGGGAGGGGACGGAGGAGATGGGGAAGAGGGTCCGCGACGGAGACAGGACTCTCTTTGAGAGATACAGGTGATGTGGTGGGCTTGTAGGTATTGGGTCTTGCGTGCGGTAAAGGTGATGTGATGGGGGTAGAGGTGTGGGGTCTTGTGTGGTGCTGGGGTGATGTGATGAGGATTAAGGCGGGGGGTTTCGGTTTGCAGTCTCAAATTGTTCTCGTGTGTGCAGTTGTTCGCTTCAAAGTGGGGGTCGCAGTTGCTGAAGCGGGCTTCGACACCAGGGCCGACCGTTGCCCGGTTAGAGATGCTAGGAGAGAACGGGCTGCTTAATGCTATCGAGTGACAACAGGCAACGAAGATCAAGGGTTGGTGTGCGTATCCTCTCTACTGTTCAGTGGCATGGTCGGCTGGGCTATTCTGTGTTAGTGCGGTGCATCTAACAAGCTTTGGTTCAGTGTGCAGGGCAATCGCTGTCTCGGAGCCGCAGTCCCGCCGCATGTCACTGTCTTTCGCGGGTCTGCTGGTTGTGTTTTTTGTCTGGATGACAGGTCGGCTTTGAACCCTCTCTGGTTCTGCTCCTCCTCTTTCTTGCCTCTTGTTGCCCTGTATTTCTTCATGAACTCCAGCCAGTTCATTGTATCTTGCCTCGTGTCGTCCTGTATTTCTTCATGAACTCCAGCCAGCCCAATGTATCCCAAGTCTATGTTGGCCACAAGCGCCCGGTTCACACGGGCGAGTACTTTCTTCACGCCCCTGCGGCAGTGCGCCACTTGCTGTCACGCAGTGGTATCGTCTGCCGGCGTCAGCCGTTGAGGCCACGTGCGGGGGTTTCGTCGCGGAAATGGCGGAAATCTCTTGTTAGAGACATTTCGCTCGTTGTGGCAAAAGATAACGGGATGGGGCTATCGGTGGGGCGGAAACACGACGGGACCGGGCTTACGCAATATTTGGGACCCGAACGTGAAGGCTTGAATGTTTGCCCGGCAATTATTTCGTCGGTGGTCGCCGCGCCGTTGGAATGCGGGCCGGATGGCGTGCGAGAACACGTGTTTTCCCTCAGAGGATACTTTTTCTTCTTGCGTTTTTTCCGCCCACGCATCGCTGCTCTTGTCGTAGTGGGCCCCGTTCTGCGGAATGACAGGGTTACAGAGGCCGAGGGACAGACACGTGTAGTCTTGTCTTTGCCCAGGTCCTACAAACGCCTCTGTGGAACGCGCCGGTGTTCACCTCGCATTTGCAGCCTCCTCGACGCTACCGATCATTTGTTTTCCGCAGTTGGGACCCTCTCTCTCTCTCTCTCTCTCTCTCGCTCTCTCTCCTTCCCTATTTTATGCCAACCCCTCTCTCCCCACATTGACATGGAGCGAAAAGTGTGATCGTGCCCTGGGATCTGACCGACTGATTGGCGACCCTTCTTGCTGCCCTCCACGTCCTCTTCCCCTCTTTGTCACCGTGAAAAGGGCGATGTTCTCTCTCCGAAATAGAGGGGGAGAAGCCGCGGCGCTGGAGCTAGCTGCGGCTTTTCGTGGCGAGGATAATGCTCTCTTCAAGCACGAGGTAATGTCCCCTGTGGTTTGTTGTTTAAACCTTCTTGATCTAGCATGTAGCGACACCTATTTGATTTGTCCTTACCTGTCGGTACTCAGCGGCTTCCTTTTCGAGGAGGGATTTCGGCTCTCCCGGTTGCTCCGACCGCAAACCCGGGCATTACGTGTTTTGACTCCTTTCCTACATCTGCTGCTACGGTTGTGTCGAAGCGAGCCCAACAGCAGTGATCGCTCCGCTTGCTGGCCTCTCTCTGGGAGTCGTTTTCTTGTGTGTTTCATGCTTCCTAGAGTTAATAATCAACTGCTCCCAGCGCTGGGTGGACAAGCACTTGTGCGCTTTGTTGCGATGACTTATGACTGCGGTTCCGCACACCCCGTAGACCTCCTTTCACAACTCGACTGCTCCAAGACCGAGACGTTGTGATAACCGACAGATACGTGCATCGCGTCAGGTGGCGTACGTCCTCGGGCAGATGCAGCACCCTGCGACCGTGCCGGCTCTCGGGACCGTTCTCGCAGACCTGGCAGAACACCAGATGGTACGGCACGAGGTGAGGAAAAGGATAAGGCGTTCAAGCTCCGATTGCTTCGTGCAGCCGAAGCTTACATGCCGAGTCGACGTGAGGGCCATGATCACTGTGGGGCCATGTGTTGTTTTGTCATGAACATGTCCTCTGTGCTGTTGCTGCTGTGGTTGGTAGCGTTGGTGGTGGTCGCGGTAGGGGGGAATGTGAAGAGAGTGATTCTTCGGGCCTTGGCTAGTCTGATGATGTAAGCAATGAGTTTCCTGTAACCAAACGGGTTGTCAACTGCGTTGAGTTGCTTCTGTATTCGAACCTTTTTTTTTTTCTGGAGCTGCTTGCCCGGCTTGAACACGCGTGTAGTGATGTCTGTTGATATGCTCGCGTCGACGCTGCTGCTGTTGTTGGCGGAATCGGTCTGAGACCGAAGGAGGAGAGATTTGCAGAACAACACCTCCAGATGGTTGCTGTCCTCACATGGTAGATGGTGTCTTAAATGGACATGTGCTATTATGACATGATTTCCACGAAGATGTGTCTTTCACGTCTTTCCTCGTATTTTGAAATGTTCCCAACGGCTTCAACAATGTTGAACCATGCAGGTTTCCCACGTTTTATTTTTCTACACGACTTGTTTCGTCGTTGGTTGGCTAGTGTCCATGTTGACAAATTAAGCGCGACTGCTTATCTCATTGCTGTGTCCTTTTGGCGTGTGTGCGTGACTTTGGTTTGTCCAGGCGGCGGAAGCTCTCGGAGCGATAGGGGGTAACGAGGCGGAAGGGCTGCTCAGAACCTTCATGGCGGACGACGTAGTGGCGGTCAAGGAGAGCTGCGAGGTCGCGCTGGATACGATCGACTACTGGTCCAACCGAGGTTGACGTGTTTACTCAAACCGGACCCCGTCAAACGTGGACCGACCTAGGCCCAGCCCTCTCTTTGGACACTGCCCTTGACACGGTGCTGATCCTGCTGCTGTATTCTTGAGGTGATTGCTGCTGCGGGAAGAACTGCTTGGTATGTAGGCTGGTGAGCACGCGTGAGGCACTCGCCAACTAGCAGGTGTTATTTAGCCAGCACGTGTTATCAAACGCCGGAGGGACTGACTGCCTTCTCCCGGAAGAGCGAGCATCCGTAGAACGTGCTGTGGTGATTGGTGTTGACAGCCGGCGATGCATACAGGACAGGTAGGTAGCTGTCTCGGCGCGCTGTGGGGATGGCGTGGTCGGTAACGGGGCGAGAGCTGAGCTGCGTTTTGCGAGATATTGCACTAGCCATTGTGTCGTCGCAGCGCTTCCAACTGGCTACAATCATCTCCGTACGCTAGGATTTTTGTAGGCATACGGGTAGGCAGGAAGAGGACGGGGGTACTGCTGAAAATTGTGCAGAGGTAATCTCTCGCGTGGTGTATGCGGCGGAGGTACATTTTTCTGTTGTAAGGATGGTAGTGCGAATGTTCCTGATGGGCTTCTGGAGACGGTTCCACAACTCTGCCCTGGACGAGGTGACGAATTTCGAAAATCTCAAGATGGAACAACACTCAGTGTTGATCTGCTGTAGCCTGGCGTCTTGTGGGGTACGAGGCTTGGTGTGTACTGGAATTGGGACTACACTCGTTTGCAGTCGTGCAGCCGCTTGCAGACACGCAGCAACTCCGTCGCTGGCCAACGGTCTTCTTGATATTAAATCTCGTCGAACCACCACACCGCTGTACAAGTGTTTGCGACACCGTTCACCAAGCTCCTCTGCCGAAACCGTACTTCCTGGAAAGATTTATGGTAAAGATGTGTAGTAACTGGTACTCTTATACCTTAGCTGAGGTGTCAATCCTGCTGGTTGTTGCCTACACGTACATAGTGAACGAGCGTATCATTTGGCACGCAGTTTTCTGATTGGTCGAATAACCTCTCGTCGAATGTTGTCGACCGAAGACCCTTGGATGACTGGATGCATTGTCCACGGCCAATGGGTCAGACATACTCTTGGGCATGGCATGTCGTCACTTGAAGACTTCGCCGAAGAAGCGACCGCGGTTGTCTTACAAGACTCCGGTCTTGATGCCGGCGAACCATTGAGAGAACACAGAAAATTGCTGCATCCCTTTGCTCTCTGAGGAGAGCAGCATCCTCCAGGTTCTAAAACCTATGTACGTGTAGAAGTTCAGTACTGTAGTCCCTTAGATCATCAAATGGCTTCTTGCTCTCTTAACTGGTCAATATGATGGACAGCGGGTTTGGATAGGTACAGTACATGAAAGATCCGCCGGAAGTTGACAGAGAAGAAGAGCAGAGGAAAGGGGTTACCTGTTGGTTGGCAGTTGGCAGAACCCGAGGGCAGCGACTGGATACTAAGGACGAAACGGCACGACAGTGTTCTCTGATTGGTCGAAAAACGAACAGCCTGGTCACCATTCAAATCGTAGTGACGCACGGATGGATCTCTGGGTCTTTCCGCCGTGGTCGACAATTCTATCCCACAATCGCCGGCATTTCTTTGTGACCCCACCTTGAAGAAATAACAATGCTCCCAAGAGGTACTCGCCTCGATGGCTCGAGGACAAGAAGAAGAGTGCCGGTGGTGCTACGCCGAGCAGGGCCGCGCCCCTGCCAAACAGGAGCAACGGCAGATTTCTCCCGGGCCCGTGGGGAGGAGAAAGCATGCAGGCGCCAGGCCGTCTTCGGGCGGATTTCAGGGTTCGTTTCCTGGTCCCCTCCTCCCCGGGACCGGAACGCCGGTGGTTCAACTCGCACGCACTCGGCGGAGACCCAGAACAACTCCAAAAGTTGGGCGAGGAATATATATGCTACACAGGGGTATATCGTGCACCCGCGTGGCACCGACGCTGCTGGCGGACAGCCTTTGTCTGCTCGGCGGGGACCCAGAACTCCAGCACTCTCAAACTTGGGCGAGGAAAATGTTGCACCGGGGTGTATGGTTCACCGGCGTGACGCCGACGCTCCTGGGAGACGGCCTTTGTCGGCGTCGAGGGTGGACACGGACAGCTGGTTGTTCTTTCTTCTACAAGACAAGCTTGTGATCGTCGTATAGACTTCCCGGCAACTTTTGTTCACCTAAAAATCAGGCGCATAGATGAGCAAGATTCGGCAGCAGACCCCCGCTTCACTGCACTATCGTAAGCGTGAATGGCGCATTGCAGTGTGGAAGACTTCCCAGGCTTCTTAGGCCCCTGATGCTGGCGCTGCTGTACTGCTGTTGCGGGGTGTTCCGGGATGGCGTGCGCCGTTTCCACCGTCGCCGGGTTGAGGTTCTTAGGCTCCGCTGCCCCCTGCTGCTGTAGGCGCTGCTGCTGGCGCTGCTGTACTGTCGCGGGCTGTTCTGGGATGGAGTGCGTCGTTTCCACCGTCACCGGGTTGGAGTTCTTGGGCTCCACCGCCCCCTGATGCTGCTGGTGCAGCCCGAACCTATCTCTGTAGTGTCGTGTGGCTGCCAGCTTGGCTACAACCTCCTCCACCCTCTCTTGACCTCCGGGTATGATTTCCAGGGGGTCTTCGCCGTGGGGTCGATCAGCTGGTCCCCCAGACGAAAGACCTGCTGCTGCACCAACAGGCGGGGTTCGGTACGCGCGCCTTCTTTCAGGTACCCGGGTACCCGCCGTCCGCACTCCTCCCACGCCTCGCTAACCTTTGTGTGGCGTGCCAAGTTCCAGGGTTCCACCTCAAGTACCTGATCGGAGAGACACGGTATAGTAGTAGTGGCGACACGATTTGAAAAGCTTGGTAGGCATGGAGAGATTTGAAAAACCGTTAGAGTCCCCTCGCTCGTGGCCACGGGGAAGCACCGGCTAACTTATCTATATCTCATGTATTTCACCGCCTCAAGTCTCACCAACCACTCACTTCCGTCTTTGTGTGTGTGTGTCTCTCTCTTCTCCGTCGAAATCAACACACGGACGGGCGTACCAATGTATGCAGCGGCCGTCCATGCTGTTGAGCGGGTGATTGGGGGCAGACGGTCAACGCTTTCACCCAGGGAGAGGCAACGGCTGGGTGGTCGCCATGCTCAAGCTGCGATCAATCCATTAACGTTACACGCCCTTCTACGTCTATGTAGCTTAGTTACGGTTTCTTGGTGCTTCGGTGCAGATTTCTCCGAAAAGATCCTGTTTGTTTGCGCGCGACAAAAACTAAGATTTGCGCACGGCGACGGAATCGCCGTCTGTTTCCGCTACAGGACCGAGGCTCCTACATTCAGTGGGTTGGGGCGTACGTGAAACAAAACTGGCAGGTGTAAAAAAATCACGATATCATGTCTGTCTGTGGTTGCATGCGCGTTCGTAAGCGCGATTTTGGAAGTGTTTTTGACCTTGCGCAAGCGTTCAGCATCGATCGCAGCAACCCAGAGCTTCATGACAGACAATACTCAGTCCGACCTTGAAGTTGTGCGCGCTTCCTTGCACCTCGGTACCATAGTTCAACCGGGTAAGGTATAGTTCAACCGGGTAAGGTATATTGTTCGGGGTGGGGGTGGCTTTTCGTGCTTTGTACGTGTGAGATATCCTAGAGCACACCAAAAATCGAAGGCATCGAACTTATTTGCGGGTACGGGCATATCGCCGAGTATCGGGAAGCTGCCGTTGCTGCATCAAGCCGGAAATTGCAGCTCGCAGCCTCGAAATTCTCCAACGATGTACAAGTATGCATACACAAACATGGACGGCTAGCCATTTGGCTCGGTAGGGCGACCCAATCAGCTTGTCTGCGCGTTGCTTGGATCAGGACACCACGGAATCACAGCCAAAGGTACGCGCCATGGTAGGTGCAATGTGAGCTTCTTCTTTGGATCTTTCTCTTTTTCAAATTTATTTGTGCACAAACCATAAAACATGCGAATCTCACCGCATCAAGGAGCCTCAAAAGCAAAGCCATCTTCTCATCACGCCGCGGGCGCCTCATCTCGGCCCGGGCTTTCCTGCTGGCTTCCAGACCCTTCGCCTTCCTGGCGGCGCGGCGTCTCTTGTCCGCCTCGATGACCCGATGGCGGTACGCGCGGTACCCGCGCAATGCGCGGGTATTTCGCATTTCAAAACTGCATGGACCCGCTTGGCACGTGTGACAGCCATGACACGCTGCTGTATGTAGTGTATGCACATCGGCAGTAGAAAATACAACGCCAGACACCAAGGGAGGGGGGCTCCCTTGTAGCCCCAGATAAATATAACCCCAGATAAAATAAGGCGGAGAGAGGGAGGCAGGAGGGAGAGTGAGCTAGAGGCTTGCAATAGCTGATAGACTTTCTCTCGGGGAGCGGCGAAGCGTATTTGTAGCTACAGCAGTGGGGGATCCGAAACCCGAAGCGTTGTCAATCCCACCGCATGTGCGCCATTGCGCCGCACTGCTGCTGCGGTGCTGCGCACGGTGGTTGAAGTTGACAGAAACAAGTTGAATTTTGGCCTGGCTCGTTGGAACACGAAGGCTTTTGTACAGGTGATCGACTTCGACGAAAGCCCTTGCAGTTAAGTTCAGCTCGATCGCTGCTGGTGGAGCTCTCTGCCTCGATCAAAGCCGACTGCGTGCTGAAAGAGATCTCGTCTGTCCGCTCTCTGAAACGGACGAAGTTTTTTATTGTTGAGATGAGAATGGCATATCATCAACGTCTTCTCGCATTGCGCTGGAGGGGAATCGACAGGGCCTTATCAGCAGGTGAGGTGGTCCGTTTGCCCTTCCTATGTCGGTTCCCGTCTTTCTCCTTGTCTCTTCGCTCCTGTCCGACATAGGGAAGTAGAGACATGTAACAGCAGCAGATGCAAGCGGCACCGAGGTATTACACCGCACGCAGAGAGATGGTGACACCGCACAGAACAGCAATGTATTATATTATAGCAGTCACCATAAGCTGCGAATGTCAGGGTGTGCTTTCGACGGTTGGGTCACGTCGCGTCGTGCATCGTGTCTCAATAGTATGCTATATGTCTGCAACCACACCACGCACCATGGTTATAGTCTACAAAGTCCTGGTAGTAGAGCCAGCGTCAAATGCCTCGGGTTTCGTCCTCCTGACTAATATAATATCCATGTTTTTGAGCGGTGTACCCGCTCGGGTAAAAATGTAAATTTGTTGGATGAAATCGAGAGAGCGGTAGAGGGTAGAGGACACGACCCGTTGTTTTCCAACACTGACTGCACCTTGACAGACCCTCAATGTCAGATTGATGTACAAGTCTACAGCAGCAGTAGTCTGTCTTTAAGTCGCGTCCCCACACGCGCGTCAACGGATGTGAAAAGGATTATTAGGAAAAAGGATGTACAAGTAGTTACCTAAAAGATCGTGCCACGTCCAAGTAGTTTGAGGGGAATACACCGTTCGTTGCAGTTTTGTTCGATATTGCGGACTTTTTGCTACAGGCTTGCCCCTCTGAGATGCTCCCGCCCTTGCCGACAATAGCAGCATCAGTGACGCCGGCAGCAACACCTGCAGCAACTTCGAACGCCGGGTGTCGAGGTATCAACAGCAAAGCTACAGCGGTAGGCTTTGCTCCCCCGCTACGCCCCGCGCACCCTCGTAGGGTGGGGATGCAGCTGGGGGCAGGGTCTGCGATGACTACCACTGCCCCCACCTGTTGCGGGAATGTGCGGCGGCTGACCACATCATCGAGGGATTTCCAAGAGGAGGAGGAGATGATCCGAGATACAGGTACAGCAGTAGGTCATGGTGACGCGTGGTTCGTGCTGTATCGGTGGCGGATCGAAGCACATGCCTGACCTGTGCATATCTTCGTGAAGTGGGATGCTCATGTGTGCTCGGTAGACCCCCCCAGTCAGCCACCTTCAACGGCGACGAGGCATTAATATGCGCTGGTACGACTGCAACATTTGCCCACAACAATTTTGTTTGGAATGAACAAGACGGAGGTCTTCGAGGACATACCATCGTACGTTTTCTAGTTGACATTTTGTTTCACAGGACGGGCGCATCATCTGGCAAGAACATAGGCACTCGATCCCGTGCCGCACTCTGAGCTATCTTGTGCTGTACACAACGGGCCCGAAGATAAGAAACGTGATAAATCACATCGAGGCTCCGCTTCTTATGTCGTCGCCACTGTCGAGCAGAGGTTGCAGCATGGTAAAGTATAGTGTACGATCCACCGCTGAGCTATGGTTCCTAGAACTACTTTCTTATTTTTCGTGAAAATTTGAGCCTCCGTGTCTCAACGAAATATCTCGCAACTGCGGACCCGTTCTGTACCTCAAAAATGTGACACCGCCGGTGGAAAAGTCTCCAAGTTCGCAGCGGACGTGATCGGGCCGCGAGTCCGGGATATGGACACGGAGAGCACCATGGACCCAACTGTAGTTTCGGGGTTGTTCGAGCACGGTCTGATGGGCATCGAGGCTCCGGAAGAGTTCGGGGGTGAGACTTGAAAGTTTCGTGCGTTCTGTTGCGGATTTTGTTGGGTGTTTCTTTTTGTTTTTAGGTAGGCTGACGATACCTACCTGTCGTTTGTTTTGCCGTATTGTTGTTTTCTCTCAATGCCGTAGTGTACTTGTATCGGTTGATGGGCTGGTGACTCGACAGACTGATCGATTTGACGCTTTTTTCTTTCAATTCTGGTATGACATTTGTCATTTCCTTCTTTTTTCTCTTGGGCAATAGCATAAAGTCAGCGTCTGTTGCGGACTAACATCGATCCAGGCAGCGGCCTCAACTTTATGTCGGCGTGCATCGTTGTGGAGGAGGTCGCCAAGGTCGATCCGGCTGTCGCGGTCCTTGTGGACATCCAGAACACCCTCATCAGCAATATGCTTAGGTGAGGCGGGTCGACATAGAACAAGATTGGCGCTTTCGCGCTCTAGGGGGCGAAGGCGGTGGGGGCTTGTGTTTTCTCCAGGCCCTTCGACTAACCACGTGTCACATACATAAGGTCGTCATTTTTTTTTATACTCTTGAGACAACACCATAGCCTTCCTAGACAACACCGTAGCTTCCTATCCCGCGCTAGGTACGGTAGGTCCTCAGGCCTCCCTTTCGGCAACAGAAACCGCTGCAATACGCCTTGTGGCACAAACACGCAACGAATTCAACGCACAAACGGCGACAAGGTTCTGGGGCAGCAGAGAGCTGCAGGAGAAGTACTTCCCCAAACTCTGCTCCGGCTCCGTTTCGAGCTTCTGCCTGTCCGAGGTCGGGTCGGGAAGCGACGCCTTCAGCCTCGCCACGAAAGCCACGCTCTCTCCGGACGGATCCTACTACACCATTGAGGTATGCGGGAAAGAGTCAAGAACAAGAAAAATGATTGTCTTCTGCTGTTGCTGTGTACGTGGTGCCTTGCTTCACTTTTTTCGTTCTTGAGCCGAAAAAGTTGAACGAACGTTGAGCTGGGATTGGGTTTGTTCGGTCTTCAATAGAAATAAAGCAACTACTCATTCGAATTGGATTGTGCTCAGTTTGTCCGCACGCTCAGGCTCGGTTTGAGTTCCCTCCCTCCAATCAGACGCCGGGTGTTCGTTGTTGCCGTTACTCCTACTGCTGCTGCTTTTTACTCCTGTCTACTGCTGTTGCGCGCGTGTAAGGGAGAAAAGCTATGGATCTCTAACGCAGAGCAGGCGGAGCTGTTCTTCGTGTTCGCCAACGTCGACCCTTCGAAGGGGTACAAAGGCATCACTTGCTTCATCGTAGAAAAAGGTTAGAGCGGACGGGGGGGGGGGGGGGTAGATATCCTCGTCTTGCTTATAAAAGTGGGCCATTTGACCATTCACAAAGAACTCCTACACATTCTGACGTGGAAGAGCATCGGTGGGAGGGGAAACCACACCTAACCTCGTCCACGGCAGAATGTGGTTCTGTTTGTGGGAAAAGCGTGAAAAGATCTCGCCGTTGTGCTGACACGATTGTACACGCCCGGACATGGGGATGGCTACTGACGAGGTTGAAGAACTGGGGCGTGTTGAAGCCAGATGCTTCTTCCTTACTGTTTTTTTCACTCTTGTCTGCATCGTTTCGGGAGGGGCGAGGGGCCGCTGTCTTCTTTTATTGTTCCGATTACTTGGGTGGTGCTTTTGCGAATATGTAGTAGGCGTGTTTCGTCCTCCTTTTTCAGAGGGTGGAGGGCTTACCTTCGGTCCTATGTAGGGTCTGACCAAAAAACGTGAAACAGCAGCCATGTACGAAGATACACCCCCTTCATGTCGATAGGACAGATGGGCTAGGGAAAACATTTTTCAGCCACCTTTGGCAAAGTAGGAAGGAACGATTGGCCATCAGTGATCGGTCCTGTGGGAACATTGTTCTGTCCTCTCGAGGACGCGTGGTCAATGGTCTAAACGCTAACGCATGCAAAACATGAGAGCACGCCCCGCATCGTGAACCGCTAAGTACTTATTTCCATATCTCGTTTCTGTTTGTCGCATGTCTGGTGTTTTCAGGGTTCGGAGGCGTTACCGTAGGGCCGAAGGAGGACAAGCTCGGGATTCGTGCTTCGTCCACGTGCCCCGTGACCTTCAGCGGCTGCGAGGTGCCCGCGACGAACGTCCTCGGCGAAGTGAGAACGTGCTTTTCTTTGTTTCTAAGTCATCTCCGATCAAAAACGCTTTCAAATAAGGGGTTGGGTCGGGTGTGTTGGGGTTGACCTGAGTCGTCGGTATCACTAGCATTAACGCATCAGGCTGTTGCGAGCTGTTTGTGTCGATTGCTGGCGGTTCCTCAAGCATCGGTGATGAAAGCATCGGTGACGCAACCTTGCTCTTCTTCCGCTATTTTTTAGTTATTCCGAAAACGTGGGACGAGGGGATGGATGCAATGAATCGTGGCTTTGCACAAATAAAATATCGGTCTCCATCGGAAGGAACTGCTTGCACCTCGATAAGACCAGATGAGTTTTGCCGTCGAAGCCATCAGGAATGACGCAACATGCCATAAACACTCCTGAAAAAACAAAACCCACTTGCTCTAGGGCCTCGGCATGTGGTGCATACTACCGCATGTCTTGTTCCTTTTTTTGGTCTTGGCATGCAGCACATACTACAGCGGTATTCGAAAAATGGGTGGTACGAATCGACCTCTCCGTTTTCTCAATCGCTCGTGTGTGTTTTTTCTGCAGGTGGGGCAAGGCTACAGGTACGCGATCGAGATCTTGAACGAGGGCCGCATAGGCATCGGCGCACAGATGGCCGGCCTCGCCGACGGCTGCCTGTCGGCCACGGTGCCGTACCTCTTCGAGCGCAAGCAGTTCGGCGGCTTCGTCGGGGACTTCCAGGGCATGCAGCACCAGGTCGCGCAAGCGGCCACGGAGGTCGAGGCTGCCTCGTGAGTCGCCCTTTCAACGAAAATCACTTGGGTTTAGTATGCACAGGAAGAAATGCCGCTTGCCCCCCATGTAGCACGCACACGGTACAGCAGTAGTTCGCCAGTTGTCGTGCGTACGTGTGTGTTCTTGGGGTTCCGCTTGAAGGACAACGCGCGGCACCAAAGCCGTGCTATTGTTGCGGCCACGGGGGGATCGAGATACACCCCAGCAGCCCGCAACCAGAAGAAAACTACTCTACGCCCGTACGCGTGCTCACGACTCTCTTCGCCGTGACCGTGGTTGGGCAAGAACGAAGTAGCCTCTATTCTGGTTGGAACCAAGCAAGATGTGCGTTTGGTAAGCTTCGCGCCTGATAGGTGTACACAGCACGCCATGTTCCACGCTGGTGGTGGACGTGGAAGTCGAAGCCAACAGGATGGCCCGACAGTGAAGAGCAACTTACCAGCTATGTACAACTAAGGGCAACGAGTGCTGGCCGGAAAATCGAGCGAAACAGACAGTGCAGTCCGAACCTCGGTCTCTGGCGACGGCTTCTGCCTAGGATAGATGGGACTCTCGCTATCTCTCCATATCACCCCAACGTTTCTCGAAACATCGAGCAACATCAGCTGCGCCGGTGCTCGATTCACGGTACCGGCGAAACACGGCCGACAGGCCCACAACCAACCCTACACAGACTCTCCCCTACACACCCCATGTTTCTGCGATTCTCGACATGTTCATCCCGGAAGCGATGGTCTTGCGGTCTGTGAGCACTACGGCCATGCACAAAACTGCGAACCCCCCCCCCCCGCTCTCCTACGTTACGTATGGTGCCTCCGAATGTTGACGGTGCCTCTATTTGGAGTAGGAAGAGTGGCTGTCCACGCTTGTTGGGACGCGCGGGAAGCGGTCAAAATATCAAGAAAACTACAAGGCCTCCCTCCGGAGTGGGGTAAAACTAACACCCTCCCCCTCGGCTTGTTGCTACTTTAGGGCCTTGTATCGGTCAGCGGCACGGATGAAGGAAGCGGGTCAGCCCTTCGTCAAGGAAGCAGCCATGTCGAAGCTCTACACTTCGCAGGTGAGGGCTGGGCAAGGGGGGCGGTTGGGGTGGAACAAGTCCGTGTGTGCGGACTGGGGTTCTTGGTTTTTCGACTGTTGACCGAGCTTGTCGGATCACCCGGAACCGGCACCCCTATGTTGATAGTTGTCACCTAATTTTCAGAGCCACCCTTGTCGGAACACGGTGTGCTTGATGCGTGGCCAACCCTTGGTATCGCCAATGGTTTGTAGGGGGGGATGATACGTACCATGCCTAGCAACCGCAAGTGAGAGGCTTTCCTGTGCAGGATCGCACACAACAAAATCAGTCCACACCCAGTAGGGGAAGTAGAGGAGCGACGGTTTCCTTCACCAACCCACCGGAGTAGATCAAAGGCGCATCAACAACGTCTCGTTTGTTCCTAACATGGCCAAGGGTATGTTAATGTGCTCAATCCCGACAGGTGGCTGAGAGGACTGCTTCCAAGTGCGTCGAATGGCTGGGCGGTGTGGGGGTGAGTTTCGGCTGCTCGCTTAGTAGATTGACCCCTCTCAAAAAAACTGAAAGGCTGGGTTATGATTCATCCTTTTGCACAAGAGGCTACTGAATGATGCTGCCGCACCTACGGTTGTTCGCTTAACTGGGCGAGGTATGGGACTGACTCAATGATTCATTCCCACACCAAGGGTCACCGTGCAGGGCCATGACGTGAGCGGAGAGCTTCGCGTTGCAACACTCTCGAAAGCTACACACCGTCAGTACCTTCGCGAAAGGGAGGTTCGAGCTAACGAATCGCTTGCCTTATTTTGTAATGAATCACTTGCCTTATGTAAATAATCGCTTACCTTGTTCAGTCTGCGGCTATTTTCCCGCTCTCTCTTGCCGCCTACTCCGCTCTTTCATCGTTGCGATACTGGTGGTGGTGGTGGTGGTGGTGGCGGCGGTGGTTTGCTTCATGGGGGGGGGATTGCGGTGCGGCGGTGTTGTTGTGGTCTCCACGTACGTGCATAGTTCACCAAGGCGTTCCTGGCTGAAAAGTTCTACCGAGACTGCAAAATCGGAGCGATCTATGAGGTACGTTTCAACCCATCATCACCTTTCCCTCAGTAATCGTTCTGCTCCACGTTGTCGGTTACAAGGTTGCAAATCCATCCATCGATGCCTCCCCACGCAATGGATCACCCCGTACGCTGCTAGTCTTTCTCTGTTGCTTGTGTCATCATCACCTTTCCCTCAGGTTTCATTCTGCTCCATATTGATTGGTTACAAGGTTGCGAATCCATCCATCGATGCCTCCCCACGCATTGGATCACCCCGTATCGCTGCTATTCTTTCTCTGTTGCTTATGTGTTTGGTTCCAAACCGATGAACGAACCACTCTGTCGATTCGCCGATCACAACAAGTGGCATTTTTCTTGCACCTTTTGTCCTGCCCGTCCGTCTGTGTGCCTCTCTCTCTCTCTCTCTCTGTGTGTGTCTCTCTCTCTCTCTCTCTCTCTCTCTCTCTCTCTCTCTCTCTCTCTCTCTCCATGTATCTCTTTCTACCCTCTCTTTTTCGCATCACACTTGCATTCACAGGGCACCTCCAACATCCAGCTGTCGACTATCGCAAAAATCCTTCGGAAGGACTACGCACGGTGATAGCATACACAGCAGTATGCGTACTACGTCGTTTGTTCATATGTAGGCGACGCAATAAACCACCCCGCTGGAACGATTGATCGCTTAATTGCCTTTCTGCAAAGAGAAAGAAGATGACGATATGTCAGTAGAGTACGACAATGCTCTTGTATTGTGTTGAAACGGCAATTTTCAGTGCTGTTCAATTGAGGTCGTGCGTCGTGGTGAGCTCGACGGGGGCGTCACGGGGAGTAAGTATCATTACGTGTTGCTCCATTAGTTTCCTCCAGCTTCCACCGAACAGGAGCAGGCACGCTACTACTGCTGTAAATAGGCGAATTGTACCAGCCTGGTGGATACGCAAGTAGCATCGCCTTCATGCAGGGAAAAAACGAGATTTAGTGATCCAGGGCTCCTCGTCGATTGTGCAACGTGGGCCGTTTTCGGCAGTGCGCAGCCACATACCGCTGCAATCCTTCGTGAACGAAGGATCGACCCAAAAATCTCGTCCTCCGCATCAACACGTACGTGTTAAGGAGGATCCGATTCGCAGGGTATCAGTCGATTGACTTTTACCAGAATCGGTACACCTTCGCACATGGCGTCAGCAGGATACTGGTTCCAATCTCCTTGGGTGCACATTTTTTCGGACATTTTCCCATGGACACAAAGTGTGTCAGTCCTGAGAACACCTCTTGGAATCGATCCTACAAAGAACCTTGTGACACTTCCATCGAATCACCCGTCCTGGCCACAAGAGGTTCCCAGTTGGGGGTAAATTCTGTGGGTGGAGTGTTAAGGAGGACCCGATTCGCAGGGTATCAGTCGATTGACTTTTACCAGAATCGGGACACCTTCGCGTACGTGTTCTTTCTTGCGCGTCAAACAAAAATACCACACCCGAAACTGCGATGTGTAGGTCTGGACCGGGAGGGAGTCTGGCTCGATGGTTAATGTCAAGGGAGAGAGCTCCTCGAAGACGCAAAAGGGGCTTTGCACGGGGGATAGGTCCCTCCACAACCCATCGTTTCGGCTACACGAGATGCCGCGGCTTGCTATCGTAGACAGAGACAGGGCTCAACAGAAACAAACACCGTTCGACACGAAACCTCTTGCATCATATTTGGGAACCAAAAAGGTCGAGGTGGTCTGTGAGAGAAGAGCTTCGTGAGTCTCAGGTCGACAAAAACAAGCGAGAGCTATCTAGTTTGATTGCTGTTGCTGGAAACGACCACGTGCCACGTTTCCCTTGCAGTTGGCCGCCTTTCCTTTTCGGCACGCCACGATAACTTCACGGGTGCGTCTGTATCTTGTTTCGCCCGGCATCGTGAGTTGCGGCAGCATCCACTCAAAAAATAAATTAGTCATTTCCGGTTCCGGTTGACTGGCTGGTCCCCCAAGTACCTTCCAACATGAATCACGCACCCCCCCCCTGTCCACCACGAATGGCACCGCACAGCAGGTGGGGCGTATCAACGGCAGTAGGTGGTAGAATCGACTCACTATAATAGGGCATCAAGCTTGCCTGTTCAACGCGCATGCTTCGCAACATCTGCTACGCATGAATCTACTACCAAGCACAAAGCAACAGGAACAGTACGTCATGCCAGGAAAAAATACAAGCCGGCCGATCACACAGCAGTCGTCACTCCAACGCGAAACGCAACGCAACCGATACAGCGACCGGCGTTCGTATATACAACGTCCGGAGAAACAAACAACAGGCCACCCAGTCGCCACACAAAACACTCAAATGCCCCTCGGAGTGGCGACGTTGGCTGCGGTTGATGTAGCGCGAACGAATTTCGGCGCCGCGCCACCGCCGCGAAGCCAGAAACCTCGCATCAAACAACCGCCCTCCTAAAACCACCCGACTCAGGAACCGATCGGAAAAAAGCAACACCCCGCTCAGCGGCTACGCTCCTACAGTATTTAGTTTGGTTCCGTTAGTGCGTCTTCATCTGGTACAGCGTTCCGCAGTACTGGCAAGCGCGTGGGCCGCCGTCCGGGCTGCCCAGCTGAATGTAGTCCAACGGGTGTCCTAGCGCACCCCCGCCTGAAACGGCACAAACAAATGAAGCAACCAAAAGAGCGGGTCAGGATACGCAGGGCAGCGAGCAGGGGGGGGGGCAAGGGTACACGGCCGATTTTTTTCGACAAGTTAATGCCGTCTCCTGCATGCAGACACGATGATGCCCGCATGCCCAACAAAACGGAGCAGAACACGACAGAGGTTGGCTGACCAGGTTAGCATGGCACCACATTGGGGTTTTGCTTCATACGCTATAAATAGCATTACACCGAATCGCGAATCAAGGTGCTGCGGATGGCGGCGGTTATAGGCGAGGTGGGGGGTGTACTCAATTGTGGCTGGTCTTCATCGGAAGGCCGTTGACCACGCATCCCCGTATCCCCGTTTGCGCCGTTCTAGCATCTATCGACGCTCTACAATATACCGCGTTTCAGCCAATTATTTCGCAGAGTGATTGGCTAACGGTATCCCCTCCTTGCCCGGGTTTTGGGCCAATGTCGGTGGGATAGCGGTGACAGCAGTAGTGTCCTCCTGGGTGTGGGGCAACATCCAAAGCCGATTTTGCCTGTAGGTTGGAATGGCATGTAATTCCTTCTGCCGTTCTGCCTTCCCGAGTGGCCAAATGCACACAATTTGCCTCGCACCACATATGTACGAAGGCTGTTCGGGAGGTTACTCTCGTAGGAGTAGGGAGAGACAAGCGACGCGCTGGTGTGAAGTTTCCCGACAATTGATGGGACTCCAAGATACGAATTTCGCACAAAAACGACAACGACGTACCGCTGCGCGCTGGGGAAATCACGTGAAGGGCTTTCTCCAGCGGCGGGGTCTGATACAAACACAGCCGTACACTATGTACAGGTTTAGGACGGTGGTGAAAATGCGGTGTTTGCATGTGGGTCTGGTGTCTGGTGTCTCCTTGACAAACATCGGTCGAGAAGCGCTTGCTACCTCTGAGCGGATATACCGATCTCTTCGCATGTAAGAGTACTGCTGTTGCTGCCCCGCGGTGCTGTTGTCGAGACGATCGTGACAAGATACCATGCACGCGAGGTGCTGTATGCAAATATATACAGTTTCAGGGCATCATACGCGAAAATAAGTCGCGCATCAGGCAGGAGACCGGGCAGGACGTGCACATATATCACCTGTGGCACATACAGTACATCTCTCTCTCTCTGTCGGTTGTCGGTAGAGGTCGGTACAGAGGTGGTGAGCGTGTGTGTCAGGCCGCTGACCAGGGCCTACAGGTGAGCAAACTCAATCAACACGTCACGCCGGCTGTTCATTCGTCGGCGAAGGAAAACAAAACCTAAAAACACACCCCAGCGTAACAAACACACGCACCTGCAGCAGTAGAACAGGAATACACCAACAAAGACAACAGGACTGGCACACGGAGCAGCAGCAGGCGGGCATCAAGCCCGCCGGCTCCGGAAACAAACGCGCTGCCTCTGCACGAATACATCTATGACACAAAAACGCTCTATTTCCCCGTTCCTACTGCTGTCTTTCGCTTCGCTCACCTCCATCGCACAACGCGACTGGCCCGTCCACCATCACCACCGGCACCTTCGCGATTCTCGCCTCGGCATCGCTTCGGTGCGCCCCGTGCTCGTACACCGACTTTGAACGCTCCTTGGAGAAAGTCGTGGTGGGAGCTAGCTGTGAAAACGGTCGCGAGGCTGCCGTCGTCAGGCCGATCGAAGCAGGGCGCACCGCCGCAACCGCTCCACCCCGGGGAGCGAGCGACCCTGCTACCAGACCGAGAGCCTTCTTGGCCGATACTCTAGCGGCCATGGTAGGTAGAAATCGGCACTAGAGGGGAGATGACAAGGGAGACAGGACACCTCTCGCTCAAGTTGCTATTTAGAGCAGGGAGGTGGCGAGACACACATGGCGAGACCGGTGGGGGATACACAGACTGCTCGAAAGTAGCATTCGCGTCCCCCCTTCGCTTGGTTGCTGCTGCTGGCTGGGCGTGGCCTTCTCGGTACAGAGAGGTACACGCGCACAGGATCTCTGTCCACCCGTCCACACTACCGTCCTAGTCAGACCCTTCTGGACCGCTGGTGTCTTGTTGTGCTTTTGCTCCAAAGTTGGGTCCTTGCGTGCCGAAGGCAAAGGCTGATCGGCCCGGCAACAACCTTTCAAACAACAGCAGCAGCACCTTGTCCACCTCTCCGTGGCGGCGCTGGTTCTTCGACAATGGCGGTGATGAGAGCAGCAGCCGTTTCTGCTTGGTCGGGGGCTGCTGTGGTGGCTGTTCTGCTGATACACGCTGCTGATGCATTCGTAGTCAACACCGCAGGTGTGTGAGGGTGTTGCAGCGAGGTGAACAAAACAGCCTCTTTCAGCATGTGTCGATCTGTTTGCAACCCAACGAAGGCGCAACGACCTAAGGTACATTGCCACTGCTCTGAGCTAGCTGCTAGAGACGCGCACCTCTCACGTTGCGCTGCATTGATCGGTTAGAGGAAGAACGTTCCAGTGGCCTCATTGTCTAGATCGGGCTCTACGTCGGTACAGCAGTAGTCCCCACGCAATGCCCTCCCCCCAGTCGCGGGCAGTGCATATCCTACAAGTATGCATGTGCGCCCCCAGACGCGCACAAAACAGACTCCTGGATTTTGAAATCATGCTTCCCTAAACGATGTGCCTTGCGCCGCCCTGCAATGCCTACGGACTGCTTCGGTATCGTAACGAGCAGCAGTAGGAGCGGGGTCTAGGGCCGGGACGTACCCATCTTGGGCTCAGACTCGCCTGGCTGGTCCGGCATTGCGCAGCAGCAGTGACGGTGAGTGGGTGGGAAGACGGTGGTCAGTGTGGGGAAACCGCCCCGCCCGATGTGCCCTGGGCATTGTTTGAACATGGACCTTCGACCCTATGTGAAGACGAAAGGAGGCGGACCCGTCGCGATCTAAAGAGCGGGTGACCGGGAAAGAGAATACCGAAAGCATGCTGGTAATCACAACCAACCTTGAGACAGAATCTCGAGGCTCGATTTCTCAGATGATGCCAATGCCATGAAAGGTGCACGTCAAGAAGGCGAAAATTCCGAACGAAGAGAATGGTTTAGGAACGATGCCGTCCAGGGAGCTTTGTAGACGGTTGTTTCGACGCTTTGGCGGTCGAGCGAATCGAGCTTCGAAATCCGATCCCAAGGGGTGCGCGATGGTCGGCATGCTTAAACGGTACGTCCACATGCTTAGCCGTGTGCCGTGTACCAAAACATGACATCCTCCGTTACCCGCGGAGCCGAAGTCCTGACCGGTATGCTATGGTTTCGAAGAGTCGCTTGGCGATGCCCTCCCGGAAAGCTAATGGTGTTGCGGTGGAAACACCTATGATACTCACCCTTGCATAAGCCTGCCACTCGAGGGCCTCGCCTGGTGTCCCTCGCGCGGTAGGCCGTGTTTGTGCGGTGTTTGTATGTATGTAGTTTTGCGGGACTGTGTGTCCGACTCTGATTGAAACCCCCCGCATGTCCAATCGCGCCTGATGTTCCTTCCTCTGGCTCACAGCTCGCCGTGCGAGACAAGGCTCATGCAACCTCGGGATGAAGGTATGTGTGGCGCATTATTATATAGAAGCAGTTAGCGTCTGGCCGCGTAAACCGGTTGACCAATGAAAACGCGTCGGTCTTTGTACAGCATGTTAAGCTTGGCCCCCTCTCCCGAAACTGCCCTATATATAGGGGGAAAAGTTGTGGTTGCCGAATAACTCACACGTCATCATAACTTAGGCGGAGGGCACACGTGAAGCGCCCACACCCAGCAGTGTCACCGATAGAGAAGAACAAGCGACATCACACGAACGTTACCACAAAGAGAGGGGGGGGGACGCAGCAAGTGTCTTGTAGCATTTCGATGCTCTGTTGGGCTTGAGAAGGACCAACGCGCGCGCGCGTACACACGCGCTATAATATACGGAAGCTGCACACACTGCAGTACGGAAGCTGCGATTGTTGTAGCTGCGACCCCGACACCTGCCACATCAATCAGCTCGCGGTAGAAAAAGGACAAATAGCACCGACTATCCAATGATTAGACACGAGTCTTGGGAGCGGGACGACTCACGGCTGCAACGCATTCAAGCCCGCGGGGTGCCGTGTCCGTGTGTGCGTTTGCTTCGTTTTCTACCTATGTAGGAGTGTTGGTTGCACACGTCGTAGTACAATAGATATCCTGGGAACGCTTTGGTGTTTTGGTAGTGTGCGGAGTACAACATGGCGGCGTCTGACGTGGATGCTTGATGCGATTTGCGGAAATTCTGGCACGACGACAGGGTTCAATGTTCCTGCTCGGTAGAAAACAAGGTAGCAAAAGAGAGGTTGACTTATTTCAACCCAGGGTTGAACCAAGGCAATCTCTTTGACTACGTCGTACCAAGCAGGAACTTCAAGCCTATTGTCATGCCAGAATTTACACAAGTCGTATCCGGCATCAGCGTTAGACGCCTCTCAACACACTACCACGAGCTGATTGACGGAGCAGGTGTCGAGGGCACAGCTATACAACTACACTATTCGCAGCTTTGTAGGTGTGTATATACGCGCGCGCGTTTTTCAAACTGTCTTAAGTCAGCAGCTCCAAATATGTCATCGATTGAGAAAAAAAACCGTGCTCTGCTAGAAGCCAGTATGTAGGACCTCAAACGTACTGACCTCCTCCACCAAATGAAGCAGTGCATGCTGTTAGCCTAGACAAACCGTCCGTCCTGATATATTATGCTCGGAGTCTTGCTCCCGTAGCCCAGCTATGCTTAACAACTGCTCATGTGAGCAGGATGGGGATACGCCCAACATGTTTTCCCCTGCTTATCCTCCTTGTTGCTGCACCCATGGTCACCGAATAGTAGACGATTTTCGTCGACGCACATGTCCTCTCGCCTACATACTCGCCCGCAGTAAATCGTCCGTTGTGTGCTCGGCGCTTTCTACGCCACCCTGGTCTCGATGGCCGTATCCATTGTCACCGCCCGCTGTTGTTTTCAGATGGAGGGGGTGCGGTCAATCACTCACTCGAGCCATGACTGCTCGCTTGATCCCGCACCCCGTGTCGCGCTCTGATTGGTTGGTCCGCTTCGTTTGCTTTTTTACTGCTGTCTCTGCGGGTTATTTTTTTTGTTTTGTTTTTCAGATGGAAGTGGGGCCCGGGTCCTACGTGGCACTGGTGACACCGATGACTTTGGATGGAATGGTGAGCAACACTTTCGAACGCGACCACGAAAGCCCTCAAGAGAGGTGGTAGAAGGTCGGGCTTCCGCTCTCTTTTTGTCTTTGGCCGCCACACCCGTGAGTACACCAGTTGCAGCACCCGTGAAAATATTCATGGAATCCCGCGTAGACCGTAAAGTTTTTTTTGTCGTCGATCTCTCTCATATTGCGAGTACATCGTCAGTTTGCTTCGGTGTGGGCAAGTTTACACGCCATACCTCTTACTCATTTTCCTGTGTTTTTTTGTTCTCCTTTTCTTTTTTTTTTAAATGGGGGGGCGGGGGTGACGTGAGCAGATCGACGAGGAGGCGTTGAGAGGGCTGCTCCGCTGGCACGTGGACAGCGGCACCGACGGCATCGTTGCCCTGGGAACCACCGGAGAAGCGTCGGTGCTGTCCACGGCGGAGCGGCAGCTGGTGCTGGACATCACGGTGGAGGAGGTCGGGGGGAAGGTGCCCGTGGTGGCCGGGACGAGCTCGGTGAACCCTCACGTGGTCATCGAGCAGAGCGAACAGGTCAGAGAGAGACAGAGCGGCGACTTTGCTGTTGTCGCTTTTCCATGCTGTGGCTGTGATGGCGTTTAGGGAGTTGATCGAGTTGTTGGGGGCATGTTTTTTTTTGTTTTGTCAAGTGGTGCTGGGATACAACAAGGTTTTTTATATGGGGACCGGGGCTGGGAAGGCGGGGATTGAGCGGTGGGAGCGCAGTGTTGAACGTCACGCGTGACGCAAGAAACATGGAGGATATTTTCTGTTGTGTTTTGGCTGCGACCATACCGCGTTCCATATTACATGTACCACGGAAGGACACTCGCGGGGTGGCGTACCACGGTAATGGCAGGTGTCCACCTTGTCCCGAGGAGGCTAGAGTGTGCAGGCAACGGCAACAGCAGCAATGAAAGAGACCCCCCCCCCCAACAGCGACGTCAGCATTAACATCGGTAACATCACACAGCAGGCGCTAGTCTTCTGGGGATCGATAGCAATCTGTGCATTTGTTTTACCTCATTTTGTTCTATGCATATGCTCTTCGTACGCACCAGGCAGCGGAGCGGGGCGCAGACGCTGTGCTAGTGGTCACGCCGGCCTATGTGAAGCCGTCGCAGCAGGGGCTCGTGAAGTTTTACTCGATGGTCGCGGATCAGGGGGCGCTACCGGTCGTTCTTTACAATGTGAGGCGAGGGCAGTTTCTGCGACGGCTGTGGTGACAGGGGGTGTTGTTTTTGTTGTGCTTTTTTCGATCGACGTGAGCCAGCGTTTGCCAATGAAAGCTGCTTTGATGGTGGTGGTGGTGGTGGTGATGGTGGTGGGTTGTTGTCATGCTCTTTGGCGTGAACCGGGAACAGCTTCATGACGTGTGATACGGGTGAGGTAGCGAATATTGTTTTCCATCTTGTTGTTACGACAGGTAACATTGCGAGGATAAGATGAGGGCGACTACTACTGTTTCGCCTGACGTTTTGTGATGTTTGTGGGTACATCCCGGCTTCTTCTCTGTTTTCTCCAATACGTGTGTTTCTGTATAGACGATGAGGTTGTTCTCCCGTAGCCGTGCTGTCGACACCGCAATGAGTTGGTGTCGTGTGTCGCGCATGCGCTGGACTGATAAGTCGAAACGAGGGGTTACATTTCGTTCTTTCGCAAGTGTTAAGAACTGATTATAATAGTGTAACCGATCTTTACACAAGCAGTTGGTTCCGTGCGCTTGTTGCGTGGCTCTTTCGTCTTGTGTCTCGCCATTGTTAGTGACGACGTCAGTGCTCTGGTGTCGCTCTTCTAGATGACCGGGTACACGGCTGCTGCCATTCTTCTTCATGTTGGTTGTTGGCACTGCTCCCAGTATTCTTGATGTTGTTTTTACTGCTGTTGCTGCTGCTGTTGCTGCTGCTGATGCTGCTATTGGCACAACGCTGTGGCCCCTGCTGCCGCCATTTTCCGGCATGCAACCCTAACGCTAAGGCTACCCCTGATGCTTCTTCAGGTCCCTGGACGGACGGCAGTCGACATGGGAACGGCGGCCATCGCAGAGCTCGCCAAGAACCCCAGAATTGTCGGGCTCAAAGATGTAAGAAGCCCTTCTTGGTTTGCGGAATGGCAGGCCTGTATTAACCAGCGTTTTGGCGTGTGCTCTTTGTGTGTTGTGGAGCGTGTACAGGGTGACCGGGGGGGTCAAGGCTCGAGCCGCGCTTTGTTAGTCGTCTGCACGAGTAGTGACCATTCGTGAGAGCGTCAACGATGCATCTGGGAAGGTGTGTTGCGTTGTGGTAAGGTGGGTTTCGTTTGACCTCATCTCATGGGTTTGGCCGTTAACTTTAACGCCGTCCGTAAAACACCGTGTCGCTCGCATTCGCCGGGACCTTACGTTTCCAACTTGTCTTTTTCTGTTTTTTGCGTGCGAGAGGAGGACATTGTTGTTTTGACTTTGGTGTCTAGACAGATAGAATTTGATTTTTCGAACATGTTGCAGACAAACTTCTTTGCCGTGATGTTGTCTTCACAATAGTTCCTGCCTCTGCCCAGCGCCTTCCATGTTGTGAACTTGAGTACCTACATACATCCCTCCTACACCGTCCCCCAAATGCTGTGAACTACTGCTGTATATGCGGGTGGCAGGCAACGGGGGATTTGTCGCGGATCGGGGAGCTGAAGGCGGCGTGTCCGGAGGGCTTCCTCTTCTACAGTGGGGATGACGCGACGGGGGTGAGTGAGCCAAGCGTTGGGGGGTCGGGGGGGGGGTCGGGGGGGGGCAGAAGCGCCCTTGTTGGTATGTTGTTGGTGCTGATTGTTGGGCTGGTTTGATGGCGCGATTTCATCTCTTGGGATTGGCGTGCCACATGTTGCAAGGCACGCCTCATTGTCGGCTCTCTATGTGGAGACAAAAAATAACGGAACACTTGTGCTCAAGTTCTTCAGGAGAGGCTTCGAGGGAGACTTGATGTAAGACGAATGACATCCCTCCGTTCTTTGCCAACTGTAATCGTCCATCTATACAGGGACTGAAGGCTACGGCCATAGGACCCTATTTTTATGTACGTGTATTTTTTTCTTTCTAAGCTCCTCTTCTTCTTCCTCCTCCTCCTCCTCCTCCTCCTCCTCCCATGCTCTTAGTTCTCTACGAGAGCCACTCCGCTTGACTCCCGGTTTTCTTCGACCGCTCCACACTTGCTTATCGGTCTTATTTCTTTTAATCATGCTCCCACGTGACGGCTGGCTGGACGGCAGATGGAGTACTGCTTGGGAGGCGGGAACGGGTTGATATCGGTAACGGCCGATGTAGCGCCGCAAGAAATGTCGGAGCTGGTCCAGGCCTGCCGGTCGGGGGACAGAGAAGTGGCGGAATCGATCAACAACAAGGTTAGTCAAGCGCCGGGTCGCGCGGGTGCTTGCGTTGTTTTTTTCTGTTAGCATCGACGGCGCTAGCCGACCGACATTTGTCGGTGCTAGCAAGTGAAGTGTTTGTATTTCTGAGTTAGAGTCGACCGCTGTAACCGGCAGGGGTTAGTTCCGTCTTAGCCTAGCGAGAAACCCGGTAGAGCGCTTTTCTATTCCACGGGCCCCGCTAACCGGGGGAACCTTCGTGGAAGAGACGGTACGGCCTCCTGATTCACAGCAGTGCTTGCGATAGAAGATGACGCGACACGATATCGCTGCTAGGCGTTCCCCCCTGTGTGGCATCTTCTTCTCATGGCGAACGTGCGAGCGGCGACATCACGCAGTTGATTTGAAGCTCGTTGCTCTACACTGTCCATAGCTTGAAACATCGTTTTCATCTCTTGTTGTTTTCCTTCACGCTTCTCTCGTCACTTCCGTTGACCAGGGTTTTCTCCTGGTCGTTGCTGTTGTCGTTGGCAGTTGTTGTGGGGAAGACGTGACGGCGTCGAAATCGTTGTGTAGTATCTCCTCTTCTACACCTTGTTTTGAGAATCGAATTTTCTCCTACGGAAGAGTCGCCTCCAATATCGTCGGCATTGAGGTTGCTCCCCATTCGACCCACCCTGGTCCCGTCCCCTCTGGACACCGACTGCGATGTGTGTGTGCGCTAGCGGCTGGCTTGTGGCGATACATACGTCGGTTTCGATGGGACAACAAAACACTACAAGTTATAGAGGATTCCTGCTGCACGGGCTGGTGTGTATGTGGGCATAGTTTACGAAAATACGTAGGTGTAGGTGAAACGTGTGGACGGTTCTTGAGTGCTCGCCCCCTTCTTCATCTATGCGTGGCCTCTCAACATTGCGTCCCCAAACCTGAAAATTAAAAAATACCCAAAACAGAACACAAACAAAGCACACACACATACATGTGTTTTTTTATATTGCCCCAACCAACCCTCCGACAGGGAGTCATGATCGGTTTAGGCCATAGTATTCACGACGACGATGGTACGGCTCCAAAGCAAACCTGTATGGGTGCCAGATATACCTTTTTAGGCAGTAACCTCACGCACAAAACGAGCTGCGCATACACCAAAGCCCACCCTCCATCCCCGCCCCACCCTGTACGCCACCACGGACGACTAATAATAACGCCTTCCTAGGTGATCCAACTGCACAGCAAGCTGTTCGTTCAGGGCAACCCCGTCACGGTGAAGTACGCCCTGGCCAGGATGGGGCGCTTGACGGACATGCTACGTGTCCCGCTGGTGCCGATGGAAGGCCAGTACAGAGATGAGGTGGACCGGGCTCTGGAGAGCGCCGGCCTCTTGCTGCCGCAGCAGAGCGGGCTGTAGAATGTTCCTACCGCAGCACTATAATAGGTTTTCCTTGGTGTTGACCACGTAGTAATGTCGGCACATAGTAGTGCTGCTGTGTGCATTTTGTGCCGGCGAACAAGGAGATAAAAAAAAAAGCACAGAAGAGGGGGCCCGGGTTTCCTGGAGGGAAAAGGCATTGCGAGATGGCCCGGCCGTAGTTTTTATCAACAACTGGTTTGGTCCAGTCTTGTGCGCGATTGTTTCCTTTTTATTTTTGGCACCACTGCCTTCTGTGCGTTCTTCCCTGGCTAGCCGAGTGCTTGGACGGGGTGATTTTGGCTCTCATCGTTAGAGTGTCGCTGCTATCAGATTTTAAGCACAGGAAGTATTACATTATGTCTTGTGTTGGTTTCCTCTGTCTGTATCTTTGTTTCCGTTTTTTGTGTTGGCGTAAAAGCTTCATCATCTGGTGCTACGTTTGGTGTTTTCTTTCCCTGGTCGCATGCATAGGATGTGGGGGTTCGAAGCTCATCTTGTACCTCGAAAAGTTATAGATCGATCGACCTACTCGAAACAGTATCGAGTGACGCGGTTGAGCACACGATTGATGGAGCAGTAAATCATCGACATATATGGCGGGGTATTGTTCGTGTATGGCAGAGAGTAGTTCAAGCAGATGGCGTCACGTCGCTGTTGTCTATACCCTCTCCCCCCTCTTGCTCACTTGTCCCCTGTAGCCGACAAACCGGTCGTTTTTCTTGCACAAGAGGTACGAGTCCGGTCTCACGACAGAAGGTGTAGTGTTGGAATGAATACCGTTAAATTTGTTTTTGAGAAAATGTGTTGTGTGCGGCGTTCTTCCATCAGGAAAATCACGTATTTATTTTGTTTCGACTTATAAATACATATGCATACCTTCTTGCAGTATTAACGGACATGGCGGCCAACGATTCACGCGGAGGGCATGCCTGCTTAGTGTACTGGGGATTATATTCGTGTGACCCCAGACTTCAAGATACGTGTCTGTTCTCCAGTATGTATGTTGCGGTGCCTGTTGGCAAAAGAGCCAGTGACTGACGTGTGTCTCGCGTATCGTCACTCGGTGCGTTCCGAGATAGAACCAATTTGCAAGTCGGTGAAAAACATTTTTAACGTCGAACGCGCAGCTCCCTAGCCGCGCCCCAAGCGCGCCCCCAAAGAGACATGCGACCCTCCCCCCTTCCCCCCCCCTCGTCTCTGTCGTTCGGGTAGCAGAGGATAGGGGACAGGTGACTGTGGAAACGCCTCGGAGGGGGTTTGCATCATTTTGAACCGAACATTCACCCGCACATCTTGTCAGCACAGGGAGGGGAGGCAAAGCGACAGAGGCAGCGATAAGGATCACTCCGTTTCCAGTTTGTGCAAACACGCATCGCCGACGGCAATCAGCACATGGCCATGCGTGCGTTAAGAAGGAGTCGGGCACGGGAGGGTGCTGCGAGGTCCAGCTACGTGACGGCAATACTGGCCGTCTTGCTTTTGTTCCACGCTAGAGCCTCTGGTACCGCCGTCGGCGCTACACTGGCAGCTTCGCCAGTAGCCGGGAGGGTGCTGACTGCCATCCGCTCGGTACCGCAGGATGTTGCTGATGCCGCTGTGGCGGTAGTGTCGCGACAACGCGCTGTGCGCAAGAGAAGTGGAGGGCTAGCTGGACACCACGGGCAGGTCGCAACGCGCGGTTTTCGCGCCGCCCGCTGCAGCAGGCATAAAATGCACCGCAGCAGCAGTTCGCGCTCCGTTACGATCACCGCAAACACCAGGATGCAACGGCTGCGGTCGCGTATGCGCCACACCCAAGCAGCTTCATGGTACACACTGTTCGGTAGACGAAGACTTGCGGGGGATAGGGCGGAGCCTGCCCACGGCGATGACACCCGCCGAGCAAAGCAAGCCGGAGCTCTCGGCAACGGCAGCGGCGACGAGACGACGGTGACAGAGGGCGACACACACGACAAATCTCCGGAGATCGCTGCACAAAGATCCAGGGGCGGGGGAGAGGTCCACCTTAATTTCAAAGAGGGTATGTAACGACTGCTGCAACCATTGATTGCCAAAGGGTTGGCCAGTTCTGCTGCTGTTAGCGATTGTGACCATCACAAACCATGTTTTCTTTCTGTCGTTGGTTTTTGTATCGGGAAAAGCAAGCTGCTCCTTGTATCACAACGTATGTGTACGTATAGTATGCAGGTCCAATATGTGTCTAAGGAATAATAAAAACACACACAGAAAGACTACCCATTCGAGATATACCCACTGACAGTCGAACGGGATGTGGTGGAGTCTTTTCAGTGAGTGGAGGGAAACCGGCTGGGTACTGGACTTATTTCGAGTCTTTTAAGTCTATACACTGATGATTTATACCAGTGATGCCAGCTGGTGGTATTATAAGTACAAAACACTGCAAGTAAGTGCGGTAGACTTTCTTGCGTAGTGGTACAGCAGTACAAGTAGTCTGGTCTACGGTGGCGGTAGACTACACCGTCCCATCAAGGACACGATTGCGAACAGAGGTATCTGTGAGTTCAAAGTACAACACGCAAAACACAGCAGTGTGGCGTGTGCCGCCCCAAGTGTTGACACATGGCCACCCACCGATTGTTCAATGCACGTGACACATGGCATCAAACAGCGGAGACACTTTGATTTCGGGGCGAGCGTGAGGGGGGAAAGGGAGAGTTTCCCCGGATTTTTCCGCGACAAGTATGCTTAAAAATAACTTACAGGCGCAAGGCGCGGGGACATCTCCCAAGACATTTTTGAAAAAAATGATATTCGCAACCGATCACATAGTCCATGTGTATGGTACATACATTGCTTCCTGGTATGTAGGTAAGGGTATCTCGTAGATTCTGTGGAGAGTGTAGAAGCGCTGAGGCCAAAAGGAATAGACAGCAGTTGTCAGTTTTTCGCACGAGGAGTAATTGTGTAGAGCACGGAGACGGTGTGTTGGAACGAGCGCAGGAACAAAAATACCCGAACCAAAAGTTGAAAATGTCAGAATTATTTATCGATCACACACGGGCGGGTACATAGTCTAGCCACGCGCGCACACGCGGTAGTCGCTTTCCTGCACGCACGCCCCCCACCCTATTCTGTTCTCGCGTCCTTGCTACCGTAACAGCTCTTTTCGCAGGAGCCGTCAGTAGAAGCATAGCCCACACGTGTGTGCACCCAGCAATCGTGGTAAAGACGTTGATGCAAGGGCGCGGGACTTCTGCGCAGCTGTCCAGCCTGTCGCTCAAGCTGCTCAGACGCGGCGCCGGAGCGCAGTTCATCATGAGCCTTCCTCACGGGGCTTTCAACTACGCAACCCTGGAGGTAAAGAGTCAGTGCAGTGAAAAATAGTCTGTTTTTGTTTTACTACTGCTGTAGGACCAATATGGGAGCTCGTAACCTTAGGCCTGCTAGCCTGTGAAGCAGGGCGGTCAACTGGACGAATGTTTGAGGTCGTGATTTGTCGATCGACCCACCGGGAAGAGACAGAGAGGAGTGTTGTCCCGTAAGACACCGCACAATAGTCCAGATGCCAAGAGTCACAACCACCAAACACACCAAGCCCCGGGTTTGTGTTGTATCCATACAACAGCAGTGGACTTAAAAAAATTGGTTGCTCGGAAGCAAGGGGGGAAAACAAAATCGATGTGTTCGTGTCTCTTTGTACCTCATGCTCAAGACGAACTTTCCAAACACGCTCTATTTCTATTTTTACTGGCGTCGCGTGTTTTTTGCAAGGTTGTACCATGTACAACACACAGATACGAAAATAGTCACAACAGCAGTTAAGGGACAATATCTACATAAAACCGCATTGGAGGTCGGGAGGTGGAGGGCGGCAGAAAAATATCCGACGGGGGGTCTGGTTCATCTTTTTTCTTTTTGCTGCCCTTGGCATCGTCGAAGCGTGAAAAAATCCTAGGCGGCGCACGAGATCCTGGTGAGTTTCCCCGTCGCTCAGCGGTATGTTCCGGAGATAACTAACCGGTGACGAAACGGCCTCCGGAATGATCACGTAAGGCCGCCTCTCGTAGATGTCGCCCGTACCTGAACGTGTGGTTGGCTCAACGAAACGCGCGTTGGTTTAGGTCATCATGGGCTTCTCGGCCAAGTTTTTCCCCGCCGATTGGAGGGAGACGGCCGGACCGGTGTTGGACTTCGTCACCTCTGGGGTGGCGACTCTCTTGTGCTCGGTCGTTAGCACCCCTCAGGTTGTCATCGAAGACCGTGAGTGGCGCTCGATGGCGCAGCGCAGTCGGTAGACTCTGCTGTAGGCAGCAGCCCGTCAGTTTTCCACACATGGAAGCGACAGATGCTACTGCATGTTTCCATCGAGGCCTAGCCCGTTGGCTGCTTGACACGGCGTTGTTTCATGAGCGTACGCAACCTCGACGCTGCATGCCGTGATGGGTGCACACGCAGTATAATTCGTGGTGCAGATAGTAGCTGTTGCTTCGCCAGACTTGCTGCTGCATAAGTCTCCGATGACGTGCTGCGCCTCGGGCAAAGATATCGCTGGCGTCACATGTGTCCAACAAAGAGCTGCTCAAGCTGGTCGGCATCCGAGTTGTCGTACAAACGTCCTCCTCCTGGTCCATACAAATATGCGGCCTTTTTAGTTCACCGACCAGTCGACGGTCGGGGTGACTGCCAGCCGAAGTACTGTTATCCCTCCTTGCAGACGTTGTTCATGCATGCAAATGACGTACTGTCTCTCCCCACCTGCAGGCAGACGTTGTTCTTGAATGTGACTCTTAAACATGGTTATTGTGGCCTACTCCATGGCAGGAATCATGACTGGGATGTATCCGAACCTCGTCAGCGGATTCCGCGAGATATCCAGGAGCGAAGGTTTGCGGGGCTTTTACACAGGCTGGAGTGCCAACGTCTCGCAAAAGATTCCAAGCTACGGGTGAGTTCTTCAATGGAAACAAAAACCCTGCAGGATTCAAGCGGTGGTCTTGTTGCTACATGACGTGGCCGATTGTGGACGAACCCGCACTAAGCTGTAGAGTTGACAAGAATCTGTCAAGCGCGGGCATGTCGTGTAGATTTTGTGTGGTTGTACGACACAAAAACTCCATCTTCTTCGGCATGAGCGTGAAGAACGGAGTTGCGCCGTCTGCTTCAGGCCAATCGGTCGCGCCAAAGCGGTCCCCCCCTTGCGAAACAACACAGGACTTTCGCCGCCACTGCCACTATGACATCAAAACCCGACCCGATCCTAGTTGTGATTTGTAGGAATATGTCGGTGGAACTTGTGTGGTAGACTTGGACGACGAGATCGTGCCGTGTAGCTGAAGATAACCGGAGTACATGTCTCGCCTCACAGCTTCCCTCTTGTTTTTTGAGAACCCGGCGTGCTCCGTCCCGGCTTTTTAGGGATGCGAGGTCAATGGTCTAACGACTACGGCATGCACGACTATGAGTACCCTCCCCCCCGTCCCCTCTGACGGCTACATGGGGCGTTTTTCCCAGGTTGACGTGGGTTTTCTACCAGGCGTCGAAACGGCTCTACAAAAAGATCACCCACCGTGCTCCCACTGCCACGGAGAGCTTTGTGCTGGGAGCGGTGGCGGCGGGTGGAGCCGTGTGGTACGCCGATATTCGCCCTTTCTTCTGGTCGGCGGGGGGGGGGGGGGGGGGGGTGTCTTGGATTGTAGGCGCAATGACCTCAAATCATTTTACTTGGCGCGCTTTCAAACCGCGTTGCGCGCATATGTAGTGAAGATCAAACTC